CAGCAAGAACTCGAGATCACCCAATTGCCCATTGAAAACGCAGATACGACGGCTAATCTCGACGATAACAGCCATTGTTTTCTCCCCAACCCAGGTAAGCAGGCCTCCTTGCACATGGCTTCGACTTTTACTCCGTGATACTGACGTTGCGAATCAGACGATCGCTGGATTACGGACGTCGGGCCGGAATTGCCATTGGTTCCTTTCTCTAGCCCTAACCATCCAAGTGGAGAGGATTCGCTTTTTGTTTCGGACTCTAGGAGTTCCGTGGCGCCTTCGTCTCTCCCTTCCGCTGATGTGCAGATGGTGCATCCACACAAGACTGCCTCACCTTGTGTCCAAGACTCTGTTACTCTCATACAGCCTCCGTCTTTGCCCCCGGGTGATGTGCAAATGGCAGATGAAATCGCTTTACCTTGTGATCAAGGCTCTGCTAGTTCCATACAGCCTCCGTCTTTCCCCGCCGATGTGCAGATGACAGATACAATCGCTCCCCCTTGTGATCAAGACTCTATCACAACCATGCAGCATTCGTCTTTCCAGCCTGCAGATGTGCAGATGGCGTCTCCAGACGAGATCGCCGTATCTTGTGTTCGAGGCTCTGCTACTCCCATACAGTCTCCGTCTTTTCCTCCCGCTGATGTGCAGATGACAGATGTAATCGCTCCACCTTGCAATCAAGACCATCTCACTCTCATACAGCATTCGTCTATCCAGCCTGCCGATGTGCAGGTAATGTATTTAGGTGGGCCAAATTTGGAACAACTCATCGGGGCGAACATATGGGACACGGAGATTACAGCAGTACTGAAGGGTTTGGATGCTGAACGTGAATCTATGACTAACAATCTGCCTGAGAATTCAGAGCCCGTGAATGCAGAGCTTGATGCAGCGGACAAGGTTCCTTCGGCAGATGTCATCGAAGATGACGAAAATCCCCGACTATCGCTGGATAATGTGCCTGTCGCCTCTTCAGCGTCATCTGGAGCGGAAGATGCTCACCCTCAATCAGGGAATCTAGCTCACGATGGTGACGAGGCTGAGTGGCCTGATGATGAGCTTGATACTATAGCCCAACAAGACAACTCGAACGCAAAGTGGGTGACATATGACCTTGCTCCCGTAGGGCGGTGACTAATTACTGGTTACAGATTCAAAGCTGCAGAACACCACTTTCAGAGCATTGAGAATCCTTCTTTGGCAGATCAGATTCTCTTTGAAGCTGCTGAAATGGAAGAAGAAGCGCGCGAGAGAAGAGTTGCCGCGAGAGAGGCTTTTGAGGCAGAAACCTTATCGATAATCTCTAATGACGAGGAGTCAGGAGCCGTGGTCAACGAACAAGTGCCTGCTGAAGTCATGGTACAGCCGTCGGAGAGTACCGTGCAGCCCTCCCAGAAAACCGCCAAGTCGACTGCTGGCCAGGGGCAACGATCACGAGTACCACGAAACAGGAAGAACAGACTTTCAGCTGAGGACAAGCGCAAGAGCAAGAAGTATGGTCTCGATTCCGTTTTAAAGCAAATGGGCCAGAAAACTGCAAGAAAGTCTAGGAAACGGAGAAGTGAAGACACTACACCTGATTCTGAGCCAGTCGATGCCCCCACACGCAAAAAGGCCAGAAAGATTACTACCAAGGCATCTGAGGAGTTTCTCAGAACTCTGATGGCCCCTAACGTTATCGAAGATGCGCACGCTAGTGCTTCTGCACAGGCCATGCCTGAGTTTGGGGAGAGGGACAAAGAGAAGGCATTCAGACGCATGATTGCCAGTATCCCTAAGGCGGATCTTGCCGGAGCGAAATCGGACCATAAGCAAATAATTAACGCAAGCCGCAAATTCTCGAAAGGCGTGAGAAAGGATGGGACAGGAGGTTATCGCATCCCAGGTATGAGAACAAGCTTGTACCACTATCAATTGCTGGGAGCAGCATTCATGCGCGATCGAGAGAACTCATCTTATCCACCCTACGGCGGATTTCTGAGTGACTTCATGGGTCTGGGCAAGACAATTCAAGCACTAGGTGAACAACTATCCTTAGGCCTCCTATCAGCCTACCATGCTAACGGAAGCCTAGCAAATATCGTCGATGGACGACCCTCGGACCCAGAGGACCCTATCAAAACCACACTGATTGTTGTTCCATCACATTTAGTATCTCATTGGAAGAATCAAATTCTAAAGCATTGCGATGGTATCGATCTCAAGGAGATTGTCACTTACTGTGCTGGACATAGATTGGATACATTGGACATTGTTGGAAGCCTCCAGGAATACAGTGTCATCATCACCACGTACGACGAGGTGAGAAGGTCATATCCTCAAAGCTGCAAGCCACCAGTGCCGACCGGGACTGAAGACGAAGTGATGGCATGGTGGGATGAACATTACGAAGAGCATCTCGGCCCTCTGCATAAGATCAAGTATCACCGGATCATTCTTGATGAGGGGCACCTCATCAGGAATCATGGTTCAGCTGTGTCGATGGCTGTCTGCGCTTTGACTGGCACTAATAAGTGGATACTGAGTGGCACGCCTATACATAACTATATCGATGAACTATTTCCTCAATTTGACTTCCTGGGGGTGCCCGGCACCAAAACCCACGAAAAGTTTCTCAGAGATTTCTGTCAGGACGAAGATAGCCACATGCGCCTGGTCAACCTCATACGATCATTCATGCTCCGCCGGACTCACGCCAGTCGGCTTTTCTCATTTCCTTTGGTCAAACTACCGGATGTTCATGATGAAGTCATCAAAGCCGAGTTTTGCGATGCTGAACGTGAGCTTTACAATGCCATTGAAGACGTTTTCATCCAGAATATCAATCAGCTTGCGAAACACAAGCATCCGAAACTGGCTCAATACCGATGTTTCCTGACGATGATATTGATACTTCGCATGTTCTGCAGTCACCTTCTCACCGCTCATGATATCATTAAGAAGCTTCTATCAGAAAGGCAGCTTATGGCGAAACTCTCTAGGATGGCTAATGGGCGAGACGAGCAAGACCCCACGTTCATAATAGTACAAAGGCTCATCGCGATCCGCAGCAACCCAACAGTCATCTGCGACAAACGTGAAGAGCATCTGGTTCATTCCCCAAATCTTCAAGGAGATAAGGAGAAGCTAGTAAGGGACTATTACGACTTGATGCTCGAACTCCATGAAAGCGGGCAATGGGACGAACGTCTTAAGAGGAACAGTTGTCCACACTGCAAGTGTGTTCCCGTCTATCCCGTCATCACATCATGCCATCATCTCTACTGCGAGGAGTGCTACATTTATCTCTCTGTCAATGAGAGCACAGATGAGGGCAAGCCGATGTGCCGTGTCTGTCAGGAACCTATTCAGGAAGCAGCCTACTGTGACGCGGTCGAAGACATTGAGCTTACACAGACACAATCCACGAAGAACCCGAAGCAAGGAACAGCAACTCAAAGCAAGAAAAAATCCAAGACTGGCGTGTGGCGGAAGCCTCAGGGCTCATTTCGGCGACCTGCTTACCTGAATTCGGATGAGGAGCTATCTACCGAGCCAGATGCGGACGAGCAAACCGACTGGATAGAAGCATGCGCGAGTCAAATGCCATCAGCCAAACTGACCAAGATCCGAGACCTGGTGGCGAAATGGTTGGCTGAGTCGCCAAGGAACAAGATTGTGATCTTCACTCAATTTCTCGACTTCATCCGCATCTTGGGGAAGATGTGCCAGAGGGAGAAGTGGCCGGCAACTTCGGTAGGGAGTTCATCCCAAACCTGCTTATCCCCCATTCTTCAGAATCACTAACAGCTTCAAGTTGACTGGAAAAATGAATCTGGCCAAACGAGAAGCAAGCATGAAGCAGTTCAGCGACGTGAACGGTAACACGAAGATCATGCTGGCGAGCCTGAAGGCTGGTGGCATAGGACTAGATTTGACCGCGGCGAACAAGTGCATTCTGGTCGATTTGTGGTGGAACGATGCAGTACAAGATCAGGTACGGACACCACGCCCTGGTCTATCAGTTCTAGGAATAGCTTGCTAACTCGATCGCAGGCTTTCTGCCGGGTGTGGCGCATTGGCCAGACTCAAGAGGTGGAATACAAGAAGATCATCGTCAGCGAAACCATCGATGACTATCTACTCCGGCTTCAATCAGAGAAATTGGCGTCGATCGATCAAACCATCGGCGACGAAAAGCTCAAGAGCCGCGACACAATGGAAGAACTGCTCAACATGTTTGCGGATGTCGAGGTCGATCCAAATGGAGCCTTCAGGTTGACCCGCAAACCCAAGAAGTCGAATGCGTCCTCGAAGCCAGACGGCAAGGGAAAGGAGAAGGGGAAGCAGAGCGAACCCCCGGAGTCGGAGGAAGTCCCTGCTGAGTCCTGAAGTCAGATCTCCTTCTCTCTTCCGGTCGACACTGAGGCTTTATCATATACCAAACGAACTTGGAATTTCTCTTTGTTTCTACTATCTCATTTGTGATACCCTTCAAGTTATCGGTCTTGAATAGTTCTCTTTGGAGAAAAGAAAAAAAAAAAAAAAAGAAAGAAAGAAACTAATATACTCAAATAAGTACTAAAAAGCCTAGCTACACTTCTATTTTTCCGAGGACTCCAAGAACATCAGCCAACAACAAGTACCAAAACATAGATAACCAATGAAAAATAAAACTGCAGTAAAACAGCTGTTCATCAAGCTATACTAGCTTGAAATTCTTAACTTGGGTATCGTCCCATCGAAGTCCTTGGACGATTTGGCCGAGTCGCCATCAGAAAACCAAGCCGGAAGGCTGGGATTCGTCGCCAGTAAAGACAGCGAGGCTCACAGACAACAAATTCCTCAAGATCAGTGCTCCCGTCCCGCGCGAGATCGACCGCGCCAGGATCGTCCTCAAGGCGCCCGAGGGTCTCGTCGATCAACGGCCCATGTCCCGAGGCGTGCAGGGTATTCCCCACGGCCGCATGCACCGCGAGCAGGACCCAATTCGGCGCGTCCACGCCGTGACGGTTCAATCGTCACGGATTCGGGCACATGGAGGCGCAGTAACGCTCTCTCTGAGCCTCGGGAACATCTTGGTCCGATACTGACCCGGGGTCGGGGGGGGTCGCCTCCTCCATTTCGTCGAGGATGAGGGCAAAAAGCGAACGGAATTCCATCTGGGCCAAGGCAAGGTCCATCAGCATCAGGACGTTCTCCGCACGAGGAGTTCCCCGCGGGATGCTCGTGATAGAAACCATCCCCATCCCGCATCGCCGGGAAATACCGGCGGAGACACTGCTAGACCGCCGCGTTGTGGTCGCGTTCGTCGTCGTCGTCGTCGTCGTCGTCGTCCGCCGGGATCCATCTCCCCCTTCCCTCGCCCGCGGCGGCCCCAACGGGAGGATCGGCGTGGTTTCTACCGAGCCGTACAGTTCGTTGACTGGTTTGTCCTGGTAACCGAAATCCCAGAGCCCGCTGATCAGGCACCGATGGTGGTCGCGCTGGAGGCACGTGCGGCGCAGCAGCAGCTGCTGCTCGTCGGCCATATCCGTCGTGGAGGCGTCCGGGGCGAGGAGTACGTTCTCGAGGATGATGGTGGTGGAGGAGTCGTCGTCGTCGTCCTCGACTCCAGGGTATGGACATGGAGACGGCGGGGTGGCGGGCCTGATTGCGGGCGTGGTGCGGCGGTCCCCGGTGGCCAGCATCGGCCGGAGTAGAGCCCTATCGATGTACTGGGCGAGCTGTGAGACCTCGTGATCGTGCGAGCACCGGGCCACGTCGCGGGCGAGTTGCAGCTGGCCTTCGGCGGGGAGATACTTGAATACACAGTGGAGGAAATGGATGGTGTCGGAGTCCGAATTGGGGGCGCGGTACCGCTCAAGTCGGGCGGTTATCTGACGCTGGGCAGTGGTGGTGGAGGCGTCGCGTTCTAGACGGCTTGAAGATTGTGAAGGGGGGGGGGGAATTCCATGCTGAAGGTCTCGGTAGGGAGAGCCCAGATTAGAGGTAGATGTGTACATGTACTGCAGAAGAGTCCAAAGGTTGGTGTCTAATGGCATCATCCGGTAAGCCTGGTGAAGATTAACAACTAGGGTGACTCAATGAGAGACGAAGTGCGCCGAGTTACGTACGTATATAGTACTAGAGGGAGCCAGCCCACATACTTCCGGAACGCCACGCACTTCCTACGTACTACTTATCTTGATATCATATAATCTTTGTAAAGTGTTGGTGCTTGGGCAAGAAACACGCTATGTAGGAGTTTTGAAGTCACGTATTGCAGTGGAAGGATCACATTAGCCATAGAGCTCTTAAGCTTCAGAATACAATACAAACCAGTCATCAAACCATAACCCCGATATTCGCCTGCAATCCGAAACAATGCATCGAGAGTACTCAAACATGTAAACAAGCAAGCAAAGCGATCAACACCATAGGCACTCTCAGCCTTTCGTCTCGTCCCATTTCATCCTCCATTAGGGCTGGGATCCGCAGACACAGGTAAATTACACGCAGTTCATGTACAAGCTCAAAGGCAAGCACAGGACAGCTTACAGTCGCCTCGTACCACGACGGACCCTTTTTCCTCCAGCGGCAGCCATATCAGTCTGTACCGTTATCTGCGGCAGCATCTGATCCCCCTGCATCTGTTCCTCCCGCTGCCTCGCCACCGAGAGCGCAAGCGCGGCCATCTCCGACGCAGTCAGGCTTTGCGTGGACCAGGGCAGCCAGAGACCACTCGCGTCCGGCGTGACCTGATCGTGCTCTGCGAAGTCGAACTCCGGAGGAGGATTGATAATAATATCCTCGACTGGAGCCAGTGTAGCGTGGTTTGTGCCATCATCTATGAGCAGCTCTTGGCTCGTAACCACTGAGAAAGGAGCCACGAGGTCGGGGACGTGAGTCCACGGTCCGACGGTGGCATCGGGTTCGTCGAAGAGCGCTGCAGACGGCGGGTTGGTATCGCCTGTGGTGGTAGTGAGGATGGTGGTGAGGTGCGCGTTGACATCCCAGTTGAAGGCATTGGTGTCCATGGAGTGTTGGGTGGTGGGCGTGCTGGAGAGACTGTTCTCGGGGGCGGGGAACATGGTGATACTGTCGAGATCTAGGTCGAGATCCATATCCATGTTCATGTCTGTGTCCGTCTCCAGGTTAGTGTTGAGGGTGAGGTCATGGCTTTCGAAGATGTGGGTGTTGCCGTTGCGGGTGCTGCGGTTCGAATAGATTGTCACGGCGTTGCTGCTGTCTTCGTGGTGTTGCTCACCTCCTCCTCCCTCTTCTTCTTCTTCTACGGGCTCACCGTTCCAAGATCCTTCGTCGATGTTCTCCTTGTCTTCGTCCCATGGAGCGAAGATGTTCACTCTGATTTCTTGGAATTGAATCTCAATGTCGTCGGGGTCTTCGTAGATAGGAAACCCCGTCCTGGAGAAGGAATGATGGTAATGATTATGGTGATGAGCCTGGTTCTCTGCTGCTGCGCAAGGCTCAAGATCAGTGGAGAGGAGGTAATTCAGGGGATACTCTGAGCTGAGAACGGGAATGTAAGTACGATACGTGTGTGAGGAGGGGTGGGGGGCCGGTGGCGGGACAGCACAGCCGGCTGCGTCTGCCACCTCGCCAGCAGCAAGTCCCGCTATACCATTGGAGGGTGAAGAATCAGAGAGTGTGCTTGGAAAGTGACCGCTTGGCTCGTCCACTCCATAGGCCATGACCCGGTCAACATCCATCTGTTGTCTACCCGTTGCGCCGGCGGCCCTTGCGTGGGAGAACTTCATCGGATCGAGGAGAGACGCAGCACATGCAAAGCTGGGCAGGTTCAAAGCTGCTTCGAGAGCGTCCGTACTGTTCCGCTCGGTCTTCCGCTTCTTATCGTAATGGCGGCGTGGAGGAGAGCTTGCGTTCTTGTTCTCGAGGTTTCTCTGTTTGCCGTCGTCAAGATCTTCCGCTTCTCTGCGCTGCGTGGATGTGCGGACTTTGGCATTGGGAGAAGAGGATCGCTTCGCGTTGTACGGAGGAGTGATCATTTTGACGCTGTGGTTCGTGGTCGTCCAGGACTGAGTTCGTGTGATGTCAGTATATAAAGTGCCACGAAAGGTTAAGAAAGTGTGTGCAATGAATGATAATTTGAAGAACTATCGGGACACAGGTTCGACTCACAGTGTCCATGGTTTCAGTACACTTGTACGGTAGCTTTGTGCTCGCGTTTTTGATTCTCAAGCAGGAAGAGATTACTCTTGGTCATATCAGGTGCTTGTTCTCGGAGGCATCAAGTTCAAATAAGTCCTAGCGAATACGGATATCGAAGAGTAAACTCCTGCACTGCAATGTAGATGCAAGTCTGAAGATATACACACACCAGGATTGTGAGACACAAAAGTCGGCGTCACTGTTGTGGTGAATCTAGAGGAGATACTGTACCGAGAAACCAGTCAAGCGAGGCTGGCGATAGCGATGACGATTCGTCTCATCACTGTGGGAACTTGATCAACGAGGCAGGAGCAGAGACTGAGGAAGATAGCTGCCACCACCTGAATAAGGCCTGTTGACGGTGGAATTGGCGAGGGATGCCAAAGGGAAGGATGGGAGGGGAGGGAGAAGGGGGGAATTCGCAACTGGACAGCGGGCCAATCTATAAGAGGCAAAGCCAAAGCGCGCAGGCTCGTGATTGACTACATACACTCACAATGTCAACTAGAGCATTGGGATGATTCTCTGATGGATGTGTCCTACTATATCTACACGTTTCCTACAACTGATCTACAAGCAAGGAACCACAGTCGAACAATAGAACTTCATTGGGGCCATCAAGCCTTCTCGAAACTCAGGCGCATTTGTGATGGCGCGAGATCATTATCTGTTAAAGATAAGACCTAGCTAGTATCGGCCTATTGCTCTCGATTTTGTCATTTCATTTGGAAGGGGTTGTCCCGCAAAGGAGAGAATCCAGTGGTGATACAGTCTCTCAGTACTCGTCACAGAGCCGATATCCTGTCAGCAAGCCTTCCACACCCACCTCTGCCATGCATCCAGCTAGTAGCAAAATAAATAGGTAAGAAACAGATACAGGCAATGCCCATGTATCAAGATAGCATAACAAGGGGGAATTGACGGGCGCCTGCAAGATATGGACGAATATGTGTTCGAGATATCCTCCATTACCTGGAACTAGGACGAGCATTTGGGCACCCTCGCTGCCCTGTTACGCTTATCTGAACTGTCCAGGTCCAATCATGCCACCGCGGACATCACCGCCAACTTGACCGAACATATCCAACAGGTGTCGAGATGAAGGTGGAGGACCTTGTGGTGGGGGAACGCCCTCGAAAGGAGGCTGTCCGCGAGGTCCGAGTCCCATCATAACATCGCCGTTATGTGGCATAGGCGGAAATGAGGGCGGGGGGCCGTTCATGTAACCAGGGGGAGGCATCATCCCAGGAGGCGGAGGGAAGCCGGCCGAACCACCGCCATTGGCGCGCGGGAAAGGCTCACGCTCGTTGAGAGGAGGAGCATTTCCGTGCATTGGCATCATGTTTGCCATGTAGGTTGGGTTTACACCACGTGTAGGAGTTGGGATACCTGGGGGAGGGGCCAAAGGCGCCGGTCCACCAGCAGGCTGCGGGGGCATTTGAGGGCCCGCCCACCCAGGAGGCGGCATATGCTCGAAGCCGGGCGGTCTTTGCATACCCATGGGAGGATGTCCTTGACCGTGAGGAGCCCTGGTTCCACCGGGCGTGATGGGGACTTGGCCACCAGGAGGGAAAGGAATGTCGTCAAAGTATCCCATCGGGGGCCCATTCACGGGCCGTCTCCGAAGGTGTTCAGCGTCAGCTCTCTGGATATTCGCAATCGCCGGATCATCCAGAAAGTTGGGACCCTTTTGAACAGGAGGGATACCTGGAGGAGGAGACAGTACATCCGGCATGTTCATCATACCGGGCACAGGACCGGCACTCTGTGGCTGATTATGGCCACCCGGAGCAGGGCCATTTACAGGAGTGACGCGAACTTGCTGCATCAGTCGTAGAAGGTGCTCTCTGTCACGAGCCTGTGTTTCCGGGGGGTATGGGTTTTCCTTGAATGGAGGGCCAGCGGCTCGAGACGGCGTCTCCAGCATAGCTAGATACTCCTGTCGCTTGATATGTTCTCGAGAAGGAGAAGAAACAGCGCTCTGAACCTGTTCCGCCTGCACCAAGGAGGGAGGCCGATTAGCAGGCATAGTATCATTATGTGGTGTCCCGTTACGCGATTTTCCGCCTCCAAGCATAAGCAGAATACGTTGAAATCCTTCTTGGTCGGCATCGGTGGAACCGGCAGGCGTCAGAGCTGGAGATCTGGTATCATGTTGAGGTTCTGGATCTCTCGCAGGACTTCCGGGCGGAGGACTAAAAAGTCCAGCAAATCGAGAAGACTTCATGGCTTTAGCAGCTTGAGCCTCCTTCTTTGGAGTTGCCTCCACTTGCACCGGCGGGGCGCTGACCTCCGGCGCAGGCGCAGGCGCAGGCGCAGGCTTGGATTCGCTCAGCAATCCAAAGAAACGCTCCATGGCTGAGTCTTGCTGGAAGGGGGTGCCATTACTGCTGAAGATCTCCCCATCGGTAGGTCGAGTATCTGGCTGCTGCTGAGGGGGTGCAACTTCAATCTCGGCAGGAACCTCGTGGTTGTCCGTTGCATGAGGCTGAGATCCAGCTTTCATTCGCTCCTTCCAACGCTCAAAGTCCTCCTGTGTATGCACCCTCCGATACTCATCCTTGTCGTTGGTATCCAGCCACTCAGGCTCCTGTTCAAGTTTGGCACCACGGGTCCAATCGCGATCAGCACCGTGTCGATCCCGACGCCATTCTCGGTTACGGATCGGGGTCTTGTCCTCCTCCGCTTCGGGTGTTTCGTGGGGAGCGTTGTCCTCTCGGAACCAGCTTCCTTCATGCCTAGCGCGCCCCGGTGTACCGTCCTTGCGAAGGGTGAACCGAGTATCCTTGCTGTCTCTCACAGTCCGATCATGAGTCGGCTCACGTTGGTCGCGAGTATCCCATCGGTCGAACTCTCCATTACGTCTGGGCTTGCGGTCCTGTTCCTCCGGGCCAAACGTGCGACGAGGACGTCCATTAATCCAGTCTTCCTTGTCCCCGCGCCGAGCATTGAACGCACCCATCTTCCCATCGCGTCGATCAAAATCCCTGTCGTTGGGATCCCGTTCCTTGAAGAACTTGTCTCGAAAGGCAAACCGATCGGTTTTCAGGTCCTCGGCATCGTGCGGCCTGGATGACCTATCCGTGGAATCTATGGATCCCTTACCAGCGATGCGAGAGGCAGAAGCGAAGGCGGTCTTAGGAGGTCCGAGAATGATATCCTCTGCGATACAGCAGCAAATGCTCGTGTTAGTGATGGCCGTGCTATTCCGTCTCGGCAAGTAGACTGTGTTCTTTACCTGAGTTCGAGTTCCGGGACATGTGACGGGTATCGAAGAGGCTCGGCCGTCTAGGTGTAGTCTCATTGGGATTGGTGGATTCTCGTGAATTTGAGGTTTTCCGTTGTGTAGTTGGGTCGGGGATGGGGCTAGAAGTAGAATGTATCAGCTTCATGACGACCTTTGGCTGGGGCCATTTGTGGGGAGAGGATATCATCAAGGTGCCCTACCCCATCCATTCGTCTACTGGCGGCAGTGTAGGAGGTCGAACGACCAGAGGCGATCCGCGCAGCCATAGCAGCTCATCGATATGATAACGTCGTGCCATGAGGATGGCCAGGAGGAGAGTGTGTGATGCTATCCGGGGGTTGCGTTTACAACGATTTCATTGGTTGCGGACGGGAGTGATGATGAGTGAGTAGCGATAGTGAGAGATATGATAAGAGTGAAGCACGGAGAGAGAGGTGATTTGAGTTTGAGTTAGAGCTGAAGAGGAGCTGGGATTGATTGCGACAGGTGCGTAGGAAGATCAAACGAGCCAAAGATGGCAGGCCGTTGCCAGTGGCAAGGCCGAAAGGCGGAGGGAGCTTCGATCGGTCAAGTGTTCAAGCAACTGGTTTGGGGGGGGGTGGGAGCGGATGAGGGGCACCACAACAGTTGGAAAATTTTCCACGATGAACTCTCTCGGAAATGATAGTAGGATCAAAATCAGGGAGTGAATCGGAGATAGAAATGAAGCAGAAGGCTGCAGGAACAATGTGGAGGGTACGGGGGTTGGGGGCGTATGAACGGGGCGGGTTTGAGGGGGAGGAAGAGGGAAGAGGAGAAGGAGAGAGAGAGAGAGAGAGAGAGAGAGAGAGAGGCAGTTCAGTTCAGGTGAAAGGGTGGAAGTTCCCAAGTTGCGGTGCGGGCAGGCAAAAGATCGAGGCGAAGTTTACGGCACTGCAAAACGTGTGCATTACCCAATCAGGCAACTCGCCTGACACCCCCCCAGACTCAATCAATCAATAATTAATTCCAACTACGAGTAAACACCACCTCCCAAAGTTATGACCTGGCACTTTATCGTCTTTAATAAGGATTGAATTAATTACTAGACTAAAAGTACCATGCACTTCCATGATTATGCTGTTATTCTGACCAGTTACTACCAATCCCCGTTTGCCTCGGCCCCTGCACCCTATGACTTTGCCTCGTTACGGCGCAGAGCAACTGGTTCTCCCTGAACTCCATTCATGAGGGGTAGAAAATGATGACATGGTGCATGGCTAGGTGTCTCTCGTGTCGAAACTCACTTGTTACCTCGAATCTTTCGCCTAGAGCTGACCAAGAGGCGTTGAGCTTACGGATATCTCCAGGTTGCACTAGTATACCATCTCAACCGAGCGCCAATTGGATTCCAACACATGTCTATCGAGCATATACAACTATTATAATATCCCCAACAGGTAGTCCCTAACCCACAATGTTCTCAACCGCTTTCAGCACGGCACCTCCACTCCATTTTTCCACCCGGTCGCTGTCAGAGGTTCGCTGCAGGCTGTGGGCAATGGCCGTGAACGTGGGCGTCTCTTTAGCCGTCACGGCTGGGATCTGACTCTGAATCCAGCTCATTATGCCCGCCCTCGTAATCAGCGTCGTGCTACCCTGCACTTGGGTGGTGCGATACAGAAGTTGCAGGATCTTTCTCTTGACCGAGTGGGCTGCACTCGGTGCTTCATAATAAGAGAGGGATCGTTCAAAGACGTTGGCTCGGCGATAGATATCCATGTCCTAATGTTTTTCGTGAGCGCATGTACAAGCAGAGGTAAATTCAGGAACGGAACAAGCATACCACTTCAGTGCGAAGACCTTTGATGAGTAGATCGAATAGCCACCCGGTCTCTTCGAAGTACCCATCGTCAAGCTCAGGCTCATGCAACAAGATCTTGTCAATCCAGAAAGAGGGGATCTTCTCTAGCTCCCAAGAAGGAGCCTTCTGCAGGAATTTGTTGACCTTCCCATACAGTTTGTGCATTGGGTTGGTTAGGACATCGAGACAGCTAGAGGCACATTCTCCTACAATCCACGGCACAGGAGACTCGAGACCGATTTGTTTGACGGTTTCAAGGAGCTCCCCCGTGAGGATGTAGACGGACCGCCATTCGGCATACTTGGAGTCCTAGGGTAGAAAGTCAGTCAAGGCCTGTAGCAGTATCTATTCAACGGAAATAGGCATACCTTAAGCTTCGCCATGAAGCGAGTCACATTCGCAAATGCCTGTCGGCGGATTTCCTCATGCGCTGAGCACAGGCAGAGCATCAAATCGGCAATCCGACCCTGCTCGATTGCCACATCGATTTCATCCTTCTCCCATCGGTACAGTTCGTTATGAGTGGTGCCCTCGACGGGCAATGTGCCAAAGATCTCATCCAAGTCCACCTCCGGTTGTCCACTCGTTTCGGTGGTCACTTTATCTTGCGTAGATGTACGGACTTCCCCAGAATTGTCGTCTTCCGGTTCTTCGCTTTCTTTCCACGCCTTTTTCAAAGCCGACTTGGATTTCTTGTTCTCAGTGCCGCCCATTAACGTGTCTCGAGCGGTTTTCAAGGCTTTAGAGTCTTCCCCGGCGCGTTTCAAGCTCGCGAGCAGCTTGACAACCCAAGCACTCACGGCGAGTTCCACGGCTTTATCGCCAGCCTTCACAACGAACGGCCACTGCTCGAGAACAGCAGCCAATATGAGACTCACCGGCTTTGACACCTCTGGGAATGAGGTTTCAAGTAGGTCTTGATAATGGACGGGCTTCTTCGCAATACGGCAAACACAGTTGTCAAAGAAAGACAATTGCTGTTGAAGCTTGTCCGAGTCGGTAGTCTCGAAGCTAGATAAGATCGACGGAAAGATGGAGTCATTCTGAATGATCGAATACTCATTGAGTACCTTTCTGAGTAGACTGTCAATCTCACTCAAAGACTCTCGTGACGAGGCCTGGACCAAAACTTTCAAGATCGAGGTGAAAGCCGAGTATTGCATAGATGCTACAGGGTTTAGCAGTTGATCGTAGATATAGAACCGACTTGACTTACCAGGCTGTTGCCACCAGCGCATCGATGAAGACTGCTGGGTGATCTTGAGCAGATTTTGCAGTTCACTCAGCAAAAGTTCGGTGTCGTCTGCATCAAGATTCTGCTCGTCTAGCTTCTTCAGGATGTCAACCATGACCAATGAGACATCGAATCCTTCTTCCAACGCAGCATCTGGAACGATCTCATAATAGCATGCAAGAAGCTCCGACACCGCCTCTTGTTGCTGTAAATCTTCCTTGGCCGTTCTCTTGAACAAGACAATGACCTCCTTGACAGCCGGGCACCTCCGACAGAACTCAGCAATCAGTTTGCTGGCCGCCTGCATCCAAAGCGACTGGCTGACGCCATGATCAGAATTGAAAATCTTCAAGACTGCCCGCAACTTGTTGAAGGCAATCGTAAGAATCCTCACGGCGAAGAGCGTGACGATCTCCGTGTTCATGTTGAGGCAGCGACTTAGGATCTTCTGTGAGAGAGGGCGCGGGAGAACGTTCTCAATGACCACCGACACTGGCGGTGGCATCGGAGGTGATTTTTCCTTATAACCACAATTCGAAGGAACTGGGAGTTGAACAGTGGAGAAGAGAAGGGCTGACTCTGCCATCCAGGAGGGAGTAGGTTTGGGGTCCGCAGTGAACATGGTCTTCTTGGTGAAAAAGTCGGCTACCAGCTCTGGTGCCGCTTTGAAGATAGCAACGAGAAGCTCGATCTGAAGACTATCTGCATCCGGACGGAGAGCCTGGATCAGATAAGACAGCGTTCCATTCCGGACCGGCACGGTCTTGTTATACTTGTCGAGATAGACTGCTGAATCCAGGCCCAGATCAATCAGGGTATCGTCATCCGTCGGCAAGGTTTCAGGGTCGCTACCAGTGGGATACCAGCCGGTTTCAGGCAGCAGGACGCCGAGATCAGAGTTCGTGCAAACGTTCATCAAGATCTTATGGACCTCATTTGCCGTTGAGACGCCGGTTGGGTTGGGCTCCTCTGACTCGCGGTCATAGCCATACAGTGTCACAAGTCGCTCAAGGTTCCACCGGCTGAAGAACTTCGTCTTTACATGGCGAGGGATGGACGTATCGCGAATGACATCTCTTTCAATGGATTGGAGAATTTCAAGAACAATGTCCCGGGGATCCTTCCTGATATATTCGAGGAATGCTCTGATCGCCTTGTGCTCTCCGATGATATCGCTTTTTGAGTTGGCGTGCTGGAACTTGAAATTAGCAAGGACATACTTTTGAGCGTTCCTTCGCAACGTAGACTTGTGTCCATCCTCGGCCATCTCTTCCAACTGGGCCTTGTTCGGCGTCAGGAAGAACTCGATACGTTTGAACGTAACGTGCCGCGCCTGGTAGACCTGGCGTGCGACAGCACCTCCGTCGAAGGTAACCATCTCCGTCAAGAGACGCAGGCAGGGAGAGATGAGATGCTCCTTGGATTTGATCGCAGTCAAACCGCGGTTGAACAGCCTCAGCTGCTCTTTCTGCAAGAGATACTTGCATAATGCCACGCCGAAGTCCCGGAACTCCAGATTGGTGGAGATGGTCTTGAAGAATTGAGCGAGGATGGCAGGAACCGTGGTCAATAACGACTCGTTGTTATTGCTATCAGCAAAACCCCAGGTCTGAACCAGGTCCGGGAAGCAGACAGCCTCATTTTCATTAGTTTGCGAGAACTGCGAATCACAATAAGCTTTGAGAATGCGGAACTTTTTGGCTTTCTCGGCCTCATTCTCTGCCAGTACGATAGAAGAGAGGAAATCCTTGAATTTTCGTAGTCCTATTCACGTTGTCAATATTCAGGTTCCGCTAACCATTGGAGGCGAGGTACCTTGCTTAGATTCGGCAGGGTTTTGCTGAAAGGTCAGTGCAGTTCGGAGGTGAGTGTGCGAGGTAATGGTGGCAGGAATTTCCTCGCCCTCCGGGGCACTGTCCAACTTTCTCCTCTTGTTTCTAGAGAATTGATTGTCGTGGGACGACATTGTGAATTTATTTGGAAGGATGCAAAGACGAAAGAAATCACCACCTTATCAATGGCTGCAGTAACTGACTGCCTCGCCCGGCCGGCTTCAGAGTTTTGCGGCCTCTGATTGGACGGTAAATACGCCAACTCGACTGGAGAGCTGGAATTTAAACTGGACGGTAGACTCCAACCCAACACTGTCACCGCAGTGCAGATTAGCATATGCAAAGTACTGTTGTTACCTCAGCGGGCAGTACTCCAAGAGTTGAACCATTGAAGTATGACAAGGTATGATAATTGATTGAAAGGATAACACCAACCTTTGCAGTTGATGTTCCTCAGGCACTACTACCACCACCTCGCCGCCCGCCGCCATAAAAAGTCCTGCCAAAACCGGAAGTCGCGCTAGAAGGCCGCCGGGGGCTAGCCGCTAGTTTTTGATTGGTCTGTGCTTTCTAGCATGTGTTTGGTATACTAGGTCTATATTCAGTCGGTACATCTCGATCAATACAGATATTGACTTGCCAGCCGATCTACGTATCCAGTCCTCAGAAGTCGATGAGATATATTCTAAAGCAAGCAAAGAGTACGATATGACATTTATCATAACACATGAGACCTCCAGGAAAACTGCCACCACAAAGGCGTCTTCAACTCATCTCGATGCTGCCCTGCAAGGCCGACTGATTCTCTCCCACATCAACTCCGGCCTGACCATCAGACCCTACAAGCCACCACAGTCAGCCTCTTTCCTCACATCCCCAAGCAGCAGAGATAATGGAAAAAAAAAACATACATCAAGATCCTCGAAGCCCACAAACGACAAGACCAGCCGATTCCGGCTCGGCAGCGTGACCTGCCGCCGCTGCACCTTGCCCTCCAACTGCAGCAAGGAAGCCATCTCGGCGCGGTGGCAGACGACGAAGCTGCGGTTCGTCTCCCGCTCGTGCAGCTCCACCCAGTATTCACCGGTGTACATGAAGCCGTCGTTGAGCGTCGTGCGGGACTGCCTCGTTTGTCTCTGCTTGTTGGTCGCGGGCATGAGGTGCACGGACATGCACCCGTCCGGGTGGTAGGTGAGGATCCCGCGTGCGTCGGGGCCCATGGGATGCAGGGAGGGGCCCTTGCCGTCGTAGGGGTCGGAGAAGTACTCGATAAGGGACCAGGAGCCCACGAGCGCTTGTTCGATGTCATGCTGGGTAGTGTACATCTTCGGGGTGGGAGGAGCGGTGGAGGGGGAGGACGACGATGTTGACGACGAGCAAGACATATTTTCCGGTCTTGGAATGAGAGGTATGGTACAGCAAGGAGGTAGTAATAGGCATATTGGCTGGGAGGAATGAGTGGGTTTTTATAGTGTGAAAGTCGAGGACCGGGAGATCGCGTGTATATCTTCCAGTACTGTACAGTAGACTAGATCGGCGAGAATCTGACCCCCCCCCCAGTGATGTGAGTGACTCTTGCATTGCTGTTCAGTCTTGTCTGGCGATATGTGTCGGCGTCTAGGTGATACGAAGAAGCTAATCTTCCCTGTTCCCCGTGACAAAGTCTAATCGCTCGGGGTCTTCTTCCACGGACGGAGAGCCACTTTGGCCCTGCTGCAGTCACCGGATGAGCCTCGGGATCGAAGAGGAACGGCGAACCTTGATCCCGGAAGGCTGGCTTCCCGTTGGTGGGAAGACATCACCGGCGGTGGTTGTGCATACTTCGTGTGTACAGGGATCATAGATGAGGCATAGACGAGAGATCCGGAGTGGTGACCGATCTGGTAGGAGTTCTTGCATCGACGGCATTGCCTTTTGGCATGTGGTTTGGGCTTGAAGTATACTATATTTACCGAGTAGTTGTTTTAGAAGTGCTAGCCTCGCAACCCTATAACCCTATGAAGCGCCTGTCCAAGGGTAACGAACGCCGACTGGTCATAACTACCGACTGAAGTGAGTACTTGAAGCAGTTTCAGCCTGTAAGTTATGGTAATAGAGCGACCATTGACCCAATCGAAGAGGGAGACTCAAATAGTTGCAACCACAAGCCCCCCACAGTAGGAGTCCCTGGTAGCATAGTCCCTCGTAAGTTGAGACATCTCTGACGGGGTGATCGAACAGCAAAGAAGAGCCCAGGTAGTTGATGACGACCAGTCCTAGTCTAGATCCAACCGGATTATGACTGATCATGGATATCTTTCTCTAAGCATAGTTGAATGTCGTCCAGTTAAAGTCGTCCAGGCAAAGGCGATACTGCGAGATGGGACACTCGGATAACTTATCTAGATGTATAAGATCGCAGGCATGAGCCGTAGAATAAGCAGGTTGGCTCGAATATAACTCGTATAACTCTCATTAGATTTTGGGATTGAGCCGACAGGGAGTGGAAGGTTGCTCTTGCCATCTGTAGAGTAATATATTTTGTAGATCATGAGTCCCATAGTATTACATTTTATGACCCGCAAAATGAAAGACAGTATTGTTTTTATCACAAATTCATGAGGGGTATGCGGTGGTAACTTTGCCATATACATGCCTGAAAAAAATAGAGAATATAAAGTCTAAACCAGCACCAAACAAAATCACTAACCCCAAGTTCCACCACCACCACCTCTGCCTTGGCGCCTCTGTGCAGATAGACGCCAGTCGTCCTCTCCTGCGAAGCGATTGTGCAGAGGTTGGATGCGCTCGGCCTTCTTGCGCTTCGAGAGTCGATCCGTCGGCGCAACCTTGAAGAACGTCGGCGCGGCTTCGACCAGCCATTTGGGTTCGATGGATGTGGTGCAATGCATGTACTCCTTCGTCGTAAGGACCAATGTGTGGTAGATGACGTGCTCAGAAGGTTTCCCGAACAGCGCGGAGCTGGGGTGCATGTAGACCGGTGTGCCTTCAACCAGAGTCTTGTAGCCCTCTTGAGGGTCTTTACGAGCCGCGTTGCGGAAGAAACCCGTACATAAAGCTTGACGAACTTTGGTAGTGTTACGGCCACAGGACACAATCTTGTGATGGTACCGATCCATGATGCCCATCAACTGCTGACGGACATCTTGAGCACGACGGATCTGACGCGCTTGAATGAAGTTCTCAAAGCACCATGCGTTGTTGAATTTCGAGTTCTTCCATGCATTGTAAACATTGAGAAGAGTTAAGTGGTCACCGTGCGGATCGTGGAATTTGGCCTTCTTCTGATCGGCTTGCTGCTGTTTCTCCTTTGGACGATAGAACACTGACTGAATGGACAACATGGCGACAATGCTTAGCATTTCTTCCGAGCATCCCATGTCAACAGATGCAATTAGGACCTTGGCGAGGGCCGGTTCCATAGGGAAGTCTGCCATCTTCCTACCCAGGCGAGTCAAAAGACCCTCGTCATCCAGTGCAGAGAGCGCGTATAGCTCTTCCAAGGCAGTAAGCATAGTGTTTGTTGGTGGAGGATCCATGAAATCGAAATGCAGAAGATCGTTGATGCCCATTGCCTTGAGCATGAGAATGGTGTGAGAGAGATTCTGGCGTTGAATTTCAGGAATCGTGGTAGGCAACATCTCGGATTGGTAGGCCGCTTCAGTGTAAAGACGGAAGCATTTGCCTGGACCGGTTCTTCCTGCACGACCAGCTCGTTGCTTGGCTTGCGCCTGTGAGATAGGGGTGACAACCAGCGAGTCCATACCGAGCTTGGGATCGTAGGCATTCTGCTTCACAAAACCAGGATCGATAACATAATAGATGTTATCAATGGTGATGGAGGTCTCCGCGATATTCGTCGCGATGACAACCTTTCTGCCACCTGGAGGTGCAGGCTCGAAAATTCGACTTTGCATCTCACTTGGCAGAGCGGAATACACAGGAAGAATGACAAGCTCGGGGACAGTTGACCCCAGGGCTTTCATCCGTTCGTATAGAATTTCGCAAGCTGTGTCAATTTCTTCTTGCCCTGTCAAGAAGAGAAGAATATCACCCGAATGTTCCGTCAAGTGGATCTGCATGACTGTAATCAAGGCTGCATCGAGATAATCGGACTCGGGCTCCTTGGAGTACATGATCTCGACCGGGAATGTGCGACCCGGGATAGAGAAGATAGGACAGCCGTTGAAATATTCCGAAAACTTTTCTGCGTCCAGAGTGGCCGAGGTGACGATAAGCCGAAGATCAGGGCGTCGCTTGATGGTCTTCTTTAGCAGACCGAAAAGAACGTCCGTGGCAATCGTTCGCTCGTGTGCCTCGTCCAGCATGATCACAGAGTATCTCTTGAGTTCCGGGTCAAGAAGAATCTCTCTCTGAAGCATACCGTCGGTCATGTATTTGATCTTCGTCTCCGGGCTAGTACAATCCTCGAAACGAATCGTGTATCCAACCTCCGCACCAAGCTTACAGCCAACTTCTTCAGCGACACGCTTGGCAACAGACATGGCAGCTACACGGCGAGGTTGTGTGCAGCCGATGAGACCATTGTTTGCGTATCCACCTTCAGCCAGGTACTGTGTCAACTGTGTTGTCTTTCCGGAACCAGTATCACCAACGACAATCAACAATTGGTTGTCACGAACAGCATCGAGCAACTGCTTGCGGAACTTGTAGACGGGCAAGCTCTCCCGCTGCTCTTTGATAGACATGCTGGTCCGTTTTCCGAAAGACACGTTCTTGCCCATTGTGACTCTCTTCCATTCGGGCACAGCCTCGTCGGGTTTTGCTTGCTGAGCGTTCCGAAGATCTGCAGCGAACCTGCGCTCCTCCGGCGCCACCATCGGGTCTTGCCATTGCGCATTGAGATCGACATTGGCTGCTTGCTCTGCTGCTTTGTCCTGGGCTTCCTGCTGTCTGAGCTCCCTTCTGTCCTTTGCCAGGTTTGTGCCTGCCATTGCGGCTCGGTTCATGGAGCCGTCCGGTGCCTTGACAACTCGAATAGGGGACAACTCCAGTGACATCTTAGTCTGTCCCGCCAGGAAGGGCGGCTCCTCATCGCGAACCTCGATATCAACATCCTCTTCTTCCTCAAATGTACCTTCTCCGGTCAAGGTGGCATGATACTCTTCATCGATGTCAGGATAATCGAGCGCCGAAACAGCACCGGAGGCAATGAGTTGTTTTATTTCCCATCTCTCAGGGGACGTCAAACGCTTCCTGTTCTTCATGGGCCTGCCATTTGAGTCCTCGATGATAGGCACATCCGAGCTCAAGTTGCCGTATCTGTCATCGTCACCGGTGCCATCGAGACGTTCCATATTCGCCCCGGACGCTAGACGCCGCTGAGGAATAAGGTCCATGCCAGTAACCTGGTCGACTTCCTTCATGGACAGACCAATACGAGAGCCTTGTATGCTGACGACCTTGACCTTGACTGGCTGGTTGCGGGACACCAAGTCCGAAGGATGATTGACACGCGCGCCCTCCTGCATCGCAGAGACGTGTACCAGCCCATCAACCTTGCCCTTGACACCCAACAGATTGACGAATGCGCCGAAGTCCTTCACGCCCGTCACACGACCATCGTATACTTTGTATAGGATAGGCTGGTCATCCAGCTCGACCGGCGGAGGCTTGCGGAAGTAGTCGTCATCCCCCGCTCGGTCGCGGCGACTCCTGCGCTCACTGTGTCCATTGCGATATCCGTCGTCCCGGCTACTGTATTTGCTCTTCGACCTGCCAAATTCGTCCACCTCATCCTCCGCCTCTCTCCTGCCGTAATGAGGGCTGTGCGATCTCGACCGCGAACGGTATCTGTCGTTGCGCCTGCGCCCGCGGTCGCGGTCGCGGTCATGGTCACGGTTGTCGTAGTCCGGGCTTCGACTCCGCTTCCTGCTGCTGCGATCCACGCGTGACAACGAGGGGGCTTTGTCCTCGCGCGCCTTGCCCGCCAGCCCTTCCAGCATCGCAAACGTATCGTCCATCGCGTCAGCTTTCGGATCGCTCTCCTGCACACCCTGCCGCGCGGTATAGTCCTCATCATCCCACGTCTGCACCTTGTCCGGCACCGCGAGACCCTTGAACACGCGCGCCTTCTTCTCGAGAGCCCCAAGGATATCCATATCGTCATCGCCAGTCGCTCCGGACGAGTTCTGCTCCTGTGTGTTCTTGGCTTTGTACTTGGGATGCATCGTGAGGACGAGACGGTCGATACTCTCCATCAGACTCTGCGGGAATTCGGCGCCCATCTCCTCCAGGCTCTGCTTGAACTCGGCGAACGAGCCGCATTTGAGATGCTGGTCGATGACGAACTCGGCTAGAGTCTTGTCGCTGACGCCCAAGTGGTTCTGGAGCTCCCCGGTGATTCGCGAGACGAGCGAAAAGAGCTCCAGAGACTGGAGGTCATCCATGGCGGATGCTGTTTCTTGTTTTCTTGTTCGCAGTTGAGGAGGGTAAGCGGGTCGGCGTTCGCGTTGAGAGATAGAAATGACTTCGGTACAGAGGCCGTTCGATATTGCGAGGGGCGTCGAACCACTCGCTCCAGGTGGTTTGATGATGGGGCGAAGGACAAGCTGGTCTGCCCGATTTGCTTCAATGTCCGTGGAGGTGGACCTGCGACGGCACCGAAATGGCGAAGCTCACTGGCGCGGAAAATCGTTGTGGCGTGCTCGGGGGTAATCCGCCACCGATAAGATAAGACGCTGGCAGTATGTTTGCACATATGTTTGTCTACTCAGCTGAACTATAACCCAGGTTCGAAAAGATCAAGTTGACGATGGCATAACATACAGTGGTCTGGGAAGCTCTTAAGTAGAGAGCTTTTAGCTTAGACTAACAATCATGATGAGAAGTAACATTTAAGAAGCAACAAGATCAAAAAAAGCTCGCCCGCCAGTGCAGGCTACGAAAACCCCTCTTATCCCCGGGTGTTTTCATGCCAGTGAATCTCGACTGGTAGAGCCAGCGTCTGGAAGTGCCAGCCAAGATTCGAACGCAGGATTTGGGCGTTCACCTCTATGATCAGCTGCAGCGTTTCCCAAGTACGCCACAGGCCCTGCTGGTTACCGATCTACAACCGGAGTGAATGGGATGTTATGTTTACTTTCTGGTAGGCGGTGTAGATACTGCCCGGGTGTAGCTCGGAGGTATGTACAGCACTACACCGCCTCCTGGGTGTATCAAAAAACGGTGGCTACGGAGTAAATACTAAACTACTCGACTGATGACTGCTTCGTACTGTAACTCAGAGCTTAACATGCCTTGCGCATGTGACGATCAAGCAAGGTTCAACTTTGATTATGCAGAGTAGGGTTATCTCTGTACATTTGTTCCTTTCCTCAGTTTCTAGTATACAAAAAGTCCGCAAGGATCATAGTCCACCCGAGTTCTATATACACAAGAACATAACATGATTGGCACGAACATGCGCTTCAATTCATGAAAGAGCAGTCTCTTCGATTATGAGCCTAGTGAGATCCTCCTTGGGCACTCGACTTTTCTTGGGTCTGATCCTCCTGGACAGGCTCTTCCTGGGCACTATCTTCCTGCAGATTAGCTTCCTCCACGGGGTCTTCCAGCACAGGGTCTTCCAGCAAGTCATCGGTGTGTAGCGCGTCGTCTTGCGCTTGACCATCAAGCAACGTCATGCCGCTACCGTAGGTCGTATCGGCGGACTCGGCCAGCAGACGCTGTGTTTCCAAACTCTGTCTCTCAAGAGCCTGTTGCCGTCGGAGAGAAGAGTCCTTTCTGAGCTTCTTGTTGGCAGAGAATTCTGTCAGAGCCCGGACCATCCTTTCTTCCAACAACTCCTTAACGTGCATGGCTAGAGTCCGGTCCGTGAAAATGCCACCAAAACGGAAGCTCAGCCAGAGATATAAGACGATTGACTTGTGCAGAGATTCCAACTCTGTGGTGTAATCTTTGCTGCCTGAAACCTCTTGTTCGAGAATCTCCAGATTGAGGCTCGAAAAGCTTAGAAGATGACCGTTAGAGTTCTCAGCAACGGCGCGAGCGAAATCAACAGCTGCATCCCGGCCAATGATATCCTTGACGTACATAGGTGCGGCCATGAGAGTCAGTTGGTCAGGGATGCGCAGCCCTTCGACGGCATCGATGATCTCGGCGTTTTCGAGCTGATTGCGAGGATCGCACAGAAAGAATAATGGATGTACTTGTGCGACCGACAAAATGCGCTTGATCAGATATTCCAGGGGAGTGTTCGCTGGGTAATGAGCCGAGAACTTCTGGAAGACAGAGTCCGGAGCCTGTAAGCCCGCCGCAACAAGGGGAGGGGGCTCGATATCCATTGCCTGCCGGATGTAAGGTAGATCAACTTCCTCAAGGGATGTCACCCAACCGACATTGTCTTCTGTCTCATTTTGGGAAACTTTCCCGTGCTGCACAGCAGGCCGATAACGACCTGCTCGCCCTCCGATCTGTTTGATCTCTGGTACAGTGAGCCGTACAAGACCTCCCGGGAGCATCTTGACCACGGTTTCAAAAATGATACGCTTGCAGCTCCTAAAAGACGGAATATTAGTATCTGAGGAAGTCGGCCAGTCTCAAAAGTAACTCACAGGTTCAGACCCATGCCAATAGCGTCGCTGGCAACTAGAAAGTCGTAGTCATTGTTCGGATCGTTGAAGAGTGCAGCCTGCTGGGTCCTGATTTCGGCCGGCAAGCTCCCATAGACGATAGCTGCGCGTTTGCCCGTGGCTTTTTCGATCTCCGCTTTCAGAGCGTGAATCCCAACGCGTGAGAAGGAGACAACACAGTCCCCTTTCTGAAGATTCTTTAGATTGCCCCCGAGACTCTTTTTAGCGACTTTCAATTCGTTCAGTCGTTCGTAGCGGTGAATCTCGAGTTTGTCACCAGTCAGAGCAGTCAGCTCTCGAATCAAAGGAACCACTCGGGTTTCACCACAAAGATGAAGTTCTTGGACGCGAGCACCCAGAAAGGCACGGGTCCAAGCCCACCCACGCCGAGTATCACTGATCATTTGGATCTCATCGATGACACCGACTTCATATGACTGTCCTATACTAACCATCTCCACCGTATTGCTGACAATCCCTGCCGGCTCATCACCTTCACCTTCGTGAATCTTGACATCATCACCAGTGATCAAGCTGCAGGGGATTCCAGCCGTCGAAAAGCGCTGGAACACTTCCTGGGCCAGAAGTCGCAACGGCCCAGCGTAAAAGCCAGTCTTGGACGTTTGCAGGCGTTTCAGTGCATGGTACGTTTTCCCCGAGTTAGTGGGGCCGACGTGTAAGTGTATGGTGCGCTGGATGGCGCGCGCTTGCGGGTACAGCTCCGTCGGACGTCGCATATCCGCGATTATCCTCTGCCGGACCTGGTTCGGTGCCCCATATTCCGCCGTGATATCTTCCGAGTACATCTGGAATTCCAGCTCGTCTCTCAGTCCCTTAAGTCCATAGTTGCTGTGGGCCTGATGCAAGGCATTCTTGAGGCGGCGCAAAGCACCTGCGGCCGCGGTAGTTTTGCGATCGTCTAATTTGCATGCATTCAGCACCTGTCGTTGAAAGGCATCCCACCTCTTCAAGGACGTCGAATCTTCCGCTCTCGTGAGCCTGCTGTGATAGGTTTCAAGGCTTTGTTTGACGACCGCCACAAAATCAGGTCCGGTCAATGTTGAGCGTTCTCTAGGAGGAAACTTGGGACGTGATGCGTTCTTTTCTTGCTCTTTCTTAGCCCGATTGCCTCTATCCTTTTGCCCCTGATGGTAGTGGAAGAAGAAGAAGAAGAAGAATTAGCATTGCATCAAAAGAACTCAGTAACAAGTGCTTGGCCATACCGCTTTTCTCTGCAGCACCGGCGAAGTTGCGAAGGCCCGATTTGCAGGACGGACTATCGGGTGCAGTGTACACAGAAGGCATTGACTGCCTTTGCTGCTCCATAGGCGCATGCCTAACGCGGAAATGAAATATTGAGACGTATGCGATCGTTGAAGTGGTATGTTCTTTCGTTCTGTAATCGAATGGCAAATCTGGGAGATGAACGGGATCGTCCAACCAAGGCGTGAAGGCGAAGAGACGAGACGCGATTATCACGGCCTGGGTTTATCAGAGAAGCCGGAAAAAGAAGTTGAATTTGAAGGTTATTAGCGGAGGGATAGAGGAACAACAGCAAGCTCCCTCTGGTAGATTCCCTCCGTCATGAAGTCGCCATCGATTATCTTTTTTTTTTCTGCCCTATGTCAAGCTGCGGCGATAGAGGAAGACTTCCGAGGCGGAAGAAAGTGGCTACACCGCCCTCACCGCCTTCCCAAGGTTTATCCCCTGCGGCGGATGAAGGTAAGGCAGCGAGCGCAGCGGAGGAAAAGGTGGGGACGGACGGGACTCGGAGCTTGAGGGGTCTCACACCAACCATCTGCTACGTTTCATAAAGATACCTCAACTATTATCATCAGCACCCCCTGATTTGATTGATCTTCGTGCAGCGCCCCTGTCGCTTGCTTGTCTGTTGCCTTTCTCGGCTGCTGCCTCCTCTGGTCTGCCGCCTTAAACTGCCTTAGCACCCCTCAATCCTCACCCCTCTTTCCAGTGTTGTGAGTTACAAGTTACCAGTCTATGCCCCAGCGGAGGGCTGCCCGTCAGCCAAAATGAGCGCCTCGATCCTCAACATTCAGCGCGACAGTAAGTCCTTTGGTCAATCCCCCGTGCGCGCAATATCTCCCGTACTGATTTATCCCTTTCTTCGGCCAGTCATCCTGAACACCATCCGTTACGCGGCGGGGAACGAGGTACGGTCTCTCGCTCATTGCCCCTCCTGATAACTCCGGCCCCCTCACCACTCTCCCAACCCCCATACAGCTGACGTCGGGCGCTTGTAGTGGAAGGTCCTAGTTGTGGACGAGACCAGTCGCAAATTGATCGACAATGCCGTCAGCGAAGATGACATCCTCAACCTCAACGTGACCAGTAAGCGGGACTTCATGCCGAATCTATACCTGTCGGTAGGCGCTAACTGGCCCGTTCCTAAGATGTTGAGCAGATCGAGCACCGACGCCCAACAAATGCCTCTATGGATGCGCTGTACATCCTTTCCCCCGTCCCGCATATTGTCGACTGTTTGATGGCCGATTTTGAGCGGAAGAGGTACAAGAAAGCATGGCTGGTTTGGACGTCCTGTTGGTCGCAGCATTCCTGAGGTGCTATGGTTGGTGCTGACGTACGGGGCAGTTCTCGATCCGCAGCAACGAGCTAGACTAGACCGGTCGCAGATGGCGCATGATAATATCGCCAATGTTCAGATCATGAATGCCGATTATTTCCCCCGCGAGTCCCGCGTCGTGACATTCCGGGATCCATGGAGCTTTCCAGTCCTGTTCCACCCTGGTTGCAACCACCTGATCCGTGCGCACTTGGAAGGACTGGCTCAGAAGGTATGGCATAAGCTTTAGCTTCACGGACCAGTTTCGCATGCTGACAACGGCGGGAGATTGTATCTCTCTGTGCAAGTTTAGGAGAGTACCCGATCATCCGGTACTATCGGCCCAGGACCCCAACCCACGAGGCCGGCGTATTGTGCTCACACCTGGCCCGCTTCATTCAAAACGAGTTGGATCAATTCGCGCAATTCCAGCGGGACTTTCCGCCCCCATCGTCTCGACCTCGCGGCGTTCTCCTTGTTGTAGACCGCTCGATGGACGTCATAGCGCCTCTGCTCCATGAATTCACATACCAGTCCATGGTGCATGATCTGCTTCCCATCAACGATGGGGACAAGGTCACATACAAAACTGTCATCAACGAGGGTGGCGCCAATCAAGAAATCAAAGACATGGAGATTAATGAGCAGGACAACGTATGGGTTGAGTACCGACACATGCACATGAAGGACGTACTGGGGAAGCTGGGCGAAGACTTTGCCAAATTCCGAGCAGCCAACCCTCAATTCGCAGAAGAGTAGGCTTTGCCCCATAATCTTCTCCCCTGCGATTTTATGTTCTAAACTGACATGAGTTCCAGCAACAACAAAGCCAACGTCAACACAATCAAGGATATGCTTGCAGGCCTGACTGAGTTCCAGCAGGGCCGCGATGCATACACCCTTCATCTGAACATGGCACAAGAGTGTATGAAATACTTCCAGGAGCACAAGCTTCTAGAAGTCAGCTCTGTCGAGCAAAGCCTGGCGACCGGCATGGATGAGAACTACAAGAAGGCCAAGCATCTGGGCTCCCAGATTGTTCAACTCCTCGATGATGAAGCGACTCGCCAGCCTGAACGGCTGAGACTTTTACTACTTTATATTATTTACCGAGGCGGACTGCTAGCCGGAGACATCCGCAAGCTCATGGCGCACGCGCAACTTCCACCGCAGGACGGGGAAATTATATCCAATCTGGATCTACTTGGCGTGCGTGTAGAGAAGCCCCTGAAGGATGATAAGCCTCCTGTACAGCCGCTATTCGTTCGAAAGCCGCCAACAGCAGTCGACATGGAAGAAGAGAGCTTGACTCGTTACGATCTGAACCTCAAGTTGATCTTGGAGGACCTGGTGCGGGGCACCCTTGACACGACTGTCTTCCCACCCACGCGCCCCCACACCGAAGGCGAGGGCTCGAACCCACACGACGCCTTGTCGCAAGCATCCCTCCGGAGTGCGAAACCCACGTGGGCGCGAACGCGCACCACCGGGGAGCAGCCTCGCCAGCGCATTATCGTCTTCATGGCGGGTGGCGCGACCTACGGCGAAGCCCGGACATGCTACGAGATCTCGCAAGCACATGCCAAGGACGTCTACCTGGCCACGTCCCATATGCTCTCGCCGGGGCTATTCCTGCGACAGATCGGCGATCTCAGCGTCGACAAACGACGGCTGGACATCCCGGCCGAGCGGCCGAAACCCACGGCTCCTGCTCATCTCTTCGAGAAAGAAGCACCTCCACCACCTCAGCCCCAGGCGAAGAAACCCGTCGCCGCTGCCCCGCCCTCGGCAGCCATGGCCTCGATGTCACTGGGACCCAAAGCCCCCAGCGGTGGGCCGAGTCCGGCGCCGGCTCCTACCAGCTCCAAGCCAGGTAAAGAGCACAAGGAGAAGGAGAAGAAGGAGAAGAAACGCCACCACTTTTTCCGATAGGCTTTCCCACTGTTGCGCCGTAGCCGCTCTCGATGGCTCTCCTGGCTCATCCCTGATCTCAATCTAGCGCAGCTGTGATACCAAGCTCATTTGTCTGTTAGTTTCGAGCGATCCGTTGCTATTTCCGACCATTTCTATGGCTGGACTTAATTATCCTAGCAAGATCAGCAAAAGCAAAGTGTACACATCCCAGCCAATGGAATCTAATTACTGGAGACAATGACAATCGATAAACAATAGAGGGTATCTAAACGTACGAACCACTATCACAATCCAAACATTCCCAAAATGATCACCCTTTTCCCCTCTCAACCCAACCAAAAAGTCCCCCCCCCCCCCCAAAACGAATAGCTCACCCCTCCCCAAGATACCGCAGAACCCTCTCATCCCGATAAAATAACTCGCGCAACCTCTCCCCGCGCTTCCGCGCATCCACCTGGCCCCTCCGCACCTCCTTCGCATTCAACTTCTGTATCTTGGCCGAACCACTGCCCCGACCCCCGGCTTGTTCCTGGCCGCCGACCACCCGCTTCCGTTTTGTGGGGGCGTCCTCATCGTCCGCATTATGGCCGGTCACCCGCAGCCCCACCGTATCGACCTTGAGCTTCCCCTTGACCGGCGCGCGGATCCCCTCCCGCCCGGGCGCCCCCAGCCCCAGTCTGCTGTCGGGGTCCCAGCCGTAGGCGGCCAGGTAGCGCAGGCCGGGGCGCGTGCGGTCCAGGTGCGAGGGCGGGTGCGAGTGGGTGAGGCAGAGTTGGTGCGCGAGGGAGGCTTCGTGGGGGCGGGTGCTGCTTTCTGCTGTTGGGGTTTTGGTTTGGGATGATGAGGATGATGAGGATGCTGTGAGGGGGAGGTTGCAGATTTCGCAGATTTGAGAGTTCGGATTGCTGTTCGGCTTGAGGTTGAGGTTGTTGTCTTGTCGGGGAGAAGGAGGAGGTGGAGGGAGGGTTGGTGTTGGTGTTGGTGTTGATGTTGATGGTGGTGCGGCAGATTGTGGACTCGCCGCGCGTGCGCGGGAGGTATTCGTGGTGGTGGATGTAGCCGTAGAATCTGGTGTGAACTCCGGCGTAAGCGCAGGCGCAGGCGTAGGCGTAGCGGATTTGGAGAGGACGATGGAGAGGTATTTGTTCGCGATGGTGGCGCCGGTCGTTGTTTCAGTGCTGGGAGCGGCATTGCGGCGGAGGGCGGAGTCGGTGGTGTGGAGGTCGGGGTCGGAGGAGCGCACGAAGGGGACGCGCTTGCGGCGGATGCCGGCGCCGAAGACGCGTTGGTCCTCCAGGGGGAGAAAGTAATCTTCTTCTTCTTCTGCGGGGTCGGCTGGCATTGTACTCATGTATCGGTGGTGTTGTGGTTGACAAGAGAAAGGAAGGTCGAAGAAGAAGAAGAAGAAGAAGAAGAAGAAGAAGAAGAAGAAGAAGAAGAAGAAGAAGAAGGCAAGGTGACGGACGCAGTGGCGGGAGATCGGCGGCTAAGCAAGCAACTTCCTCCGCGCGGCCGCCGGACGGGCCAGATTTGTTGGACTTTCGGGTCTTCTCATCTTGTCTTGTCGTCTACAACTTTCCCCCCCAAGTTTCAAGTCAACATCCTCTCACTCCCCTCTTTTCTAGTCCTACCTTTCAAACTCGAACCTTGCCTCTCATTCAAAGCTTTGCGTCTTCCCTTGTCATTCTCTCACCACCACCACCACCACCACCATGCCCATCCCCCTGATCGTCCAGGGTGTCACCGAGGGTGTATCCTCGATCCCCTTCGCCTGGACGATCCTCAAGCTCACCCCCTGGGTTCTCGTTATTGCCGTCCTGAAATTCTACTTCGGCGGAGCCCGCAATTCCTCGGAGCGCGTGATGCACTCCAAGGTCGTAATGATCACGGTACGACTATCTGCAGCCCCCCCCCTCCCCGCCCCCGTTCCAAGTTCCCCCCCTCAACCGCATCCCCCAAACCCCCAAACTAACCCCCCAAAAAAAACAGGGAGGAACATCCGGCATCGGCGCCCAAATCACACAAGCCCTGGCCGCGCGCGGGGCGCAGATCATTCTGCTGACGCAACACGCACCCTCCGACGTGTTTCTGGTGGAATACATCGAGGACCTGCGGCGCACGACCAACAACCAACTCATCTACGCGGAGCAGGTCGACCTGGCGTCGCTGCACTCGATCCGCACCTTCGCCACGCAGTGGATCGACAACGTCACGCCGCGCCGGCTGGACATGGTCATCCTGTGCGCCAGCACGACGCCGCCCACCCCCGAGAAACACCTGACCGCCGACGGCCTCGACGAGGAGTGGCAGGTCAACTACCTGGCCAACTTCCACCTGCTCAGCATCCTCAGCCCCGCGCTGCGCGCGCAGCCGGCGCACCGCGACGTGCGCGTCATCTTCGCCGGCTGCTCGTCGAGCTATATCCGGGCCGGCGGGTTTGATTTGCGCAAGGTCGAGGAGGTGACGAACCAGCAACTGATGCAAAAGGCGGCGGCGGCGGCGAGGCAGCAGAAGGCGGGGAAGAACGGCGGTGGGAAGGTCAGGAAATCATCCGCCCAGAAGACGTACCCCCAGCAGAAGCCGCAGCGGCCGGACAGTCTGTTTGGGTTGAGCAAGCTCGCCCTCATGGTGTTTGCGCATTCCTTCCAGCGACATCTCAATGCCTTCAAGCGCCCGGACGGCCAGCCCCCGGCCACGCGGGTGATCATGGTGGATCCGGGCTTCACGCGCACGCCCGGCATGCGGCGCTGGATGACGGGCGGGTCGCTGTGGGGCCTGCTGGGGTACCTGATCACCTGGCCGGTGTGGTGGCTGGTGCTCAAGTCGCCGCAGCAGGGGGCGCAGAGTTTCCTGTACGCGGCGATGGAGGCGCGCTACGGCCGCGATGAGGGCGGATGGATGATCAAGGAGTGTCGCGAGGTGGATGTGGCGCGGAGGGAGATCCGGGACGAGGCCGCCGGCAAGTTGCTGTGGGAGTTCAGTGAGAAGATGATCGAGGTCAAGGAGAAGGAGAGCGCCGTGCAGCGGGCGGTGGCCAAGAAGGAGGCTGAACAGAAGGAGGCGGCCGCCGAGCAGAAGGCCGCGCCTAAGACACAGACCCCTGGGTCGCGGAGGAGTCGGAAGGGCAATGGCAGTGGCGAGAGCAGTGGTAAATAGATTGGCTGTATATATGGGGCGATAGTTCGGGGCGGTGGAGAGTGCATACATGCATGGTTCTGGAGTTCCGGTAGATCCAAGTACTATTTCACGACACCTCATCTATCCACTTAAGACACAACAGCACCCAAAACACAGCAAGTGGGATTACACCGGGCACAGATTCAAGAAAGGAAATTCGTCTCATTCAGATCAAATCTATTGATGCGATTTTGGTTCTTCCGCCGTCGCCAAAGACATGCTAATTAAATCAACAGTAGGTAAGGTAAGGTAGGTATCATTGACGATCAGGTTTAGTTCTTGAGCTTCTCGAGGAGCTCGGCGGGGGGCTGTTGCCGGTAGCCCTCGGGGTTGTTGCGGGTCCAGAGCCAGAGATCCTCGCAGGCCTGCTCGAGGGTGTGCTCGGCCTTCCAGCCCAGCTCCGAGATGGCCCGGCTGGGGTTGGAGGTGAGGTTCAGGACGTCACCGGCCCGGCGGGGGGCGACCTCGTAGGGGAGGTCGCGGCCGACGGCGGCGGAGAAGGCACGGATCATCTCGTAGACCGTGCTGCCCTTACCGGTACCCAGGTTCCAGGCACGGACACCGGGGTTGTTGGCGCGGAGGTAGTTGAGGGCCTTCAAGTGGCCGTCGGCCAGGTCGAGGATGTGGATGTAGTCACGGATGGCGGTTCCGTCGTGGGAGGCGTAGTCTAGCAACGGGTTAGTCCCTGGGCGTCAATCCGTTTTCGGAGTGAAGAGAGTAAAAACGTACCGTCGCCGAAGACGAGCAGCTTCTCACGCTTGCCAGTGGCAACCTGGGCAAGGAGAGGAAGCAGGTTGTAGGGGACACCCTGGGGGTCCTCCCCCATGATGCCACTGGGGTGAGCACCGGCGGGGTTGAAGTACCGGAGGAGGGCACCGTTCCACTTCTTCGCCTCGGCCTCCTTGCCGGCCTTGGTGGCGTTGTTGCGCTGAGCGTTGATCAGGTCGGTGATGGCGGTCTCGACGGCGAACTTGGTGTTGCCGTAGGGGTTGGTGGGACCCAGAGGGCAGTCCTCGGGGATGGGGATCATGTTGGGGAAGCGAGTGGCATCGCCGTAGACGGTGGCGGAGCTGGAGAAGACAATGTTGGTGACGTTGTTGCGGACCATGGAGCGGAGAAGGCAGATGGTGCCGTAGACGTTGACGTGCCAGTAGTCCAGCGGCTTCTCACCGGACTCTCCGACAGCCTGAGCACAAGGGAGATGTCAGTACTTGCGGGTGCAATGGCACCGCAGGCGGGTCAGACGCACCTTGAGAGCAGCGAAGTGGATGACGCTGTCAATGTCGGGGTGGGCCTGGAAGACCTTGTCGAAAGCAGCCTCGTCGGTGACATCGAGCTGGGCGAACTCGGGCTTCTTGCCGCAGATCAACTCAATGCGGTTGAGAGCCTCAGCGGAGGAGTTGTAGAGGTTGTCAGCGACAACAACCTTGTAGCCCGCCTGCAACAAGGCAAGGGTGGTGAAGGAGCCAATGTAGCCCGTGCCACTGCGCAGTGGGGGATTGCGGGGTCAGTTTCCAGCTGTAAGACATGGGGGGGGGGGGCAATGGTAGAACTTACCCAGTGACGAGAACTGAACCAGCAGACATAATGATGGAGGACAATTGAGATGGATGGAGTGAGTGAGGGAAGGGAGGGGAGGGGAGGGAATTGGGGATTGGGGAAGAGAAAAGGAAGAGGAACAGGACGGACTGGGAGAGAGACGAGAGCGAGTAAGACGGGATATTTAAGGAGGAGTGAGTGGACTGACACTCATCATTGGACTGGGAAGCAGTTTGGGCTGTTTTCGAGGATGGGAAACATGAGGTGGGGGGGAGGGGGGAGAGAGAGGGGGGCACAGGCAGTGTGGAGGGGCTTTCCGGAGGAGGTCCAGGTACCGTTTCGGTATGGTCAGACTCCCTATTTCTCCGTCTACACCGCCCGGCATAACCCGGTTTTACAGTGGTATGGCCCGGGTATGATGAGGTAATTTATTCATTCTTACGGTACTCCAGTCCAGTTAACTTAACTTATCGGGGCTGACGCGGGCTGGTCTCGATTTGTCTGTTTTGTCTGTTTTGTCTGTCTGGTCGCAAACAGCCTCCATCAGTCCCCGTCCTCTCTCGGCTGCAACAAGTCAATGCAGTGGTCGGCATACAATGACACCGTCAGTCTGTACAACCGTCTTACCTGTTCCTATCACCGGCCCCCCCGTTGGCTGATCACCGCAGTCCTTCCCAGTTCCCGAGTCCCAGACAATCCTCCCCATATTGAGTGGTCAACGGGACGATCCAATCCACCGGTTTAATTTACCCAAACCACGATCATGACACTTTCTCGTTCTCTTTCTCTGAATCTCGGTGGGGAGACACAAGTCGCGTCGCTAGATGATAAATGAACAGGGGATGGACTGATAGCCAGAGCCATAGTCAGCCCAGCCACATATGCAGCTGCAGGCCCGATGCATATGCCGCCAGCCGACCGAAAGCCAAGCAAGCAAGCAGGTAATTCTCGGTCCGACTCGCTTATAACATGAATTATAAAAGAAAAAAGAAAAAGCAAAAAGAAAAAAAAAAAAAAAAAAAGGGAAAGACATACAGGAAACTAGCAATCCTTTCATATCCATGGAAAACACCAACAGTCCAGCAACCCTGGAAGAGTAATCTAAACCATGCATCTTTAACCGACCTCTCCAGGCTGAACCCCAATTAGCACGGGGCGGGTCGCGGTTCCACTGCGCAAAGTGGATCTGGGCTCCTCGAGGTTCCGAGGGTCTGCCCGCCCCCGTGTGAGTGAGGGTGCAACCTGGCAGCAACCAGCAAGATGATGTTGTCTGCTGTCTGGCCTAATTCCTACTAGCGATGGCACCACTGCACGCTCGCTTGGTCGCCTCTGCTCATATATATCGGCTTATCTAGCCTAGTCTCTCCTGGGGCTAGACTCCGGGGGGCTGGTTGGAGCGGACAATACAATCATGTCTTTTTTTCTTCCATCGTGAACCATTCATAAGCATAACAATATAATAATCAGAACATGAAAAGGAGAGCTATCCACACCACTTTCGGACATGTCCCCCAAATCTCGCTGTAGGACCATCATTGAGCAAAACTAATAAAATACGTACATAAAGTTGGTAGGTAATACATCATTGAAGAATGCACGTCGCATTCACCGTCGCCAAAGGTTGGTCGACAGCTCGTTTGGGCCTGTCTCCCTCCAATGCTGCGTCCGAGAGCACCAACCGACCCTGCCTGTCAGTCGTCTCCCTTCTCTTTCTGGTTCTTCGGGTTTCATATACCCCGGGTGCAGTGTTACTAAGCAGTAGATCACGTCTGCTCCACCCTTTCAGCACGAACAACGACATGCCGCTTATGGCAGGCTGCAATCTTTCTAGAGGCAAACCCGCGCATCTATGGGCCCAAGTCTGCCCGGCCTGACCGGCACTGGGTTTAAAGAGTCATGGATACCCAGTAATTAGGTCAGGCCCCGATCACCATAACCTCTCTGGCTTCCTAACCCAAAAGTTCAACGTCCAGACCGATGGCCCGCATAAACAGATTGACGTTTCCGAGACGCTGGCTGGCCATGTCTGCAGGAAGCGTCTTGCTGTACGTAACAGTTTCCATCACGCGATCCCTGTGGAGGTAGTCAGCTTCGATTCGGCGAGTCATGGGGAAGAGCTTCAACTTACTTCACGGCAATAACCAGGCGCTGTTGTTGATCGGGGCTGGCGCCGATCCCGACGGCAGCCAAGAATTGCCAGACGTACATGTCGTCACCCGCATTGATGGAACTGGGGAAGATATCGGCAAATGTGGGCTCCAGTGTATCGAATAGCACGTTGAATTTCTCAACCCACTGCTGCCAATCTCGCTCTGAAGCTTGGTCGGCTTCCTTCACGATTTCGGCGCGACTCAAAAGCATGGTAAGGATTCCCAGGCCGATCCTGGTCTTGGCCACCAGCTGAACATGAGTCTGCGCAATCACAAGTCCCAACAATCCAATGATGATGTTGAACGGGGCCTCATTGACGTAGCCGAGGAGGCTGGGCATGACAGTCTGAGAGAAGAGGTCGATGGCTTCGCGAACGGCCGGAGACGGCTGAGTCTCACCAGGCATAAGCTGTGCGCGTCGGACCACGTCCAAAGTGTCCAGGTGGACAACGATCATGGTAAGGATTGTGACGCGTTGTTCCTGGTCAATGTGACGGAAGATACGGGGGATGGCCTTCTTGCCCTTGGGGTACGAGAGGAAAGCGATGAACGGGTGAGGCGTGTTGGTGTTGGGAACAATGGGCTCCATGACCTTGAGCTCGCGCCACAATTTCTGGTTGAGCGAGCGAACATTTTGCCGCCACTCCATATGCTTCTGTATAGCCTCGGGGTCATTCTCGTCGGGCGGAGGAGGCATGGTGCGCTCCATATCTTCCATTTCCATCAACGTGCTGTAGACGCCCTCGATGTTGGTCAGGATAGACTTCCGGTCGCTCAGACTCAGGTCGGTCTGAGGCTTCTTGAGCGACTTGCCACCCTCGGAGCTCTCGGGCCGCTTGAGGTTGAGCATGGGCTTCGGGGCCTTCGCATTACCAAAAGAGATCTTGCCCAAGCTACCTTCAATGATGAGTTGTTTGTTCTTGGGCTTGGCCTTGGCAGCCTCGACGGCCCGCTGGACTTGCTGTTGCATTCTCTGCATGTGGTTGTCGGCATTCTGGAACTGTCTCCGGTTGCCGTGTCCACCTAGGCGATTACCAGTCTGGAGGAGATACGTCTGCGCAAAGTGACCGAGAGGTTGATGAGGGTGTTGCCGAGGAGCGCCGCGGATCTGACTGTAGACCTGATAGTAGAAGTCCTCGGCCAAGACAGCTTCGGAATCCGTGTCCACGACATTACCTGCGGCAGCCACCAATTGCTGGAGCTGGATACGGGTAATGAAGTTCTTGTCTTGCGGAGTCATCAGACCGTTGCCCTTGGAGAGGAGGAAGATCTTGTGGTTTCGCTTGGCGCGCTTGGCATCTTCCATCAGGTATGCTACTCTTTGCTCTTCCGACAGATGCATCAGCTGTTGAGGATTGGTGATCACGGGTAGCTGGGCGTTGTTGGCCCGCATGCTTTGGGACGGCGGCGGAGGCTGTTGTTGCTGGGCTTGAGGACCTCCCGGTGGTATCATCTGACGTTGAGGCGGCCCCATGTGCTGCGGGGGAAGATTGGCATTTTGCAAAAGGTGCATTGGCATGTTGGGGGCATGCGGAGCAAGCGGATACGGTTCGGGAACCATCGGCGGCTGGTGCAACAGCTGCGCCGGAGGCGGAACACCCTTAGCAAACTGAGCGTGCAGAAGCTCGGGTGGCAGCTGTGCGAAGCCTTCGGGCAGAGGAGGCATCTGAGCTCGCTGAAGCGGGTCGGGCATCGACTGAGGGAGAGACACCGGTATCTGGCCAGGCAGTGACGACGGGTATCGCCGCAACTGCGCCTCTACCTCCTCCAAGCTGAGCATCTTCTTTGCCCGTGCCTGCGCCTGAGCCTGAGCCTGCGCCTGAGCCTGCGCTTGAGCCTGAGCCTGAGCCTGGGCTTGTGCTTGTGCCTGAGCTTGTGCCTGCGCCTGTGCAATCATCATTGGCGTGGGTTCCGGTTTCTTCTGCACGCCCCAGATGCTTGACTTGGCCTGAAGATCCGGAATATACCCGGGATCCGAGTACTTCTCATAACCGGTCCGTTTCGGCTGCACAGCCGCAGCACTCACAGCAGGATCGGCGATGATGTCTGCAGCGACAGGGGCGGCAGCAGGTGCTCTGGGCTTCTGGAGACTGTAGCGTATTTGCTCTTCCCCGATGGCATCGGCTACCTGCGCGGTCTTGCCAAAGAAATCGAAGTCCTTCCCGACAGGAGGAGCGCCGAGGTCGTCGCCGAAGGTGTCGTCGTTGAAGGCATCCTGATCGTCGTCGAGCTGATCGCCCAGGCCATCGTAGGTATCCTCGAAATCAATGCTATACGCGTGTAGAAGTCCCGTCAGTCATCTTGGGTGCAAGCCAATGGACTCTAGAAGGAGGGGGAGCTTACGCATCGTCATCCTCGTCGCCGCCTCGGAATCCTTGAACAAGACGGGCGCGAGCGACCTCGGCGAATGGATCAGGGGTCTCGAAAATGCCCCGGCGCTCGGAAGGAGCAGTCCGATCCCTGGGCAGGGTGGTGTCAAAGCCGAAGAAAGACATCTTCGGCAGAGGCAGGTTGGATGGGGAACAGGGGGGGGGGGCTGGTGGCGTGGGGAGAGGGGAAGGAGGAATTACCACGGCATAATTGTGGTGCGGGATGAGGTTCAGAGCCGGCCTGATATCACCCGCCTAGGTGGGTTTAGGCTTAGCTGTGTTAGCCTGAGGCAGAGAGTTAGGGAGGCGGTCAAGTTCTGCAGAAATAAGGTGCTTTTCAGCCACGCCACCGCTCAAGAAGAACGAACAACACGAGATGAATACTGCATACGGGCATACGGAGTACTAGAACCAGGAAATCTGGCTGAGACACTTAAGTTATTTCCGGTAGTGAGTCTGTCAACTTTACACAGCCACGGCTACTTCTATCTATGAGTACCACAAACACTACGGGTTATACGAAGCTTTGGGGGCAATTTCCTAAAAGTTACCAGGACGTTTCTAGTTTCTGGTTTCTATACATCTATACATAATTTGAGTACTCCGTACTGGTATCTTGATCGTGCGGCGGCAGTCAATAAGATAGACTCGAGCACGATCCCCGAGTTCAACTACTTCAACTACTCTGTACAACTCACTCACAAATAAGATGAAATACTACCTCCTATGCAATAAGAGTCCAAAAAGAACAGAAACAGGCTTGCCCAGTGCAGAGTGGGTGGCCACCCCCCTCGAACGACGTACGTGGCCTGGCCAATAACCATCGGTGAGGTTACGTCGCCTCCCATTGACCATGAGAAGTTCCCATTCATTCATCCATTCATTGTTAGTGATTCAGTTCATGCTCCGCCGCAGGGCTGACCTTGTTCGTCCGCTTTTACTCTCCGTAGGCGAGAAACAGTCTCCTCTCCTCTCCTGAATTAAGATTACTATAATCTCGTTCGCTCCCTTTATTTCTTTAATCCTTTCTGTAAGGTTCTTATCAGCCCCTCCTCCTCCTTCTGTGCCCCCTCCCCCTTGTTTATGATCAATCCGGTCGCAACAAACCCGCGGTTCGGGAAAGACTCATACAAACACTGGTGAGAGATCGAGACCGTTGCCCCATAATAATTACACCACCGCACCCTGTTCATCTCCGTGCTTGTCGCCGATCATCTCTTCCTTCGACTTCGTCCACTTCGTACTTGAGATTTCACCGTGGGATCCCACGTCTCCGGTTCTTTTTTTTCACCCTCTTCACTTCATACTGTCGCTCGCTTTTTCCTCTTTATTCCTCAATTCTCCAGGCCAAGCGGCCCCTTGCGAGAGGCCTCCATATCTCCCACTCGACTCCGCTCTGCGCCAGTCTAGCCACATCAACAGACTTGGGATTTTGAACGCACAGAAACATCGGTGATCATGGCTTTAGGGCCAGTTCGATATCTCCTGTTTGCCGTCACAGTCAGTTCTTCTTAGTTTTCTTCACGATCTCCCTTCATGGCTGACCCGATGCGCCTAGGGACTGGCACTTTTCTTCCTGATATCGAGAAGCGCAATCCCGATTCCGGAGCAGATCGGCTCGAAACTCAACTATGGATCCTCCTCGTCCTCGTCCTCGTCGTACTCCCAGAGCGATGCCGCCGCCGCATACTCATCCAACAAGGTCATCCCGGCGGCCGACCGCATGAACGCAACCTTCGTGACCTTGGCCAGGAACAGCGACCTTTGGGAGATGGTCAAGTCGATCCGCACGGTGGAGGACCGGTTCAATCGCAACTATCACTACGATTGGGTGTTCCTGAACGACAAGCCCTTTGACGATGAGTTCATCAAGATCACCTCGGCGCTCGTCTCCGGAGAAACCCATTATGGCGTGATTCCCAAGGAGCATTGGTCATACCCCGAATGGATCGATCAGGAGAAGGCGAAGAAGGTGCGACAGGAGATGGGCGAGAAGAAGATCATCTACGGCGACTCGGAAAGCTACCGTCACATGTGCCGTTACGAATCGGGCTTCTTCTTCCGCCACCCGCTGATGCTGAACTTCGAATACTACTGGCGTGTGGAGCCCAGCATCGAGCTCTACTGCGACGTCCCGCTGGATCCGTTCCGTTTCATGAAGGAGAACAACAAGAAGTACAGTTTCACGCTCAGTCTCTACGAGTACTATGACACGATCCCGACCCTCTGGGATACCACGCAGAAATTCGTCGGCGAACACCCGGAACACATCGCGAGCGACAACTCCATGGGCTTCTTGAGTGACGATGGCGGCAAGACCTACAACAAATGCCACTTTGTATGTATATCTATCGGAATTACTATCCAGGGCGTGGCTAACTCGATCCATAGTGGTCGAACTTCGAAGTCGGAAGCCTGGAATGGCTGAGATCGAAGGCGTACATTGATTACTTTGAGACCCTGGACCATGCCGGTGGGTTCTTCTACGAGCGGTGGGGTGATGCCCCGGTCCACTCCATCGCGGCCGGTCTGCTTCTCGACAAGGACCAGATTCATTTCTTCGATGAGATTGGATACTATCACGTGCCATTCACCCACTGTCCAACCGAGGAGAAGAAGAGACTGGACCTGAGATGCTCCTGCAACCCTAGCGAGAACTTTGATTGGAAGGGCTACTCTTGTAAGTTTGATTGATCTCGCCGGGTCGGTGTCGGGTTACTTACCAATGCTTGTAGGCACATCTCGGTACTTCCAGATCAACAACCTGGACAAGCCCAAGGGCTACGAGGCTCAAACTTGACTCCGTACGATTGGATCAATTCTGTTTTCGGCAATCTTCATCTGCGGTGTTTTAGTTTTACTGAACAGAAAAGCCCGGGTACTAGTGGTCCACCGAGCAGGTCATCTGGTTGACCACGTACACGCTGGCTGGGACTCCATTCAGACATGGAGGAAGGCCTAACAAATTACGGTCCCCATTGCCTTCTACGGCGCAGTAATGGGGCGCTTCCGACTGGCCCAAACATGATTTTTTTGCAACTTTCACCCCTCTAACCTACTTTCATATTCCCCCCCGTGTCTTGGAGTGTTCGAGCCTCGGTGTTATCGGTCTCACATGTATTATCATGGAGGCGGTGGTTATTTCTCCTTCCTTTTTTTTTTTTATTCGTCCCGTGTCATTTTGCGGCGAGCATCACGATTTTCAAGTGGATATCTGATAAGATGGAAAGTGTGATCTTTTCCAGAGACTGTCTCATAAATGTACATAGCTGTTTTAACGATGAACCAAATGCCTTTGAAGATGAAGATAGAAAGAAAAGAAACCAAAATAATACATAGGATAGAGCCCCTCCGTCAGATAATCCGCATATCATCCGGCTGGACTCAGACATAATTCCCGGATATACGCGCCTCCCCAGTCTTTGCGGACGTTTAGTCCGTCTTAGGCTTCTTCGTACCATACTTAGATCTGGCCGTCAAGCGGTTGGGGACACCACCCTGCGGACACAATTAGTGAACCACCTTCAAACTCCTATCAAATCAGAATCCACATACCAGATCCATAGCACCACGAACCAGGTGGTACTTCACACCGGGACAATCGGGGGCTCTGCCACCTCTGACCATGACGACACTGTGCTGCTGGATATTGTGACCTATTTTCGTGGAGAAGTGTCAGTCATGCTTTTTTTTTTTGCTACAATCCCTCCCTCCCTCCTTATAACCCATAACAAATCCCCTCGTCTCCCGGAGCATATCCAACCAACAAGCCCCCCGGAAATCCAGAACAAAGGAAAGACCAAAAAAGAAACCCACCTTCACCGGGAATATACGCCGTGACCACCTTCCCGCTGCTCAACCGCACACGGGCCGTCTTCCGCTCCCCGGAGTTGGGCTTCTTGGGCTTCGTGATACCGGTCTTCAGGCAGACGCCCTTCATCTGCGCGCGGCCGGTCACGGCCGGCGACCGCGAGCGCCGGGCCTTCTGCGCCACGCGGCAGCCGCGGCGGACTTGATTGTAGGTCGCGTGGCGGAGCGGGGAGGTGGAGAAGGAGCGGCGCGCGGCGAGGAGGGCGATTTGAGAGGTCGAGGTGGTGGAGGTTCTGGTGGTGAGGGCTGCGAGAGCGGTGGGTGTGCGGAGGATGGGGGTGAATCGGGGAACAGCAGCAGCAGTCTTGATGGTGCGGAAGGGGGTGGTAGTGGTGGCGGGACGCTGGACGAGCGTCCGGAGGGTGCGCAGGGCGAGGGAGGAGATGAGGGCGGGCATTTTGCGTGTGGAGGTGGGTGTGGATGTTGGTGTTTCCCACTGGGACCTGTACATGTACCTGAGGCTGGAGAGGTCGAATTTCCTTCGATGGGAAACATGGGGCCACGTGACCCGGGGTCGGGATGGGAGGAAGGCACGCCAACGGGAAAGTTTTCTGCGGGTAGGGGCGGTGTGGCCGGCCGGAGGAGCTTACTGCCTGCCCAGCCAGCCAGGGCGGACGCGCCAGTCGGGGGCAGCCTGCTACTACTGTCGATGTCAGAGCTACCGACCGTACTTGACCTTCCCGACCTTCTAATCACTCCGACTTGAACGCATCCATCTACTCGCCTGTCTATCCCATCCATCTTCTCTTCTCTCGCTTGACAACCTACACCAGCTACTCGATCATTGACCATCTCCAAACAAAACACAACCACACCACCGCCACAATGGTACGTCCACGTCAACCCTTAAGGGACCTACCTACCTCCCTCCATCACTGCCCTCGTTATCCGCCATCAAACCTCATCTCATCCTCATCCTCAACTTTCCCAAATCACCTCAACCCCCAACCTCAAGCCCCCTTCCCCCCTTTCCCCTGTCCCTTCCAACTTAAACCCCATCCCCTCCACCCTCAAACCCAAAACTAACACCCCCAAAGTCCCTCCGCATAGCCCCGCCAGCCGCCCACCCAACCTCAACGAGCAACACGACGACCCGCACGCCCGCCGCGCTCACCCTCCCGCACCCGTCGAACGGCGCCCCCTCAGCCCCGGGCCTCCCCGACACGCTCCGGAACAACCTGACGCTGCCGGCGGCGCGGGGCCCGCCGTCGGCGCAGACGGCGACGCCCAGCTCGGCCCACCCGCTCGAGGCGCGCCTGCTGGCGTGGCGGGCGACCCAGGAGGCGCTGAAGATGGAGTCGCTGCGGCGGGCGTACGGCATCGCCGAGCCCATCCGCCGCGGCATGGAGCTGAAGATCGTGCGGGATGGGTCGTTCCGCCCCGCCGTCATGGGGGGTACGCAGAACGTGCACGAGGACATCTTGGTGCTTGGCGGACGGGATACCGAGGTCGGGTGGGAGGATATCTTTAAGGGTAGGTCCTTTGCTTTTGCTTTTTCTTTTCTGTCGTGGTGGGGTGGGAGGGGAAGGGAAAGGCCAGGGCAGGGCAGGGCACTGGCAGTTCCTCCGGGAGGGCTTGGGAATGGGTATGGCTGTGGCTAACTTTCTCTCTCTCGATATATAGGCGATGAGTTCCGTGAACCCCCGACTTTCCATGATGAGATGGAGAAGAGATTGCGGATGGATTAGAGCATAGATCGGGTTGATCGGGTTGACGGTTGAGGGTATTCGTGCTATGGTATCGTTTTTTTTATAGGTTTCTATGTTCTTTTAACGGTTCTACTGAATGGGATGGTGTTTCATATTATAAATGAGGAGGTGGAGCAGTCAGCGTTGGTGGCAGCAGCCTCTCAGACAGTAGAAAATGGACTAGCAACAACCCATATACCCATAGGTCTGCGGCAATGATCAGGCTAGATTTGGGATAACAACAGTATGGTTCATAATATATGTGCAATGGTGGTAGTTTGTACATCATGTGATTCCCGGGCGGTCGCCCGGCAAGACACTATAGTGGACATCTGAACACGCTTCAAGACAAACCGGCGCCGTGTACCACAGCGGTACACATCGAAAGGCCGCTGAACGGAACCCCGCCACAAAGTTCTGGTCCGCAACGACCACCCGCTCGAGTTCACGGGTGGTCTGATCTTGGTTCAGAGGCAAATGATAAGGACATAAGCAGAAGGTGGAACGCTGCATCAACCAAGAATAAATGCTAACAAACGGCCTGCCAATTGTGAAGGAGGGTGAGGACGGAATATCAGGGTATATGTGAAGCAGATAACAAGTATGAGTGGCATCAAGCGACTCGATAAGAATAGAAGCTGGTGGGCAACCGATAACATCGGAACAGATGACTTTCAGGCCATGAGCAATCATTGCTGCTGGACCCAGAACGCTAAAACCAGCCGGGCGCCGTCTTCGGCGCACAAGCAGGCGTTTAACCTGGTGCGCCGCCTTGCATGCCGAAGCAGGTGGACTATCCTTGGAAAATCCCAGAAAAGGCTTATAGCCATAGGCAATAGGATCAACGGGCAGGGATAAGATACGTGGCTTTGCAGATGACAGAATGAGAGGACGTCAGAGAATCCAAGGGAAATCATCCCTTTATGGTAGTCGTCTTCCCGACATGGGGACCTTGTGAGGCACCAAATCGAATCCCGTGTTCATTGAATGATGCAGCGACATCCAGGGCTACGCTCGCTGGATTCACGTTCACGGGTGTATTGGGCCTTGGCTCCCTTGGCATCGTCTTCGTCCACAATCTCTTGTGGCTTGACGGTCATGTGCACCACGTTGGGGGCATCTCGGTTGAATCGGCAGTCTGGCATAGTCAGTATGGAGACACGACTGAGGCTCGTAGGGACTGCTATACCTGATAACGGGGACTTGTCGTCCAGGAGCTTTCCGAAAGAAATCAATCGAATCGAACTAGGCGAAGACGGCCGTGTCTCCCACTCTATGCGAGACCAGGCTGTCAGCCATCAACTCGAAAGCGCAGGAGCGGTTACCATACCTTGTCGCCATTCCCTCCAGATCAGTTCCTTCAATGTATATACACTCATGGCGAAAGGATCCAGGTTTTCAACATTGACCTGTTGCTTCTTGAGGTATTTGGCATCGATCTTGAATGGGTGCCGTGAGCCAGTGATCAACAACAGAGTGATGACTAGATGTGGTCCCGAGTCGTTCTCTTCCTTTACGTTCTGAGGTGAAGCCTCGCCAGCGGCTACTGGAGCTTTCAGCTCGCCGTGATCGCCAGCCGATGCGCTGGCAGACGGGGCATCGCTGGGGTTCTGCTGCGAGGCCTGTGTTGCTGTGGCGGCTTCGGCGATACTTGCTGGTTTGCCATCTGTCAGATTCAGTTCCTGAACCTCGTCGCTCGTACTGTCCAGGCGTGGGGCAGTATTCAAGGCCTCTGTGGATTCTGACGACAAACCGGGGACAGCAAGTGGTTGTAGGGGTTCGATGGGAGGAACCGACGTAGTGGCCGCCGGGTCGCCCTTATTGCCCGTGCTGTCGGACATGATGACAGCGATTGTATAACTTGAAATGCGAGATAGCGCTAATGAAAGCAAAGCGACGTGTCGGTTTGATAAATTGCGCGCGGAGAAAGACCAGAAGCGCAGATGGTGATGATTATTTCTCCGGTAGATCCGGGGCGTGCGACGGACGTCGTTATTGGAGGGGGGATGCGGGAGACCCTGGGGAGGTTTCAAGGAGAGGGAAGACAACGACGAACCCAACAGCGCGCAACCCGAACAGCGACAAGAAAGGAGGGGGGCCCAAGGGGGCTAGACTAGATAAGAAGCGGAGAAATCCAAGGACGGCGCGAACAAGTGACTAGAACTTCGACCGGTTGAAGGAGATGAAGGGGGCCATGCGACCCGAGGGAGGCGAAAAGGGGACGAGGGGGGGGGGGGGGGGGGGTGGATTGAGGAGGAGGCGGGCAGTTGGCGTAGACGAAGGGAGGCGATGACAGAGCGGGCAAAAGGAGGCAGACAAAACTCTAAAGCACGCCTCCTGAGCGACTCAAACAAGACGGTAGGTTAAAAAAATATATACTAAAAGTGATAAAAGATTGCCAATAGATAGAGTGGAAGTAAAGAATCACAAGAGAGATTGATAGCGGATGGTGGGTGGATGATGATGGTGATAGTGGTTCGTCAGTGACGATGAGGAGAGGGAGGGAGAGGAGGGAGGGAGGGAGGGAGAGGGAGAGACCGCCCCCGTGACTGCCAGGAAGAAGAGAGAAATTAAGGAAAGGGGGGGGAGAAAGCCTAGGTAGTAGAGTCGACGTTCCAGGCGGGCGGCGATCCGGTTGGGCGCGCCCGGCCTCATACGGAGTTTAGTTAGTCTAGTCTACGAATTTGTCACTTCAGCATGTTAGCATGTTCGCATGTTTCGGTGGCCCAGATTCACAGATGGCTGCTTCAATCAATGCTTCTCTGCTTGTTCTTCTCCTTCTCTTCGGCCTTTTTCCGGATTTCCTGTACTGACAATTGGCATGATCCATTTGAGTCGGCCTAAATGCATTTCAAAACGATTAGAGTGGCTGACGTGCTGTAGCGACATTGACACCTGTCACGCTCGTATCGGTCTCAAACTCGCGCTGGGCCTCCCTCGTAGTATCAATCGATTATCACCAACTGAATGCACAACCGAAAGCATACAAAAGACGTCTCTTGATCACTGCGACGCCCAGGTACAGACCGTGGACGTGGTGCAGATCTTGATACCAAGAACCAGACTGGGGAATCGACACCGGAAGACCCGCTACGAGGCATTGCTTAGCCCTGTCGTTACTATATATATCCTACGACGACGACCTCGCCTAAATTTCAAGTATTGTCTGGAGTACATAGAGCATTGCTTTCGGGCCTCGACTGGACCCTGATTGCCATGAGAAATGAATCAGTCACATGATAATTTAGATCACAGCTGAAGCGGCAGAACGGATTTGATTTTAGTCTGGACTGCCAAAACTCCCCAAGTCACGCCATGGCAATGGCACGATGTACTGCGAAGCAATCTCGTTTGACCTCCTTATCATACTTCTCCGACTGTCGCTGGACATACGGGAAGAAGCCTTGGTTTTACCACTGCTGATAATTGACTTACCAAGGCAGAACAAGACCGATGTTCTTTTTTTTGCCTCCCTGAGGAAAGTTGACAGTGACACTAGTGTCTAGTATAGACGCTAATTCTTTCGTTCCTCCAGGGCTCTATTCGCTTGCTGAGTAGATGATCTTCGTCCAAAAGTACTGCCCCCTCTTTCAATATTTGCCACGCCTGTTTTCTCCGCTCTAGACCGATGGCCGTAGGCGAGAACCGTTCTTATCGCCATCTCCTGACCCGTACTATCACGAAGTGACTGCGCACGTGGACGGTTTGGCTTCTCACACGAACACGAGAGGTTTAATCTAGATCCATGAGTTCTACACCTCAACACCCCACCTGAATTTTGTGAATATGTCAGGCAATCCATGGGTGCTGTTCGGTCTTGTATGAACCATCCAGTGACCGGTTCCCCCGGTCAAATCTATGTGACATCATTCTTGCCTTGATCTTCGTCAAAGACGATCATTGTCCTGAAGGATCATCAGAGCTGGAGATCAACCTTCCGACTCGACAAACACGAGGTGCTTGAAGGGTTCAAAGACTGAACTTCGTATCTGGAGCATCCAAGCCGCGAGCACTCTGAATTAAGTTATAGTTGATCCTTCGGAGGCGATGCAGGCTGGAGTCGGCTGCAATGATCAAGCGGACAGCAAATGCTCTCGACCTGTCATGCAATAGTCTAGAACCTGATATCCGTATGTGTCAACCCTTGCTCAGACCTTTCTGATGTAATGGACTGATCTTCATCCTGATATAAGTTGAGGTCATATGGCCACACTACAATGCCATATAATGGAACGCAACCATCTAGCATACTGCTTGCACCGCCAACCAACACCATCTATCGCAACCAAACTGCCTGCGAGGAGTTACCTTTCCCAAGGAAATGTTTCGATCGCCATTTTCGACACCACGCAAGTCGACTCAGGAAGTGCCCATTCAAGGCGATGCCAGTGGCTTGAGCCTGGAGTTAAACATCACCGAGCCAGCCTTATTCGCCCCGACCATACCAGACAAGCCAGCAGTTCTCCGTGGTGAATGCCGAGTGACGGTGAAAGAAGCTGTGACAGTGAAACGACTGACCGTCAACCTGCGCGGTACAAGCCATATCGTGTGGCCGCACGGTGAGAACTATATCTGGTTTCTAGGCACTAGAAACATCTCTCAGAATTGAGTATATGTCTAAACCAAATTTCCTTTGACAGGAATCCGTGAACGCCGGACGGTAGCCGACAACACGTTGATACTACTTAGTCCCGAGGCGACAGACCCGGTACTTCCGTGCTACCTTGACTCAATCCAGAAGACATCGTCATACCGACAGGCGCACAAAGGGACCACACTATGGAATGCGATCTCGGCTAGAGTGGGATCGAGTGGGCGTGAAGAGCAGGACACAGGGTCTAAACATCAGCGACTGACACCCGGGACCCACACATACAAATTCGAGATGGTCCTGCGCTCCCATCTGCCTGAATCTATTCAAGTCCGGCAGAGCGAGGTCCGGTATCGGATCCGAGCTTCTATCGAACGAACGGGACTCTTAAATCGTACCTTCTCCTGCAGCAAACCCATTACCGTCGTTCACTGTCCCGCAGAAGATTTTGTGGATGATGCCGAACCGATCTGTATCGCTCGCGCTTGGAAACATCTCTTACAGTCTGATATTCTAGTCTCGAGGCGAGGAGCACCTCTTGGGGATCTCGTACCTGTCACCGTGTCATACACAGAACTGGGCCACGCCAAGTTCCGTGGTCTGCAAATATTTGTCTCGGAAGACGTGCAGTACCACCAGCGGGATGGTCTAACTTGCTGCAGTGGCCCTTTCAAACGAAGCCTAGTTTACGAAAAGATGGCAGGACCGGTGTCAACGAAAGCGCTGAGACGAGCCGACACAGACGAGCACCCGCCATACATTGAGAAGGACGATTATATCACCGCCAAGACGGTCGGGTATGCCGAGGCACGAAGCCGATCGCTGCACGATGGCGACACGGAACCCACCGAACTCTGTCTCCAACTTCCAATACCCGTTTGTCATCTCCATTCCGATCCAGCACGGCCACAAGGCATGCATTTTGACACTCGGTACAAAAACGTTCGAATCATCCACTGGCTTGAGGTAAGATGATGCGGTTTTGTTGGCCTACGAATTTTCACCCAGACTAATCGGTGGCACTTCTCATAGTTTGCCTTCCTAATGGCCAAGCCCGACAAACTGAACCCGAACAATGAGCGCATTGTGCAGAAAGTTGCCCACGTCCCATTGGCACTGCGCTCTTGTTACGCCCAGCAAGCCAATGCTGCGCTGCCAGCATACTCCTAAGACGGTTGGGTTGCAGCCAATAGTTCGATCGGGAAAGCTTCGGAATGATGCCTGGTTGGACTACTGCAAGAAATCTCCAGTCGTGTTGAAGCTTACTCGTGGCCGTGGCCTGCATCACAGCACCTGGGCATGAAGGCCCGTGGGCGTGTGGGAAGTGGAGCCCGTAAAGGAGGAGTGGGTACTCAACCACCTTTAGATCGTGACAGGGTCCCTCAAACTTGGATTTCTCTGGACGAGAAGCCGAAAAAATCTTCATGAAGATCCAGCGAGATTCTTGCAGGCTTGCAGCATCTGCACTTTTACAGGCCCTGCCGCCACCGAAAGAGTGGGTACCTTACATTTCCGGATAACATCCAGTGGGTCGTCCCGCTTATCGGCCGCTGTGAAGTTACATCATTTGCTGTCCGTTGACGATCTTTCCACCTGGAATGCATCATTCTCACATCATATCCCATCCCTCCTCTACCCTCCTCCGTCCGAAACCACCACATACTTCATCCCGAACTCCGTTACCGAACGGACCTCACGCTGCTTCGGTAAGCGGCGCCCTCTTGCTGTTCTCAGTGTTGTCCCACTGCCTGCCCGTCGTAGCGAGGCCCCCGGTGATGTCAGCTGGGGTTGAACAATCGGAAAAACAATTCGAAAAGGAATGCCCATGGGACGGTCAGGGTCATGGTACAGGACGTGGGGAGTGGAGGGCCACCTCCAAGGCTCCAATCTTTTCCCCATGGGTAACCTTCTTTGGATCAAGTGTAAAAGGTAGCGAGCGCTCCACCGCTCGTTGCCGCATGCAGTACGCAGATTCTTAAGTTCACGTAGTCCTCTCGCACTGCTGGCATAATTCTGTCTAATCTTTAATCTTCTCTCTGTCTCTCCTTCTATTCTCTCTTCATCTTCTCACTCGCCTTTCCCCCCTTTCCCTCTTCCAACCATCTCTATACCCCATTTCTCCCCTGGGTTCCTCATATACGCTTCTATCATTCTGGCATCGTAACATTCCTTCTCATCATGGCGCCTCCCACATATGCCGGCTTTTCGGGCCGGCGACTCGGCCTCGCGATATCAACAATTGCGACTATGGGCTTCTTGCTTTTTGGTTATGACCGTATGTAATCGCCAAGGCCTTTGGTGAACCTCGAAGCTTACAATCTACACAGAGGGTGTCATGTCAGGTATCATTTCTGATCCGGCATTCAACGACATGTTCACTGCGACCAAGGGTGACTCGGTCATGCAAGCAACCGTGACTGCAGTCTATGAAGTCGGTGAGTGACTTGAGCTGGAAGCCAGGTCAGCGAACTAGTGAGCTAACCCGCAGGACACAGGCTGTCTCTTTGGTGCCATCTTCGCCTTGATTTGTGGTGAAAAGTTGGGGCGTCGTCTCATGGTCATGTGGGGTGCGACCGTGATGATCATCGGTGTGATCATTCAAGTCACTGCCATGCCAAATTCGATCCCACTGCTACAGTTCATATTCGGCCGTGTGATCACTGGTATCGGCAACGGTATGAACACGTCGACTATCCCAACGTATCAAGCCGAGTGCTCCAAGACTAGCAACCGTGGTCTTCTTATCTGCATCGAAGGAGGCATTATTGCCATTGGAACCATGATCGCCTACTGGATCGACTATGGAGCCCACTACGGTCCCCAGGACCTGGTCTGGCGCTTTCCCATTGCCTTCCAAGTTTTCTTCGGACTCATCATCATTTTCGGCATGTGGAAACTCCCCGAATCTCCTCGTTATTTGATCGCCCACGGCAAGGTTGAGGAAGGTACTCGAGTCCTTGCTGCCCTCGCAGGCGAGGAAATCGACCATCCCCACGTCCAGCTGGAGAAGAATCTCACTCTGGACTCTGTTCGAGCGTAAGTTACCTCGATGTCAATTATGCAGATTCCTTGATAACTGATCTTATCCTCTAGGTCCGGAAACTCCCACGCCAAGTTCAGCGACTTGCTTACCGGTGGTCCCTCTCAGCATTTCCGCCGCATGTTGGTCGGTTCGTCATCTCAGTTCTTTCAGCAGATTTCTGGCTGCAACGCGGTCATCTACTACTTGCCCGTGCTCCTTGAGGATTCTATCCACCAGTCGCACAATTTCGCGCTTCTGATCGGCGGTATTAACATGATCTGTTACGCCATCTTCGCCACATTCTCGTGGTTCTTCATTGAGAAGATCGGTCGTCGCAAGCTGTTCCTTGCCGGCAGCTACGGTCAATGCGCCGCGATGATTATCGTCTTTGCCTGCTTGATCCCGGGCGATCCCGAGAGTGCTAAGGGAGCTATTTTCGGGTTCTTCCTATACATGTGCTTCTTCGGTGCCACCTGGTTGCCTCTCCCGTGGCTCTACCCAGCCGAAATATCCCCTCTCAAGACCCGGTCCAAAGCCAATGCCGTGTCGACCTGCAGCAATTGGCTTTTCAACTTCACCGTGGTTATGATTACACCTGTGATGGTCAGCAGTATCGGTTGGGGCACGTACCTTTTCTTCGCCGCATGGAACGCGCTCTTCATCCCGGTCATTTGGTTCTTCTATCCCGAAACCGCCAACCGCAGTCTGGAGGAGATCGATTTGATCTTCGCCAAGGGCTATGTTGAGAAGATGAGCTATGTCCGCGCGGCCAAGGAGCTGCCCAAGCTCACCGATGATGAGATCGAAGCCAAGGCGGCCGAATATGGCATTCTCGGTGGTGACGAGGAGAAGGCTGAGGAGCGTATCGCCGAGAAGAACCCTCCCCAGTCCGAAGAGTTTTCCCAGTTCCAGCCCACGCAGCTGTAAGGGGGGAAGGTCAGCGCATGAGCGTTTTTCATTTATGATGATATGCCTTGCAACATGAATTATATACCTCTTTGTTCTTGATTGTTTTTCTTGTCCATTCTTTTTGTTGAATTGTTGCCGAGGCCAGTTGCTGGCCAACCTTGCCTACGTGTCCTTGCCTGGTGCAGGATAGGTGCGTGCGTGCGTGCGCGCGTGTGTGTGATGTGTTGGGCTCATCCTTCGTCGATGCATGGGAGCTAGAAAAAAGCTAAAGCGAAAGCGAAAGCAAAAAAGTCTCTTTTCTGGACAAGAGTTCACTGCTACGAGGTGGGATGTGGATATCAAGCAGTCATCGACTCGCCTGTCTTTGTCCAGGGATACATACAGGTCATGGGTGTGGTCATGTATATACCATCTGAGTTTTGTTTTGCTTCGATAGAGCAACCACTAGACTTCATTTTCATTGAGACTCTTTTCTCTGCTCAGATTCGTTCATAATTCCTGCTCCCCTTCAAAATGAGTAATGACACCCACTCCTTAAACCCAAGTCGGAAAGAGTACCGAGTCCACACACCGTACAGTACACCAAGATGTCGCATTATTCAGTGCACTGCATGCGGCACCCGACCGGTTGGTTCAGGATTATGCTTCACCACTTCCAAGCTTATCTCTGGTTCCAAGCATGCCAGCATGCTCCCGCGGAAAGTTGAAATTTCTAGGACCGAATCAATTCCGACTTCTACTTATAAACATCATACGCATAGAGAAAGAAGCCTGCGGTTGTAGGTTGTGTTTGGGAGTAATCCTTTCATTACTATTGTCCACGGAGGGGGATCACCCATGTGATCTTCAATACAAATAGCAGCACGCTACGTCAGTATCTTCAACTCTTTCGGACGGATGCATTTGAGGACGGACGGCCCAGCGCAATTAGACTCGGGAGGTTGTGTGCTCTGCTCTGGAATGGAAAGATTCGTGTGGAATGCTGTGGTAGGCTTGCCTAAAAAAAGGGTTTAGTTCAAACTTTGTTGATGATGATCTTTGGAAGTGAGTTCTTGGGTCCAGTCGTCGCATTAAGCCTCCTTGGCTCTTTCTTGGTCTTGGTCTTGGTCTTGGTTCTTGGTTCTTGGTTCGGTGCTGCTGCTGTTGTTGTTGTTACTGGCTTAGGTATGGATTGCCAAGTTTCTTCCCGGAAGGACCGAGAGAACCAGCCTCGGTACGGTGCATACAGGCTGCATCTGTGCATATGCCAGCTCAGATTGAAGGTAAGGAGAAGGAGGAGGGGGTGGAGTGATCGTGGTATAGCCGCTTAGACAAGTATTGATTTGATGGGCTTGGAGGAAAATATAATCCTGGGTATCTACGGCCCATCTGGAGTCGCAGATTTCATGAATCATGTTGTTCGTTCGACCCTCCGATATTTAGTTGATATGGGGAGCTGTACATCCTTGACGGTGTAGAGTAGTTCTTCAGATCGCTTAGGATGCTCGTGGGGTATCTTCGGTCTGGATTCGCATCAGTGAAATACGGACCGATCGGCTTGTGCTGTTATCTCTTCTGGGGTAAAGGAAGGTAATCGATTATACGACTGATAAGAAAACTATTATCATATATCGAGACAGAGAATGGTGCAACTCGGCCGTCTAGATTGCAAGCATTTTACAATGACTATCTCAACACTAGAGAAGTGCTATGAAGCACTGGTCGAATTCGACCGCGTAGGCCGAGACCGGGAGACAGACACGTGCTGCCAGTGAGCGGGACCGAACCCGAACGGCGATCTAGACTAAGGAACTACGAACCCCCCAGACATCCCGACATCCCCATTCCATGTGATTCAATCATCTTACTCTTCCCAGAGAAGGGACGGATTCATACCTCGTCAGAGCATGGCACGAGCTTCAGATCCTTAGCTACTCACAAAAAAATGAATCGGCCAGCGCCCGAAGCCAGCACGGCCGATTCCGAACCTCGCAAACGCCGTCGGCCGGCCAAGTCATGCGAGCAGTGTCGCCAGCGCAAAGTCCGATGCGATCGCAATGTCCCCTGTGGGCCCTGTAGGCGTTCGCGGTCCTCAGTGGACTGTTCATATCGGGAGAACCTCCGTTCCCCGAGTCCAGTCACGATTGAGCAGGCGCCCCTGCATGCGACGCAACACAGTACTTCGACTATGAGTCCAGCGAATCATGCCGTTCTCGAGACGCAACCACCAACTCTGACAGCTAATGCGACTATGCCATCAGTGTATCACCCGGGACTGAGGGATACGGTATATGAAATAGTTAGTACCCAGGAACCGGCGGCTTCTTCGCAACATGGTTCAGTTCGTCAGCTGCAGGACCGGCTGCAACGTCTAGAGGCGCAGCTGGCGGACTCGGCTACTGGGTCGGATCAATCTCTGGAGCGAACCCTGCGAGATCTGTGCTGTAAGGTGCAGGCATTGGAGGAACGTCTGTCGTCGCAATCCACGCATCCAGCCCCGGGAAGGGAGCCAGAAAGAGAAGGGCATGGAAGGCAGGAGCAGGCGCCAATTATGCCTTCGACACCTCTGCGGCTGGATGCGAAAGTGAGAAAGATGAAGCTGTTTGGCCCGACTCATCATGTCTATACATTGGAAAAGGTAGGGGATAAACCGGACCCCGTGAAGAGAGAAATAGCTCATCAGCTGGCAGCTTCAGTTGCTCGGTTCCCTCGCAGGCAAGGACCCGCAGTCTGCATACCCGAAGCGTAAAGCTGAACTGGCGACGCTCATCAAGGAGTGCCGAAACCTCCGCAAGTCAGTCAAAAAGAAACAGTCTCTGAAATCGAATGACCCTGTGTCCGACCTGCGCACTTCCATACCCACACGAGATGTGTGCGACGAATTGGTGCGTTGTTACATGGACACTTTCGAGCCTGTCTATCGAATCCTCCATTTGCCAAGTTTTCAAACGGAGTATCAACAATTTTGGGAGGAACCTCCCGCCAAGGTTACGCCTTTCCTTGTCAAATTGACCTTGGTACTCGCTATAGGCACTACATTCCATCCACGGCGCAGTAAAGCAGGCAGTGAACATGACTCGCAGTTGGTACAGTCCTGGATATACGCAGCTCAGTGGTGGCTCACTGGACCAACGGAACGATTGACCTCGAGTCTAGAGGGTATTCAGGCCGTTTGTCTGCTTCTTCTCGCCCGCCAGATGGGAGACCTGGGGCCGTCTATCTGGCTGTCACCAGGGTCTCTTCTGCAGGCGGCCACGGCCATGGGCCTGCATCTGGACTCGGCCAGATTCCCCAGCCTGTCGCCCTTTATGGCCGAAATGCGTGCACGTCTATGGACAACCGTCCTAGAGCTCACGATCCAATGCTCCCTGGACACTGCTGTACCACTGATCATCCCCGCTTTATCTGACAGCAAATCCCCTGGCAATCTTAACGATAAAGACCTTGACCCTGACATGAAACAAGCGACCACCGCCCGACCCATGTCCGAACTAACAGACTCCTCCATCCAATTGCTTCTTCATGAATCCTTCTCCCTCCGCGCTGAAGCTGTCAACCTCATCCATGACCGTTCGAAACTCACGTACACTAAAGCCATTCAACTGGGTACCAAGCTCCGCGATGTCGGCCAAACCCTAACCATTTTCTTCTCCTCCCATACCCCGTCTCCCACCACCCCTCAGCATCAGCACCAATCCCAGCACACAAACAGCGACCTCCACCCGGCCTCCTTCCACCACAAATTCCTCGACATGATCCTCCGCCGATACATCCTCCTCCTCCACCTCCCATTCATGCGCGAAGCACCCACCAACCCCCAGTATCATTTCTCCCGCAAAGTCTGCCTCGAATCCGCCATGATCATCGCATCCTACGCCAGCACCCTGACTCTTCCCGCCACCACCGACCTCGACGCCTTCGCCCGGCTCCTCATCGCCGGCCGCGGCTCGTTCCGCGGCCCCTTAAGTCTGGAACTCTTCTCCATCCTCGGACTAGAAGCGATCACCCAACTCGACGAGTCCCCTCCGCTATCGCCCGCCTCCGCCTCCACAGCAATGGCCACAAACCCCTTGGCCGAGCTCGCCCGCGCGACCCGGGCTCCCCTGATCAAAACCCTCGAGCACATCCGCGACCAGATCTTCCAGATCGTCCGCCTCGGCACCCCGAGCCTCAAACGCTGCATCGTCCTCTCGGCGATGCTGGCGCAGATCCGCGCCATGGAGACGGGCGAGTCCGTCGAGGACGCCGTCGGCGCGTCGCTGGTCCTCAGCCTGAAGGAGTGCTATGCGGCGCTGCAGAGCTTTGCGGCGACGTCGCACGGCGACGGGGACGTTGCGGGTATGACGACGGGGACAACGACGGTGGGGTCGAGCTCAGGCAGTCCGTCGGGGTTGGCGGGGTTGGAGTTCAATGCTGTAAGTTGTTTTGGTTCTTGCTTGCTTGGTGAGAGAGAGGGCGGGGGTAGAGGGCAAGGCTGGGTTTGTGAAGCCAGAGCTAATTGTGGGGTTTCGGGTAGGACCTTGATCTTGATATCACGAGTTTGTTCTATGCGTCTGGGTTGGGGGATCTGGGGGATCTTGGGTTCTAGGGACTGTTCGGATACTCGAACATTCGATGTAGGGTTAGGGGAGGAAGGCCCCAAAACGGAAGGGCTGTTGCTCCACAGGCTGGGGCGGGAACGAGCTGACCTTTTCTGAAAGCAAGAGGAGAGAAGATCCTACACAACCCTCAATCTTCGTGGAGATTAAGATTCATATAAAATAACTGCAACGCTCAGTTGGCGCTTTGAGAATTAGGTAATGTCTGATATCCATGTGGACCATGCGTGCCTGCCATGGAACGATAGTGTTTCTTCGTGCTCCGTGCGTCGTCCTTTCATCTGGACGCTCTACGAGGCCGGCAGCGATGGACACTGTCACTCGCTCCCCGTGATAACCATCCTCAAACCCACCCAGAATACTTGTCCAAGCCCTCATTCTGCACTCCAGCCGACCCATGTCGGACGCCGAGCAGCCGGACGGTACCGATCTTCCCGCCAAAGTCATCTTCCACCTTACTCTCCCACGAGGCGAAGGAATCCTCCAGCCGCTTGATGACCTCGGGCGAATCCTGGATCAGCACGGCCAGGGCATCATACCCCCCGGCGCCGGGGACGACCCCCCCGACGACGCCGTCGAGGTCGGAGATGGCGTCGAGCAGCTCGGTCTGGACCTTGGGCTCGATCGGCACGCCCGACTTGGCCGTCATGCTGCGGATGTGGCCGCGGGAGCGCTGGATGAGGTTGCGCACCTCGCCGAAATCGGCCAGCGTGTAGCCACTGCTACCGCTGTTATCCTGGTTGCCGCTGGCGGAAGCGGCGGCGGCGGCGGCGGCGGCGTTCTGGGAGAGGGTCTTGAGCTCGTGGCAGAGGTGCTCGTTGTTGGTTTGCAGGGCGGTCCAGAGCAGGTCGGCCTCCTGGGGGTTCTGCTTGCGCCACTCCAGCACCTTCTTGACCATGGAGGGCGAATTCGAGCCGCATTCGACGTCGCAGAGGACCATCTGCATGCCGCGCGGCAGCTTCATGCCGAAGTCCAGGCACTCCGTGTCCCAGCGGTGGGCCGGGTCGACGTCCTCGACGATGGCGAAGAGACGCTCCTCAAAGCCAGGGGTGGCGGCGTCGCCGACGGATTCGAGGATCGACGGCGAGAAGCGGCGGTAGAGGCAGGAGCCGTAGATGGCGGCGGCGACGTCGAAGCCCGAGCCGACCTTGCCCTGGGCGGCGCAGTGGGCCGCCTGCGCCAGGTTGTGGAGCTTGTCGCGCGCGGGGCCCAGGTCGTCGGGCTGCAGCGTGCGGTGGATGACGAGGGCGGAGACCAGCGCGGTGACCAGCGCGGCGGAGGATCCCAGTCCCGTCTTGTGTGCCTCGTGGAGGGGGACACCGAAGTTGACGAAGCGGCCGGGGGACTGGAGCCCGGAGATCTTGGAGAAGGCCGTCTCCGAGTAGTAGTCGTTGTCGGCGAGGATGGTGATGGAGAGGGAGCCGAAGTCTTTCGATCCGGCGACATAGCTGATGTAGGTCAGGGCGTAGTTGAGGGAGGTCTCGACGAAGGGGTTGGGCCGTCTTGTTCATGGAGGCAGGGATTAGCTTGAGGCTCCTCATTGACGGTGCCCATGGGAGAGACTTTTACCCCTGGCCCTTCTGTATCACTTTGATCCCACCGCCATTCTCGCACCGTTGTACACCATATTCCCAGACTGCGTCGACGAATTGTGGGGACCGAACCACGACGATGTCTTCGCTCTCCTTGCTATCTGGTGTGCTCTCCGCTTGCCCTGATCCCGGGGATGAGCTCTTCCGGTGATATTTTTTCAGCTGCTGGACAATGACATGGATGCGAGCGTCGAGGGCGAAGACGGTGCCTGTGTAGTTGCGGTCGAGGACGAGGTAGCCGCCGGTCAGGAGCACTTTACCCGGGGCGGACACCGCCGTGACGGTCGGAGGGATATAAGACATGAGGACGCTATGGTCGGATAGGTGTGCTAAGTCGTGGGAAAGTAGGTCATAGATCGTGGGGCAGGTTCAAGAATACTATGACAGGGAGCAGTGTCAACAATGGAACCAGTTCGCCTTAGGCAGTAGTGGGGGGAACGGACTGAAGCTATACGAATAGTGGGGTAGATCGAACTCTTTACATACCGTTTGCAACCTGACTTATCACTGATAAGAGAGGAGGAACCAACTGAATGGTGAAGATAGAGTGGTGCAAAAGCAAAACAATCAGCTTCTTTGCACTGGACCCGTTTAAGGGAGAGACGATCTTGGTGACAAGCCCCGCCCCGGTAGTCAGTCAACTAGTATGGTAGATTGATGAGGCGTTCAATGTGCAGCCATGCTGCTATCTGCAAGTTCGCCCCGGTGTGACAATGCTTGGAGCTGGAATAAGAGTGCGAATTGTTTACTCCATGTCAGTAAGACTTCGAGAATCATCACATCATAATTCTCAACGTCATCATCCTTGTCTTCCATTGTTGAATCTTGGATCAACTGTTGCTGGGCGGATCTTCCAGCTGGGAATCCCGTGGTAGATTGTGGCTGGTTCTGTGGCTGGTGTTGATGCCTGCCGTTTCAGGTGTCAGTTTGCGGCATCCTGCCATCTCCCCTTCAATTCATCTCATCCTTTCACGCTCTACGCAGGCTCACCAGGTCCAGGTACGGAGTCATGTATATCAATCAACATGCATGCTTCTACGCACATGGTCCGAGCAGAGCATCGAAGCTACTCGGCTGATGAGCAACCACCGACCAACTATCTCAGCTGGGAAGACTCCGTACAACTAGTTACGTGGCAGGCGCAGCAACAACGGCAGCAGCCTCACCAAGTGAATCTTACTGTGTCCGTGGGCTTCCATCCATCATCCTCTTTACATTGACTTTCGAGGTTCCAAGGACACCCACGAACCAGGGGTGTTCTCGAAAAAAAAAAAAAAAAAAAAAAAAAAAAAAAACCAAAACTCAAAAGCATTTACACATCGGGCACAGTGTCAACCGTCACCGAGACGGCCAGCAGTCCACGGAACGGACAGACGGAGATTTGGAACGGATATAACGATCGAAAGCCTTTTGTATCCGTGGTCAAGCGGATTCCAGCGATGTTCGGTGCTTCGGCCAGCCGGGAATCCGCGCCCCGTACGTATTGTACAGTACCACTGCAACCATTCGGAGGCCAGCCTACAAACTCCGGGGGACATTGCGGCCCCTGCGAAGAAAAAGAGCCGGAAGAATCGTGAGTCACGGATTCACGGCCAGGGGTCCAGCTCTGCTTCTGATCCACCCGATTGGGTCAGAGTTGCAATCCGGGGCCGCAGCGAGAACTGAGAAAGTCAATGAGGCCACCTGACACGCGGAATCCTTCCCTATGCTCTCCTATGCTCCCCTATATCGCCTCAGGCAACGACCATTCTCGAAACCTGACGTACATAGTACAATGGGGAGGGGATTTTTTGCTACAAAGGACTTTTTTTTCCGCGCACAACCATTAGTTCGTTGCTCAAACCAGTTATCCTGTTCTATCAGATCAGCGACTGCGCGCTGCAGATTGACGCCTGCGCTACGTAAATCCCGCAGTACGAAGTGCAGAGACCGTACTCCGTACATGCATATATCAAAGGCGTTCTGTACTCTGTAGACTAGACCAATCCACCCATGAATGGAACAAGAAATTCCAGGGCTCCGTTTATCGCTGAAATCCTCCCTTGGAACCCATTCTCAGACCTATCAAGATTCTATGGAAGAAACCAATCAAATCTTGCAATTGCATTGGTCAGCACGACAGTGACAAAAGTACCTATGCCAAAACAGGCCAAGTGGCAGTGCCGGATCTGCGCTAAGCCATATTGGGTATCCCCGGCGATACCGATCAGTTTCCCTCCCCGGGCTCTGAAATACCGATCAATTCCCTCTCCCAGTGTGGCCTCGTACTTTTCTGTTTGCTCTTCATCCACGGCTTCAAGCCACTGACTATTCTTCCTTTACGCGATCATCCCCTTTCTTCTTTTCCCGCGCGTTCTTTTGGCGACCAGCAGTCGTCAAATGAACCTGCATAGTTATTATTATTTTGATTGCAAGGTACGAACTACCCGATTGGGAGGCGGAGAGTGGGAGGCGAATCGTTGTGCATCAATCACGTTAAAGAAAAAAATCTTGAGGGGAGAAAACAATCAACACAGGACACTGCTGACTTCAATTCCAGCATTGCCTCTTCCCTCTGAAGAGGTCTCCCGCAAGATAAATGGTCTTCAAGCCGTTTACCCACCTCGCGCGCCAGAGTTTCACCAAAGCCTTCACACATGGCTATGCTCAGTCGGTAGTTGCGGCCTCGCAGTCCTCGTACGCGTCGTCGACTACCCTAAACACCCTTTCCACCCAGCCCGCTGCCAAGTTCACGAGGACAACTCAATTACAGAATGTTTTCCAGCCCTCTAGCTCCGGTGCAGGCGCCAAGGCCAGCCAGGGAACGTCCGGCTCCGGGGATCTGGGCTTAGCGGCCTACTACGCTGCATGGCAACATGCTCAGCAAACCGGAGATGACAGTGACTGGAAGCAGCTGCAGATGCGGCGGAGAATCGGCTGGAAGCCTACGTTGAACGAAGAAGAAGGAAAGACGAAGAACGAAGCCAGCCTTCCATCCTCCGATTCCCAATTCCACGATTCCCCTCACATCACCAAAGCCTCCGCCAATGACGACGTCAGTGCTCAGGTCGAAGAAGCTGTTGCCCGCGAGATCCAGATTCAAGAAGAACAAGCTCAGGCCGAGGAGGCTTCCGAGACCAAGGACAATCTCGACACCGAAGCGTTTCCCGATCTACCCGCCGATGTTGCTGCTGTGGAGGATGCGAACGTCGAGCAGTCTCGCATTGCCTCCGAACACATCATCGAACTAGCCAATGGCAAGAAATATGCGGATATTCCGGGTGCCTTCGCCGCAATCCTTCGAGATGGACTGACGCCGACCGTCGGGGCCTACAATGCCCTGTTGGAGTCGGCGATCCAGCTCCACGGGGACACTGCACAGGCGATCCAGAAGGCTCTGGACATCTACTCGGACATGCTTCGTCGTAGGGTGATTCCCGATGAGCAGACCTACCAGACTCTGGTACAACTTTTCGTCGTGCGCGCCCACGATGCCATCAAGTCCAAGGAACTCTTGGAGCAGGACCGTGCCCGGTACGGTGGTATGGAGGAGCCTGGCAAGTTCATGCTACACTCCAGTGAGTTGGAGCAGGCTCTTCTGGCCGAGGACCACTCTCTTGCCATTGCCATGAAGCTCTTCCGCACTGCCACTACCCGTCACCCGGAGTTCGTTTTCGCTCTCGACACCTACCGCTACCTGATCACGGCGTGCGCCAAGGAATGTCTGGTTGAAGACATGGTTTGCGTGTACGCCCACATGGAAACGCACAAGGTCACCCCACACGCCTCGATTTTCCCGGCCATGATTGATGCTTTTGCTTCGACGGGGGACCTGCAGAGTGCTGTCGAGTGCTATAACGAGTACAAGGCTCTGGCTGTTTCGGACGACAACGGCACCTTTAGTATTGTTCAGCGCTTGGATGGGCAGGTCTACGCCGCCCTGGTCCGTGCGTACCTTTCCGCAGGAAAGGAAGAGCAAGCTCTTCGGTTCCTGGAGCGGATCCAAGAATCGTTCAACAATGTGACAGAAAACCGTGAGGCCCGCCAGGACGCTGTCGAATCGGTAATAGTTGAGGACGGATTGGTGCGTCATGCCCTCAAGTCGGGGGAGCACGGTCGGGCATTGGAGCAAGCCAAGACCCGATTGCACGATAGCGCGCTGGATCATGCCATGTCCCAGATCTGCATCGCCGCGGCCGATGCGGGTAATCTGCAGACAGCTTCCGAAGCATACGATGCTCTCCCCACCGACATGAGCGTCCGCCAGAGGCCCATTGTCTCGATGCTGGCTCTCCATGTACGTCAAGGCAATGTGTCGGCCGCCCGGACCCTGTGGCACGCCCTGAACACCGCCGGTCAGGCAACCCCGGACTTGGTCCAGCCGACCGCTATGTATGCAGTCGCCCTCGTGAAGAGTGGTCAGATCGAGGAGGCTTTGGTCGAAGCTCGTAATATGTTTGCTCGGATTCGCAGTACCTCGACCGACTTGACCCTCAACCATATTCGCGAACAGATCAACGAAAGTCTTCACCTTGTCGGTCGCGTTCTTGTTCAAACTGCGGCTGTACTCTCCTCTCAAGCTGCCATGTCTCTCATGTGGTCAATGGTTGAGAATGGCGGCCTCATTTCTCCGGTCGCTGAGCATGTAGTGGCAAGCCTGGGTCCGGTCGGCATCTCTCAGTTGAATGCCCGCGACCTTATGCTGGCTCTCCAGGTGCAGGCTGGTATGCTCCTCAACAACAGCGCTATGTTCGACGTGGCTCATCCCATTCGCTTCGCCCACATGCTCGATCTCGCCCTGGCCACTGGCTTGCCGATGGATGGTACCACCACCCAGATGGTCGACCAAGCCGTGGGTAAGCTGTTCAACAGCCGCCCGGACATGGTCAAGAGATGGCACGATCATCTTGCCATGACCTCTAGCCCTTCATCCTTCGTCAGCGGTCGTCACTCTCCCGGATCCGATTTGTCCTCCATGACCCCTGTGTCCAGCGAGGACTCCTTCGACCCCTATGCATACGCCACCGATTTCCGCGGATCCTCGATCATTGCTGATGAATTGGAAAGCACCACCGGCCAGCTGGAGTCTCACCTGAACGAGGCTCTCTCTCGTCTCCGTACCATGCGCCGCAGCGGCCGTCATCCTCGTTACATCACGTACGCCAAGCTGATTAACTCTGCGACGAAGATCAACCGCGTTGATCTGGTCCATGAGGTTTTGAGCATGGCTCGCCGTGATGTGCCTCTGCTTCCCCAGTACAATGCCGTCAAGTACGGTTGGGTTTCGATTTTGGACGCGATGGTGGCCTCGTGCCTGAGCCTGGGTGACCGCAGCCAGGCTTCCAAGTTCCACCAAGAGCTGCTGGAGCTTGGCTCTGCACCCTCGGCCAACACGTTCGGTCTTTACATCACGACCCTGAAGGAATCGACTAAGACTTTCGACGAAGCGACCGAGGCTCTGAAGATCTTCCATCGTGCCGTTGCGGAGGGTGTTGAGCCCACCTCTTTCCTGTACAACGCTCTCATCGGAAAGCTCGGTAAGGCTCGTCGGATCGATGACTGCCTGCTGTACTTCGCCGAGATGCGTGCCAACGGAGTTCGCCCGACCAGCGTCACTTACGGAACCATTGTGAACGCTCTCTGCCGTGTCAGTGATGAACGTTTTGCCGAGGAGATGTTTGAAGAGATGGAGTCGATGCCTAACTACAAGCCTCGCCCTGCCCCCTACAACTCTATTATTCAGTACTTCCTCAACACCAAGCGCGATCGCAGCAAGGTCTTGGCCTACTTCGAGCGCATGGTCACTCGCAAGATCCAGCCCACGATGCACACCTACAAGCTCCTCATCGACGCCCACGCCTCTTTGGAGCCCATTGACATGCCCGCGGCGGAGAAAGTGCTTGAGACCATCAAGGCTGCTGGCCAGCAACCCGAGGCTGTGCACTATGCTTCCCTCATCCACGCCAAGGGCTGTGTGATGCACGATATGGAGGCTGCCATGGAAGTGTTCCGTTCCGTTGTGTCGAACCGCAGGGTGCGTGTTCAGCCTTGTCTGTATCAAGCCCTCCTCGAGGGCATGGTCGCCAACCACCAGGTCGCCCGGTCCGAGGAGATTGTGAAGGACATGGCTGCCCGTCGGGTTGAGATGACCGCCTACATTGCCAACACTCTCATCCACGGATGGGCCGCGGAGGGTAGCGTGGACAAGGCCAAGACTATCTACGACAGCATTGGCATTGAGAAGCGCGAGCCCAGTACCTACGAGGCCATGACGCGTGCGTTTTTGGCATCGGATGACCGCGAGGGCGCCGCCCGCATTGTGCAGGAGATGCTCTCTCGCGGCTACCCACCTGCTGTGGCCAGCAAAATCGCTGATTTGGTCGGGACTGGCGGTGCCACTGCCGTCCCTGCCGTCGCCGCTCTCTAGAGCTGACGACATGAAAAGTTGCCTTCTATCTCGTTTCCGATCAATTCTTTGTGGTTGGTCGTTTAATACTATCTCCAGGGCTGGATCCCTGTCTTTGGGCTGACTCCAGCCGATGGTCCCGGATTGAACATATAAAAAGGGGGCAACTTGATGACCGGGGATGGGATGGGATTGGATTTGCATATAGCGAGCGTATGGCATTGGCGTTTACCGGAATGGGATTGGGCGATGTATATACCATTTTGTTTTGGTTTCTTTTCATTTTCGTTGATAGAATACTCCCACCTCTTCTAGTGTCTATGGTCTATGCAATGGACAGATAAATGACTCACCAGTGACTCCTGCTGTAGTGTAGTTTGTTCTGAGTTGATTAAACCGGGATGAGAAGCGGAGGTGACGTGACCCGGCCGTGCTCTCCGTTTGCCCCGCCGCCCTCCGCATGCTCCCTCCGTCTTCCTCTCTTTCCTGCAACTTGTGAAGTCCGTCGGTTGTGCCAGCGTTTAGTCTATGTCTTTCGCTAGATTATCTCCACGCCTGGCTCCTTGTCGTCGTCGTTCTCCTCTGCCTACTTGTCAAAGTTATTGTCCCAGCTCCTGCCGTGCTCAATTCTCCGTCAATATCATACGACCCGCCATGAACCTTGACTCACCCGACGGGGTCAGGTCGCCCAGCACCGCCGACACCAAACACCCCAAGAAGCTCATCTGTACGTCTCTTTTTGCCATCGATCTCACTGTCACCCTCAAAGCACTCACCCCCATGCAACGCAAACCCCTACTAACAAACCAAACGCAGTCGCACCCGGCGACATCGAAACCCCGACCCCAACCGACCCAACCGACCCAACCACGCAATCCTCCGCCCCGGAAGCCTCATCAGCAGCCGCCGCCAAACAAGCCACCAAAGAAGAAAGCGCCGCCGTCGCCGCCGCATCGGCCCTGCGCACCGACACCTCCACGCCGACGTCCGCCACGGAGCAAGACCTGGTGGCGCACGCGGCGCGCGCGCACCAATTCGTCTCGAACCCGCCGCTGACGGTCTCGCAGCTGCACCCGACCAACCCGCTGCACCAGTTCCACACCTGGTTCCGCGACCCCCGGCTGCTGCCGGCGTCGGCGCCGGAGACGTGCACGCTGGCCACGGCGGCGCTGCCGTCCGGGCGCGTGAGCGCGCGCGTCGTGTACCTGAAGGAGCTGGACGAGCGCGGGTGGACGGTGTACAGCAACTGGGGCAGCCGGGAGGGGAAAGGGCGAGATGTGTTTGGGGTTGGGGAGGCCGCGGACGGGCCGCGGCCGATCCCGCAGCCGGGGGCTGGGGACGAGGCTCTGCAGGCCGATCTGGGTGGGGGCAATCGCTGGGCGGCGTTGACGTTCCTCTGGTCGGCGCTGGAGCGGCAGGTGCGCGTCGAGGGTCTCGTCGAGCCGCTCTCGCGCGAGGAGAGTGAGCTGTACTGGCGCACGCGCGAGCGCGGCAGCCAGATCGGCGCGTGGGCCAGCTGGCAGAGTAAGGTGCTGTGGCGCGCGGAGCCGGAGACGCTGCTCGAGCGCCGCCGCAACAGTCTCGATCCCACGCTGCATCCGGTGCCGCGCAATGTCGAGGAGCGGGATATCGACGACGGGCGCGAGGTGCTGGAGGCGCGCGTGCGCGAGGTCGAGCGGCGGTTCGAGGGCGTCAAGGAGATCCCGCTGCCGCCGTTTTGGGGCGGCGTGCGCCTGGTGCCGGAGTCGGTGGAGTTTTGGCAGGGCCGGAAGAGCCGCTTGCACGATCGGTTTAGGTATGTCAAGGTCGGGGAGGAGATGGGGGCGCCTAGATGGCGGATTGAGCGGTTGTCGCCGTAGATTTTGAGGGGGTTGGGAGCATTAGACGGAAGAGCCATGCTTTAGATGAGATGAGATGAGATGAGGTTATGGTTGTGCTTATGCTTATGATAAAGTGCATGAGGTATAGCCACGAAGACTTCTGTCGTGGCATTTGTACTCTTCAAATTCTATAAATAACAATAATCATCGATCCAGTTGGTCCAGAAAACAGACAGTAGGTAGGTCAATTGCAGGTGATAGGGTCCTGTACTATATCTCCAGCATCTGCCGATGCGGAAACACCGATAGATCAGATAAGATAGAGAGAACCTCCGATAACAAACGCCCCTTGTCGGCGCGCCAGCTTCCTCCCTCCAACCATCCCACGATATCTATGCACATACAATGCCCTCATAACACACCGATCCAAATTTATCTCTATATACGGCCATCTATACTACACAGTGTTCACACCAATCAACAAGATGCCCATCCCATCCCCCCAACCACCCGCGTCCAAACCCATCACGACCACCACGCCAACCCCCCGCTGGATCCTCCTCGCCCTCTCCAGCGGCGCCTTCGCCGCATTCAACGGGCTCTTCGCGAAACTGTAAGCAAGCCCTGGCCCACTGCCGTCCCCTGACTCCATAACCCCCAGCGAAAAGAAGACGTGAGAACAGAGGACTAATATGGTGTTTGACAGAACAACCGACACCCAAACCACCTCCTTCGCCGCCTCCCTCCTCCGTCTCTTCGGCAGCACCACCACGAACACCGACGACCATCCGGTCTTGATGCTGGCGATTCGAGGGGTGCGTTGCCTTCCACTGCCCTGCTATGCTCTGTCCTGCCCTGCCCTGCCCTGCCCTGCCCTCCCCTACCTTTCCTGGATACTTCTCCCTTCCCCTTTCCTTCCTTTCTTCCTGGGTTTAAGCCCAGCGACACAGACTGCCAGCCGTGCATCGAATCGCATCATCCAACACTAACTAACCTCTCACCCGCCCCCCGGCTCCACCGGTTACTGGAAAATAGATCTGCCTCGCCCTCAACATCCTCTGCAACATCATCATGTGGGCGCTGTTCACGCGCGCCCTGACCGCGTCCCCCTCTACCACCAAGGTCTCGATCACCAACACCGCGGCCAATTTCTTGGTGACGGCCGTGTTGGGCATGGTGGTGTTCCGGGAGACTGTGGGCGGGCTGTGGTGGGTCGGCGCGGCGATGATGGGGACCGGGTGTATTATTGTTGGGATGAGGGAGGAGGGGGAAGCGGGGGGGTCGTAGTTTTTGTGGGGGGGGAAGAGGATGTGGGGGTTGGGGGATAGCTATACTGTACAGTGGATTTGTGCGCAGCTGGTATGATACTTGACTTTTGGGGTGGTTGGGTGCTTTGGTTGCTTTTGAGGAGTGTAGGGTTATGGAAGTTGTGGTCTGGGGTTGGAGAGGGTTTTGGGCAAGAATGTGAGCTGGGGTTTATTGTAGGGTGAGTATCGTTAGAGTAGTACAGTACAATGTAAGAACGTCAGTGCAAGCAAGGTTGCAAGGTACGACCGTGGCTTCCTCGTTAACCAATAAATCTAATATTCGTATGTACTCTATTCAACACTGCTTTCATCTATCTTCTAACTCCATCGGATCGTGCGGGTAGGAAGACGATGCCGCTCCGTCCTGAGGGTCGCTGCCAGCCGTAGTGGATGGTCGGGTCTCCGGCCGACGACTGCCCAGTCGTATCCGTGACGCTCGCTTCCACGAGAACAACGACCCTACCTGCTGCATCCAATTCCACAATCGTTCCTCCAGCGTGTCGCTCGCGCGAGGATTCGACGCTCCTTCGAGGGAGAGCTGCGGGGGACTGGTCGCGGCCAGGGCCTGCTCTTCCGCCTCGACCTTGAACTGGTATTTGAGGCAGTCCTTGACGGTGACCAGGCCCGAAAGGCGGCCGCGGTGTTCAACCACGATGACGCGCGGGCCCATCTTCTTGAAGATCTCCATCACGGTCTCGAGGGGGAGCCGGGGGTGGACCGTCAGCGGGGTGTGATCGGCGTATCGGCTCAGGTCCACAATACTTGCCCCGGCGTTTGAGTGAATGTCGTCAAAGGTTTCGGGCGCCAGGTACTGCGAAGCGGAGGTCGAGGCGGCCGCCGCCGCTCGGCGAGCGATAGCGGCTTCCGCGGCCTCCTTGGTGAACACACATGTCGCATTGGGAGAGAGCAGGCCCTCGGCTTTGGCACGGTCAATCCCGTATCGCAGCTCCGTACGGCCAATGTATCCCACTAGCGTCTTGTTGGTCCGGTTCTCGACAATGGGAAAGCCTTGGAATTTATTGTCGTTCAGGAGATGCTCCGCTTCGCGAACAGGGAATTCGGCTGCGGGGAGGGAAACGGGATCTGCTGTCATGGCTTGGGACACAGGCACATTGAAAACATGGTCCTCCTTAGTGTCAAGGAAGGGGAAGCCATTGGCCCAAATCATGCGATCTGCGATGCCACCATTTCCGAAGCAATCACCCACGGCCTTGGTGACTCCGACTACAATCTTCTTGACGTTAGCTAAAGCCCAGGTCGTACATGCGAAAAACTCACCATGGTTGGAAGGATGTAGTTCAGCGCGCCTGTTAATTCGAACATGATGACAGTCACTGAGATAGTCAAATGCATGATACCACTCAGAGCTGCTCCTGCTCCTAAAAATGCGTATGTACCCGGCGTGATGCATGGGATGTCAGGTTCACAAGACGCGAAGAATTGAGATTTGGGGTATGCCTCATGCAAGGCTTGCACCAAGATTCCGACAAAGCGGCCAAATGATGCCCCGATGGCCATCGAAGGCACAAAGATACCGGCGGGCACTTTGCAGCCATACGAGATGATAACCAAAAAGATACGAAGGATTGTAGCGATGGCCAGAGACCCCACCATTGTCCACCGGTTCTTGGCCCTGTTCCTAAGTCAACAACAAGGAAAGGCAAACAAGATTCAAGACTCACTCGCAGAGACCATTGTAGTCATGGCCACCCTCGCATTCACGGAACAGAATTTCCATCATTTCCGTCATGTTGATCCTCAAAAACATGTTAGGGTAGCAGAGAACAGCCGTCAAGCCTGCCAGAATGACCGATTCCATGACCGCATGCTGCGACAGATACTTCTTCCTAAAGCCTTGGACCCGGAGGTTCCACTTGATAACAAGTGCCCCGTACAGCCCACCAAAAACGCCAATCAGGACGAAAAAGATCAATTCGAAGAAGTGCCAGGTTCGGTCATAATGCACCTGGAACATGACTAGCTGTCCAGTTCGGAAGGGGTTCATCATCTGCCAGCCAAGTCAGCGGAGCCGGACCGCCGTCGTCAGAGAGCTGTGGAATACATACCGCCAACACTCCTGTGGCCACCAAGGCACAGAAATAACTGCGCCAGAGGGTCTTCAGCGGGAAATAATTCGCTACCTCCTATGCATTGTAAGTAGACGACCCTTTCTGCTAAATCGAGAGTCTTACCTCAAGAGAGAACAGAACGCCGCCAATCGGACTACCGAACGCAACTGCCACACCCGCCGCCGCAGTCGCTGTCAACACCTCCCTTGTCTTCGAGGCATTTCGTTTGTATTTCTCGAAGAAGCGCGAGATCACATTGCCGGCACAAACGGCAAAGTGAACACTGGGCCCCTCCTTGCCCACGGACAGACCGGATGCGATAGCCAACGGAAGTGCAATTGACTTGATCAACAGTGTCCATGCCCCCAAAAAGCCCTTCATAACAAACCCTGCAATGATACATTTGATTTCGGAGATTCCGGAGCCGGCGGCGTACGGTGCGAACGACTTGACCAGACTTGCGGCGACGAAGGCGAACAGTACCTAGAGGCAATCTTCAGCGACGCTCCAAACACGAGTGCAATAAGGCCAACATACCGCATAGAAGATGTAGATGATGTAGTTCACAAGCGAAAAGGACGTCCATGGCTTCCACTCGGGACAACCTGCAGTAAGAATGAGCTCACAATGGCCGATGCGACATGGGCGACAGTAGCGACAGCGTACCTCCCTCCGCACCCCAGCAACAAAACTGCTCATTGAGATAGAACGCAGTCGTACAACGGCCCAATTTGATATCGGACAACCACTCCGTGATGATGTTCAGCAAGGCCGAGATCAGGCCAATCACCGCGCCGACGATTGTAATCACGACCCAAGCTTGCCCAGCGTTGTAGGATTCGCGGACCTTGCGTCTCCAGCCAAAAGTGCCTTCTTGGTCCCAGAAGCCAAAGCCGTCTCGTCGTTTCGCGCGACGTCGTGATTGTTCGTGGATCGCATCCTGGACCCAGTCGATGGTGGTGAAGTCCTCGTATCGCTTGATCTCGCTGATCTCCTCGGTGATGGCGGGGGCATGGCCGTTGGCCGTGGACGGGCGTTCGTCGACGGGTGATGATAGAACAGATAAGCCTGATAGCCTCCTCCAGTTCCGCCGCTCAGCCAAGACTGAGGGTGGATGGGCCGAGGTGGATGAGGCAGGCATGGAGTTCATTCCATCGGTTGAGTCGGCGACAAGAGCATGCGCATGATCTGGCCTTGGCGTAGATCGGAAATGATTGCGACAGTCGCGGATGGGGAGGAAAGCTGGAAGCTGAGAGGAGCTCCGACTGCTCCGTAGATGCGCCGCCGCCCACGTGAGAAGACGATAACAAAATGGAATTCCGCTTTGGGGCACTATTCAACTTGCGAAGCAAGCGTACAGAACAATAATTAAGATTTCTAGTGTTGTAAACTGCCAGGGTTACACTTCTCTCGAACTGTTGCAGAGACAGGAGTTCATCAGCTTACCGAAAACAGAACCAAGTGCGTTCTTCTCTATTGAGGATCATTCTTGGAGATTGGACCAGATTTCCACTTCCGCCACGCGCGGTGGGTTTCAAAGGCCCGCGCGTCGCTATCGTCAACCCACTCCGCCTCCGCAGACCACTTTCTCAACACCAGCTCGCACAAACTTATGTCAATCTATATAATTCTTCTCTAAAGCTTCAGATCATCCCATCAGCTGCTGATTGCTGTTCTCCCGAGTGAATACTCTCGACGCGCCTGCACCATGCCTCCCAAAGACAAGTCTGCGGCCGAGTCTTCGGCCTCCCAAGAGATCACCGGCCAGAGCGCTCTTCCTAGTATGTGGACAGGGCATCTTTCCAGCTGGCTTCGACTGACCATACCCGGCAGTTACGCGGATCAAAAAGATCATTCAACTCGACGAAGATATTGTTCAGTGCTCGAGTAACGCTACGTTCGTTATCACTATGGCTACGGTTCGTGCTTTGTCTTTTTTCTTGGCGGTCTCATGAACGCACCTTCGGCTCACATATTCTCCCATGTCGTGCAGGAAATGTTCATCCAATACCTCACCGAACAAGGCCATAATGTCATCAAGTCGGAACGGAAACCGCGCAAAACGATTCAATACAAGGACCTCGGTTAGTAGCAGAAAAGATCCTGTCCCAAATACAGTGCAACAGACTCACGGTTTTGGCTATAGCTACGGCGGTGTCGCACATTGACAACCTCGAATTCCTGTCCGACGTGATCCCCAAGACAACAACGTACAAGCAATTCAAAGAGAAGCGGGCCAAGGAGGCAAGCAGAGAAGCCGGATACGAAAAGGGACAGCGCACCTTGAACGGCAGCATACCTCCAGCGCCAGAAGGAAAGCCCGAGGCAGACAACGAGGAGGCTCAGCTGGGCTCAGACGACAAACTATCGAGGGGTTCTCGACCACCAACGGTGACCATGATGGTGGATCGAACGGTAGAGGCATCGACGGAGGATGAAGATGTGGAGATGGCCGACCAGTGACTGCGACACATGATCACACTCTGACGGAGCATTGCATGGCATTGGGGAGTTCTTTGGGGGTCCGCTCGGTTTCAAAATTGTTTGATTGTGGTTTTCTTTTTCTTTTTGTTTTTCTCTTCATTATTGGTCCAAAGCAATCGGACCATTGCATTCGTCGGTCTCTGGTCAAACGCATTGGGAATCTGGATAATAGCATTGGACGGGACGGGATCGGGACGGACAGGGTGACAACTAAACTAATAGCATTGCACCAGAGTCCAGCGCAGTGCAATCTGGGTCAAGCATTGTATATATTTATTATTGAATACATGGCGCTTGTGAACAATGACTGTAATAATACATTTCATTATGCCGTACATAGATACAGTACCAATGATTAGATTGGAAGATAATCATCATGTATCATGGGGGATGGCAGGCAATACGTCAGGTGAGATTCTGACTAAGACGGGTGCTGCGAGCCAATGATATGAGCCGTGATTCCGATCGCTTGCCGTAGCGAAAGCTCTGGTTCGACTTTCCGTATGAGTGCCGGGCCTCCGACTTCAACCTCCAACCTCAAGGAAAATCAAATCCTCCTCCGATCTCCTCCCCGGATATCTCTCTTTCCTTCCCCCCCCCCTCCACACCCCACCCACCACTTCCTTAGCGGTTCCCTCCCCTATCTTCGCAATTGACCGTGCAATTGCCTCCTTTCGCCATGTCTCTCGCCTCCGCTTCCAACTCCGTCCTGCGCGCCTGCGCTCGGCAACAACTCACCACTCCTCGCGCCGCCATCGCCTCCTGCCAGCAGCGGAGGGGAGTCTCCAATGCCAGATCCAGCTTCGCCAGCCCCTTCACCCCCGCCGCCGACTATGACCAGACCGTGAAGATCCCCGACTTCAGCAAATACTCCTCCAAGAAGGGCCCCCGCTCCAACCAGATCTTCTCCTACTTCATGGCTGGTTCCCTCGGTCTGGCCTCTGCCGTCGGTGCTAAGGCTACCGTTCAGGGTAGGTGACTCCGACTCTTCTCAATGTTTCGCATATGAGCTTGGACTTGCATGGGAGGACGGTGCACAGTGACTGGAGGAAATCAACGACCTCGATGGATGGATTCATGGGCTGCGTTGCCTTGCCGCTCCGACCATTATCGCTGACGTGGGATCATATCAATAGACTTCCTGGTCAACATGTCCGCCTCTGCCGACGTCCTCGCCCAGGCTAAGGTTGAGATCGGTCTCGCCGCTATCCCTGAGGGCAAGAACGTATGTCCCCCATTCCTCTCTCACCCGGCCGGGTTCGCCCTCGTGCGACTATGAGATCTGACCGCTGCTCCCCCGCATACAGGTTATCATCAAGTGGCGTGGAAAGCCCGTCTTCATCCGTCACCGTACCCAGGATGAGATCGAGGAGGCCCAGAAGACCGAGTGGCAGTCTCTCCGTGACCCCCAGGCTGATGAGGACCGTGTCCAGAAGGCTGAGTGGCTTGTCATGCTTGGTATGTGCAATCCCGTGCTGCCTGCCACCTCAGCTTCAATCACTAACCTCGCTCTTCCGTCTAGGTGTCTGCACCCACTTGGGTTGTGTCCCCATCGGTGAATCCGGTGACTTTGGCGGCTGGTTCTGCCCCTGCCACGGTTCCCACTACGACATCTCCGGCCGTATAAGAAAGGGCCCCGCTCCCCTCAACCTCGAGGTTCCCCAGTACAACTTCCCCTCCGAGGACACCCTCGTCATCGGTTAAGCGGAACCCCGACCCAAAATCGAAACTTCATGTTGCAATTGAGGGGGGGAAGTGCGCTTTTCGCCGGCATAGAAAGAGCCGGCTGGCCAAGCAACCCTTCTTTTAGAGCGCCAGGGAAGGGATGACGGAGAAGGTTTGTGTGTATGTACGCGTGTCGTTGTTGTGTCTGTATGTGCCTGTGCTTTAGATGAAATCCTCTTTTTTCTTATCTTTTTTTTTGTTCTCTCCATCTTTTGTCAAGATATAAAGAGACCTTGTTTTAATATGGGATCCCGATAAAAACTGAGCCTCTTGTTTCTTTTGTCATCCTATCCGTCTCCATGACATTCACCTTTACAATTCGCCGCTCACTTGCCTTGAACCTCTGGAGGTTCCAGGTTTGGGTTGCCCTCGGAGCTCTGAACGGCCCACTGATTGATACCTGTGTGCCGTTCTCGGTCGTGGCTTTCTGGTCCTCTGTGCTAAACTCGCCATTCTCGATAGACAAAACAAGAAACATAACCACAGTTACAGCTTCACTAAACCCCAAATCCCCCCCCCCCCACCTCCGCGATATTTTGATAATTCGTTATTGATACAGAAAAGATGATCATCGCTTTATTTATGTCTTGGGAGGCCTTTATACAAATACATACAGGGACGTTTTCCTTTTCCCCCGCCCAGAAAACAGAAAATCAATGCTTATTACATGGAAGATACAAGGAGAAAGAACGTCCAGTTCAGCACGGTTGCACACCGTTTTTCCTCACTGTGGACGAATGAAGAACGCCAGCAGCCCGATGACAGCTGCACCCGCGGCAGCGCTCTGGATAGCAAGGATCGAGTGATCCCGCTGGGTCATGGTGATCGGGCGATCACTGAAGAGGTCTCGGAGGTAGCGACGCGAGGATGCGATGAGGGTGGCGTAGGGAGGGATGCGAGAGTAGTGGGTTTTGCAGGTCTGGAGGACATTTTGTAGTTTGTTGTTTGAGGCGGGGATTGCTGTGGCGGTTGTTGCGGTTGTTGCGGTTGTTGCGGTTGTTGCGGCCTGGGTTTCGGTCTCGGGCGGCACCGGAGCGGACGCCGGGACGGGGGTCTCTTGCTCGTTCGGGATAGCTTCGCTGGCTGCGATGGCGGTGGCGGCCTCCTCTGACGAGGCGACTGCTGGGGTTGCGGTGGGTTCGGCGGCGGCGGCGGCGGCAGCGGCTTCGGATTCCGCCCTGTTGGCCGAGGCCGAGGCCATCTGCTGGGAGAACTCGGTCTGCAGGTTCAGGATCTGCGCCTGGTTCAGGGTCTTTTCCTTCTCGATGGCCTCGATGACCTTCTCCTCGAAGCCCTTGACCAGCCGCTTGCGGCGCCAGGGCTCCACGGCGATCTGGAAGATCAGGAACAGGAGCACGTTGACCCCCATCAGGCCCCAGGTGCCCCAGGTGCTCATGCGGCGGATCTTGTCCGACCAGACCTGCTCCTCGTGGTAGCGCGACAGGATGCTCTTGTTCAGCTGGGCGGCGGCCTCTTCGGCCTCGTGCTCGGCCGCGGTCAGCGCCTGCTGCGCCTCGTTCTCGGCCACTTCGTTGGTGTGGTCGTTGCGGTAGAGGTGCGTGAACCGCTCCAGGTCGGCGGCCGACCACGCGTGCTTGCGCTGCAGGAGCTCGTTGACCTCGCGCTGCGAGGTCGATCGGTTGTTGATCGCCGCGGCGTAGGCGTCCTTGGCGGTGCGGACTTGCAGGCGGGCGGCGCGAAGTCGTTCCTCTGTTGTAAAACGAAAGTGAGATTAGAATCTTTGGTCTGGATGGCGCGGAATGGTGGTGGTGGGGGTCTCATGTCCAGAAGGCTCTACAGTAGCTCTCGTACCTTGGAATTGGATGTCCTTCTTCAATGCCTCAATCGCGGAGTAGCCCGTCAGGTCGTTCAGTCGCTGCCCGGCCACGAAGATGTTCGATTGGAGGTTGTCCATCACGACGCTGAATTGTTTGGCGAATTGCGACCGTCGGTTCTCCAAGTAGGATGGGAGACCCCCGGGCTGCGAGCCAGATCCCGCGGCGTCGGCGCCAGCATCTTCTCCTTTCTTTCCTTCCCGCTCCGCTGCTTCAGGCACGGCTGTCGTTGACGTCTGTTCCTCCGCAGCAGCAGCAGCCGCGGCGGCCGCGGCGGCGGGACTGTCTCTCCCCGCATCCGACTCAACATGTGGGTTCTGTTCAGGGATAGCTGACGGCGGCGGTGACGGTGCCGGTGCCGGGGTGTCTTGGGTGGGAGGGGCTCCCAGGATGATCACATCTTGCTTCTTCTCCGGCTCATTCGCCGAGTACACCGAGGTTTGCGTCCGGAATTGACATCGCAGGCAGGTCGAGAAGCTCCGGGGGGTTGTCTCGCGGCCAGGATAAAGTGCCTGCGGGACACCGGCGGGCAGCAGTAGTAGCAGCGGTCTTCGCACCGGGCGGGAGGTGGTCGTGCGGGTCAGACCGTGGACGCTGGACCGGATTGACTGCCTGAGCAGCAATGGCATGGACTGCATGACCGCTGCTGCTAAGGCTAACAACAGGAGGCCAATGCAGATGCTTTATCGTCGTCGTCGGCGTCGTCGGCGTCGTTGTTGTTGTCGGTTTGCTCGGAGGCGGACGAGTCACGACTCGGTTGAGATTCATTCCTCAGGCTGGTCGGCCGGCAGCCGGAAGAGAAGGCGGTCATGCGGAAACGCCGCGCTTCTGCGGGCTTCTGGTGGACTCCCCCCTCTACTGTTAACTTACTTACTAGTGGATTATGCGGTGAGAGAGAGCTTTTGGGGGGGGGGGGGGGTGAATTTCTTGGTAGAACAATGGTGGTCTATGACCCTACCTATGGCTACCTTAAAAGCTAATACTAATATTATCCTCCTGGTTTATCTTCACAACAGCACATTAAAGAGCCAGATCAGCGAGCGGCCCCCCCGAGATGGGTTCGAAAGTTAGTGACCGCGCTGATCAAAGACAGTTAAGCAAATACATAATAGCACATTGTCATTATCCATTACCATTCGTTGTAAGTAGGTGATCGTAACTTGCGGTTCGTAAGGCCTGGCAAAAAGAACAACAGTAGGTGGGACTGTGGGGGCAATCCTTGTACTGGTCTTTGCCTGGGAGCAGCAGTATTTCGAGACAACCGACAGCAAGTTGCGAAGCAACTGCGTTGTCCTCGTTTCATTCAGGCTTGACCTGTTTGATCTTGTACTTTGTGGTCTCCCTTCACTGCTTCGGCGTATGTGGGAGGTGGCCGCGCATCGGCGTGATCCCGGCTGCTGCTACCGCCGCCGCCGCTTCCAGAAGCTTGTTCGTGCTGTTGGGAAGGTGCGGGATGTTGCTGCTTTGGCTGAGCGTTCGCCGCGTGGGGTTGTTGCGGAGGCATGGTACCATAGCCCCGTTGGGATGGGTGCTGGATGGGTTGGTGGGAGACATAGTAATACGTGACGTGACCGTTCTCGGCGTCGCCTCTGTGATTCCCGGGGATGGGCGCATAGCTGGGGTCATCGTAGTCCGGCTCGGGATACTTGAGGATGATGTACCAGGCGTGCAGCAGACCCGGGATATAGGCGAGACAGCAGAGAGCAAGGTTGATGATCGAGTCAGCCGTACAGATGCCTACTTTGATCCACACTGCACACGGTGTTAGTTCTTGATCTGCATTTAGCACGGAGTTCAAGACAAGGTCTCTGGCTCACCCGCAATTGGAGGGAAGAAGATGGCGAGAATCGCTAGGAAGATGTCTGAACCACACATGGTCGCAGGTCGGTCGCAATGGTAGAGTCACTGGTAATGGGATAAATGCCTGATCGCAGGTGGTGTTGTAAAGTAGCTAGAGAGAACTACCTCGGACACACGTTCGTTGTTCTGGTGGATCAGAGTCAAAAGTGTATTGAAAATCAGTGGTGGAGTGATGGCAAGATGGATGGATGCCTGCTGCAGGCTCGCGATCAGATGACGTCGTCCATGCGACGCAATCACCTGACATGGCGGGCAGTTCTCAATGTTGTTGTTGTTTAACAGTCAGCGTCAGCCTTCCACAGCAGCATAAACACCATTCACTAATATCACCATCTTGTATTCTACCACTATGAATTGGACTTGCTGGACAGTGAGAGCATAGGATGTATCCTTTCATTTGTGATATTACACCTCTCTTGTCGACTGGTACTAATTATACCCCTAGTCCATCGGTAGCCACTAACTATAGCCTAATCAATCATGAGATTTGCTTGCTCATGTCGCACAATATGGGAGATGGACCGTTGGTTATATGATATGGATGATAATCTTGCGTTGTATAAAACAATCCTTTTCTTCATCTGGCTCGCGGGCGCCGAAAGGAATAAGTTTCGGACCCGCCGCGGCGAGGTATATATATCTAGCTTTGCTTTTGCATATGAAAAAGGACCCCCTGCCTCTCAAGGATACGGAGTGAAGATGGTATAGTCAACAAGCAACCTATATCAGAAAGCCAGCGACTCTACAACCCAAATAATTAGTTCTTTCCTTTGTGATAACACTGCCCAAAGCAGGGCGTCACCATCGCCTCAAGGCAGATTCGGGGCCGAACTCTGTTGCTGTGGCGGGGACTCAGAGACCCGCCTCGATAAATCTAGAGTTCACAACATGTAGTAACATGCCGGGAGAATAACCCGACTTCAATCCTTACTATTCGGGTCTTTGATTTTCGACTGCTGGAATTCACTCTGAATACGAGATTCGGGTACATCTGGGGAGTATATGGAGTACTTTTCGAGACATCTCATGGCGGTCTGAACATCCTCGCATGCAACTGTCATCTGGAACCAAGCATAGCACTGCACGATCCGAGAACCACGGTTTACAGCCGCCTTATCCCAGACCAAAACAAGACTCAATTCAAGACAATGAACTCTCAGGTGACACCAATCTCCTTACATTCCTTAAGCCTACTCTACCTAGTCTATTACGGTGTAATTGATCATAAACCGCTACATGAGACGCAAGGGTGGTGAGATTAGGTGTTTGCGGAAACTCAAATAGTGCCGACATGGTTGGCCGTCTCTGGCTGGAACGGCTATACTGCCATCAATTGGCCGGGGATTGAAGGCTGGACTGCATAGCCAAAAGTTTACCTAGCAGAGAGGCTACCTTACGTGGTGAAATTGAGGAAGCAGATCGTGGACGAATCTCTGTCGATGTCATGACTTGGGTTGTGTGAGCTATCGCAAATGGCGATCGGCCCAACAGCGGCAGTGTCAAGCAGCCTAGCATTCCTAGTGGCTGACGCACAATTAGCAATCGAACCTGAAACAGTCTAATGAGCTCCCGGGATCACTTGAATAGATATATTGTCATGTCTTTATCAGTTGAACCGAAGACATCATCAATCAGCGATCATAGCCAGGTCAAATGGTGGAAAGGTAATATACATCCTCCGTAAGTGATAGATCAATATGGAGGCTTCCATATCTGACTCGCCGAGTTTCGAACCCCGGGCCCAAAAGGGGGCCTTCCATCTTAGGGCTAGAGTAATACTTATCTAGCGTACCACAGCTTGGATTTCTGGTTCTGGCTTCGTTTCCGTGTTTGCAGTCCCACTTCCTACTGAATTGTGCTTCAGGTACGGATAATACTTCGTAGCACCTTAGTCAATAAATGCCTGGCTACCAGTGCGTGGAATGCCATGCACACCTTTCCGCGTGCTGGCTCAACCCAGAGTCGTAGGCAGGAACACTTCATCAGCAAGGTGGATCATCAGGTTGACTGTAAATGCCCATCTCAGTCCATGCTTCTGGCACTAACAGCCTCACAAGGTCGAGGTGTGCCACGTCAGTTGGGAACATAACCGCCAGTGACTTGCCATGCATCACAGAACCTTCCTGACCATCCGGATAATAAAGTTTGCGGTTCCTGCATCTGTCTTCTCTCTTCTCTTCTCTCTCGATAATTTTCTGCTCGCATCTTGACCTTTAGGCTTGTGTTGAGCGTCTGAAAACGAGCTGTATACGGTCACTTAAAATTCCGGTGGTCTCTCAAACCCTGGGACGACAAAATTGTGCGGGCTGCGTGCGCACTCGAAATTATAGGATACGCCGAGGATCCTTGCAGTCAAGACTCAAAAGTATGTGTTCTGCGATTGTTCTTTGTCTGGACTCTGGAACCGGTGATGGGTTCGATCTACCTCGAAGCTCACTTCCGGATAGCCTGTGGAGCTCGAAGCTGGGGGACCTCTCGATCTGATTCTGATTCGGCAGGAACCTGCTCCCTGCCAGCCCGACTAACTTGATCGGTAACAGAAATTGTTTTGTTCCTGGATGTGGAGGAACTGAACTGCAGCGCTTGTGCTGTGGATGCAGGCCGAATTGAGAAGACGAAGACGCCGGCTGCTTTCGCGAACCGCCCGCGCCAGAACCCCCTTATTGACCTAGTAGTCTATTGACTCTGTCAGTTTCCCAACTCCCAATAGGTTGGTAATTGCACTTCCTGAATTCTTCATATCCTGCACACACTCCTTTGTTCGCACCTCAATTACGGTTGCCCTCTTTTCTCTCGTATATCGATGGAAGGCCTCTAGCTATCTTAAGTGTGACGAGCAACTTTGTTTTCCTCCAGCGGCAGTCGAGGAAGATTTCCGGGAGGGGAAAGTACGGCCACCAGCTAGCCTGGAGGTTCAAATCAGCTCTGACCCGTGCTTGCCTTCTTACCTCGTTACATCCACGCTTTGTCTTCAAGTTGCCTTTGCTCATCTATTCAGTTGTCTCATTTATGACATTCTCCTCTTTGGACGACCCCAATTGACCCGTTAGCCTCCAGATTCTAGTCGCTCGTTTGACCACCCGCTTTTGAGGCAGATTGGGTCTAGCCCATTTGTCTTCGTGCTACCAATTTCACTTCCCCAGCTCTCCGCAAATCCCCGCGTTTCTTTAATCGAGACTTCACTTCCTGCAAGCGCTCTAGTCTGAAGTCTGTGTGCGCATAGTATTCTATCATCAAGTCGGACGCTTTCAACCAGGTTCAGCTCTGACGGCGTGCAACAGAAAGCGACGAAGAATCATGGGGCGCGATTGCTGATATACTGCCCCCCAAGACGAAATCGCGAACTGGATTGGAGTCTGTCATACGCTACCTAAACACTACACCATCCCTGTATACCTACAGGGGAACTCGGAGTGCTGCAGTCATGTCCAGCACATGCATCTCACTCTCGGGTTCGACCCAATGTCCCGCGTTCAATACCTCCTCTATATCGACCAACTCGAGCCTCTATACGGATTTGTACGTATGCCCGGCTGTTATGTGAGGTCCAGTGACATGCTAAACGCTCCTTAGTCCATTCATGCAATATGTCTCCAACTTGACGCAGTTCGACCAGGAGCTGAATACCTATGTCATGCAGTCTTTTGTGAAGTCGAAGTGAGCCTGCCCAGTCCTCTATGATATCTAATAACATTCTCACGAGTTGCTTCCTCGGCAGATACGTGGACTATCTAGGATGCGAAGGTGCCAACCTCACTGACACTAGTGACTATTATGCCCGCTACACCACGAGTGTGATTTGCAGTAGCTTGGTCCAAAGCTCAAAAGACGACTGCAATCTTTCCGTCCAGGATTCGAGACCGCTTTGCGCTGATGCCTGCGTTAGACTCTCAGTTGACCATGTCATAATATTTTCATACTAACATAGAATAGGCCCAGATGGCTGAAAGCGAAGAGGCCATAATCAGCGACTCTGACCTCTGTCCTGAAAGGGCGGATGACTACATGGCCCAGATTCGGTCCGACTTCACCATTTGCGCTCTTCCTGCCGACTCGATTACTGTGAGCTGCGTCGTGGGAGCTGACAACGAGCCGGAGAATTGTGGATTTCGGTCTAATCTCTTGGGGCTGTGTGCGCATTGCAAATCGAGCTCGACCAACACCACCGACTCCTGCTGCGAAAGCGCAGGAGCAGCCACTCGATGCTCGAATGTCACCGTTCCCTCTTCAACGATAACACCCATTTTTACGTCGACGTCAACATCAAATTCAACAGCTGGTGCTTCGGATGGCTTATCTGGCGGAGAGATTGCGGGTATTGTGATAGGATCCGTGGTGGGGCTTGCTTTACTGGCTGCCCTCGCCCTACTCGCTTTCATCTGCTTGCGCCGCAAGCGCAAGGCGCGGGATGAAAGTGGTCTCAACCAACCAAATCCGCAACGGAAGGGATCTCCATCAATGCAACAGGCCCAGGTGAATAATGGCTATGCTGCCATACCCGGAGGACGAGTCGCTCGAATGTCTGCTTTGCGCGAGGTACCCAGCTCATCACCGGCACGCTCCCGCCTTTCGGCCGCCTTATTCGGGGGCGGAAAGTACAGCGACTCTTCCGACTCAGAGTATGGTGCAAGCCCGGGTGCTATGTCCAAGAAAATACCCCCAACAACTGGCAAGCGTCACGGATCGCTGTCTAGCAACTCTGCCTTGGCTGGTATGGGTACTGACAGCTCACCGCACTCAATGGGAGCTGGTCACTACTCGTCACCAGAAGGCGTGACAAGCGGACAGTCCGAGCAATTGTCTTCTTTTCAGGACTATTATTCGCCGGATGAGATACATCCCGGTGATAAGGTGGCTGTACTATGGGCATATCAACCTCGAGCAGGAGACGAATTCGCACTGGACCGAGGTGAGATGCTGAAGGTGATCGGCATATGGGATGACGGATGGGCTACCGGCGTTCGCATTCCGGAGAGCGTTGATGAACATGATGCTAGACACCGTGAGCAGCGCGATAGCGGTGTCTCGAATGGCACACAACGGCCGGCCCCTTCTCCGCCTCCGCTAGGAGAGATCAAGGCATTTCCACTAGTCTGCGTATGCCTTCCGCAACATTGGCGCAAGATCATTGACGGCGGCCACGCGGAAGAGGATTGACGAAGTCTCAAAGCAATTGCTCTGGTTCAAGTGCGCGGCCTCATAGGTCTGTGCTACTTCTGGCTTGGTCTTCCCTGCACGCTTGGTTTGGGGTTGCTGTATACAGAGCGTTTTCTGCAACTAGCCCGGCTTCCCCAAACACCATGAGCCACGGACTTAACAACTACTTTCACACATGGCTTACCTGCTTCAACTTTCCGGGCATGCTTCATGATGATTCGAACCACAGACTTGATCTTCTCAGGCCTTGCTGGATCGCACTGTCAAGTTGACGATGTTTCATGAGACGATCTGATTTTATGCCCTTCCAACTACTTTCTTTTCGATCTTCAAATTCTTATATACCCAGTTCTTAAGCGTGTGGTGCAGTTCTTGTATTTAGACACGATTTGCATCTCTATACTTCAGCGCCTAGAGTGTGGACAGATTTTTTATGTCCTCACGCACTCCCATCTTACGCATGATGCGACGCCGCACAGCTTTTATTTATTTATCGAGTTTTTCACAAAATCAAATCATCATATAAGCATCTACACTGTGGAAATTGAGACTAACCAATTTATCATTGTTTACAGTCGCATCGTGTCTTCGAGCGACGGCTGTGCAGGGTAGATGTCAGGTACAGTACGTAGCTAGCTAAGTATTGAATTTGCAGCCTTAAGTTACCAAGGCTGGACTGACGTGATATCACTGGGCTAGCCGGGACTAGTCCCATGGTTAGCCACCCATCAACGGCGGTTTACTCCGGTGCGAAAACAAGATTCATTTTGGCTACAGCTCCGAGAATAGAACGAGGGACTGACTGCGGTCAGTCGACTGTGGTTCGACTACCTAAGCATTATGGTTTGCTGTGAGCTCTCCATTGACAATAGATAGTGTAGGTATGAGAGAGATTTCTGGTGACTAAATGAGGAACTGGTCAGAGCTGCAGGCACGAGGCTGCAGATGATGCGCATCATGCGGGATGTTGCTGCTGCTGCTGATGGTGATGGTGGTGGTGGTGATGGCTGCCCATGCTATAATACTACAGCACTAGTCACTGGGTAGTCCACCATGGACCTCCCCTTTCCCCTAGGTAGCAACTTAACTAAGCTAGTAGGTAGAGTCACTGCCACTCCGTCATCGCCCAGCAAATTCAGGGGGAAGAGTGGAAAGGGAAAATGGCGGCTGGTGGTGCGATGGGACGAATCACGTGGCAGGACCCCCACTGCCCGCCCGCCGCCGCTGGAGCGCAAAGCACAACAACTAAATGCCCCTCTATCTCCATCTCGGCTCTCATCCCCCCCCCCATTATTACCACTATTCTTCCCTTTACAACACCCCCTCACCCTCTCTCTTCCATTATCTTCCGCCTTTCTCGAACATTACCTGAGTAGGTTGTTTCAGTGTTCGGTAAGCCGCCTTCTCAGTCCCTCCTCAGCTTGGTGCTTTATTCCTGCAGTCACCGACCGTGCTGTGACGACAGAGGACAAATAGGGGAATCTGGCCAACTGACATCGCGTGCATGCGCAGGTTATCCACTAGCCCACTCCCCATCTCAACTCTAGAACTATAATCTACCATGTCGGTAAGTACATGTGTCTCTGCGTTGGCTACGCTCCGAACTAATTTGGATTCTTCACTATCTTCTAGCTCGCATCTGGGTATGTTGATACTTTGCCCCGTCGGGAGTGGTGGGGAGCTCGGTGGTCTCCGGGACCAGGCTGACATGTCCGTGCCTCAACAGTGTTTCCATCACGGATGAGTGCATCACTGCATTCAACGACTTCCGCATGAGCGGAGGTGCCAAGGGAAGCAAGACCAAGTTCATCATCTTCAAGATCGCCGACAACAAGAAGGAAGTCGTCGTCGACGAGGCCTCCCAGGACGAGGACTACGAGGTCTTCCGCAGCAAGCTCGAAGCCGCTAAGGACAGCAACGGTCGGCCCGCTCCCCGTTACGCCGTCTATGATGTGGAATACGACCTCGGCGGTGGTGAGGGCAAGAGGTACGATGATCGCTTGCGCTCTTTGCGGGTCCCCGCCGAAGTACAGTCTTGCTAACCTTCTCTTCCCTCGAAACAGAAGCAAGATCATCTTCATCTCTTGGGTCCCCAGTGAAACCCCCACTCTCGTATGTTCTCTTTCGTGACTTATTTCTTGTGACCTTCAGAATTTCCAGTGCTGACGCTGTTTCGCTAGTGGTCCATGATCTACGCCAGCACCCGTGAAAACTTGAAGAACGCCCTCAACATCCACACCTCCATCCACGCTGACGACAAGTCCGACATTGAGTGGAAGACCGTCCTGGCCGAGGCCAGCGGTGGCAAGGCTGGCAAATAAATGACGGTGCCGGCTGGGTCCGGGCCAGGGTAAGTATGCTGGTTGTTGCATCGCAACGCATCATCTCGAATCGCGACGGAACCAGGAACGAAGCAGCTCTCTCCGAGTCTCCCTGCACAAATCTAGTTCAATATGAGATCGTTACGACCTGACCCTGCTTTGTTCTCTTTCCTATGCATAGTTACCGTATAATCCTCCAAGCGATTCTGGCACACTCTGGGGTTGACCGGCTGGGTAGGGATTCGTGCTTGTTTGTTCAGCGTTCGCGTGTACAGAATAGGTTGCTGTTGGTCGACATGGAAAAGGACTGATGCAGTGGGTATGAAGTAAATACACGGAGCTACATCCGGGTCATCAAAATTCGGAGATCGTGCTCTCTCCCTTCTCTTGCGATGGCGTTGTAGAGTTGGGAAGTAATCTTGTGGGATTCTAAGGTCGACTGACGTAGCTACCTATCCTGAGCGCGTGGAAGAGAGGTCATTCCCAGTTCCCTTCAATTCTGGCAATTCACGATGCGAAAATGTCGTTACTATAGTATTCAGTAGTTTGAACTTGCACTAGAGCGCCAAGCCAAGAAATAATCCTGATCACGGGCGACACCCCTTATCAAGATCATGGGCATCGTCTGATGTTCTTGGGGGACAAGAGGGATTCAGTCAGACGGGCAAAGGCGGACGGGCGGTCGGGACGGGTTTTGGTAATAGGCCAATGAGAGTGGTGGTAAAATGGACTAAGCTAGCCTGTCCGGATACTCGACTTTCCACCTCAAACCACAGATCATCGAACGTCGTTCTTCCCCCCCCCATCGCGACTCTTTCGTCACCCCTCCACTCCACCACCCCCAACGTCCACCATTCTCCCATATCGAGGAATCGCTCCTCTTGCTCCTGGAGAGTTGATTGCTACCATTGATTGATCGCCAGACGCCCCGTCATCTCTCGCACAACATGTTCGCTCAGTCCATCTCTCGGGCCGCTGCTCGCAGCTCGGCCATGCCCACCGCTGCCATTCGCTCCTACCGCACGGCCTCGAGCCCAATGGCTTGCCTGAACGCTCGTCCCCAGGCTGAGAAGCAGACCATTGCTTCCCAGCAGACTCGCGCCGCTTCCGAGCATGCCATCTCGAATCCCACACTCGCCGGTATCGAGAAGCGCTGGGAGGCCATGCCCCCCCAGGAGCAGGCCGACCTGTGGATGCAGCTCAGAGACCGCATGCAGGCTGACTGGCACCAGTTGACCCTCCAGGAGAAGAAGGCCGGTATGTTCTCTTAACCTGCCTGAGATGCTTTTTTTTTTGGTTGCTGGCTGGCGCAGACAGAATTTTGCTGACGGGTTCTGTTCTTCCCCACAATACAGCCTACTTCATCTCTTTCGGTAACCACGGTCCCCGCACTCTGCCCCCCAAGGGTGAGGCCTTCAGAGTCTTCGTCAAGGTCCTCCAGTACTGCTCCATTGGTGTCGGTGTCTTCTACGCCGTCCACTACTTCGCCAAGCCCCTCCCCAAGACCATGAGCAAGGAGTGGCAGGAGGCCAGCAACGAATACGCTCTCGTAAGTCCCTCAGATGCATTTTGTGGTCTTTCGTACCCTCCTCTCCTTCTCTTCCTGTGAGAGGAGGGGCCTGATGTATACGAACAATCACTAATCCGGTATTCTCCACTCAACAGCGCGAGAAGATCAACCCCATCTACGGCATCAGCTCCGAGGGTTACGAAGGCAAGGGCTTCGTCCAGAGCCCTCCTGCTGAGAAGCAATAAATTCCCGGCCAATTCCTCGGGAATCAAGGTAGAACGATTGGACGAGTGGCAAGCGACAGCGTTGGCTTGATAGATGGCTAACCCCGACTCCTGCCTGCTTCGATGCGCCCCTCTGATCAAGGCGGATGGGTGACCCTCCATCCAGCTTGGACACCTGCTCTCGCACATGTTTTGTTTGTCAAACGTCAAGCCCAAAAAGACCCCTCTGTACCTCGTACTGTGCCATAATCAATGTATCTCCTTTGTAGCCTTAGATCGGGGGGTTTTTTTTTGGTTCTCTTTTAGTTTTGGTTTTGCTGTGTGTAAGGTACAGTACCAGTGCTAGTGCCATAAGGTTGTCCAATTGCTGAAGAAATTATTTCATTTCCCCCAGGATGTGTATACTCAATACCCACGGGTGAACCAAGAACCCGATATCAGATTTTGGGGAAGACGGCTTAGCCACTTACTAGCTGGGTTGGTAGGTGCTTTGAGCTACTACTCTCTCCAGTAATGTAAAATGTGTGCGGCTCTTTTGGAAACGTCATTGTTACAACAAGACCGGTACACGTACTGAGTACTCCGTACAAGGCTAAGCGATATTTTATCGGGGAGCAGTTGAGTTTTTTTTTTTCCCCCCAGCCTCATCCAACTATCGGTCTAGGTTGCTAGGAAACTACGACGGAGCTCAATTGTCTCCCCTCATACGTGTCAATACTGAAGATTGAGCTTTCGAGACACCGCTAGACCGACGAGCCTGGGGCCAAGGGACTGAGGGAGAAAAGCCTGAGGGGGGGGATTGATTGAAAAGGAAAACCGGAATTGGAAATCACGGGAACACGTCAGATTTTTTTTCGTTGCGGTTGGCGGTTGGTCCGATACCGTCGCTTGTTTTCTGTCTGTATGAATGGATGCAATGCATGTCTGGATGTTGTCGGAGCAACCACTTGCTTCTAGGTACGTGTAGGGGAGGGTTTGGGCGTGATGGGAATGGATGGAGGTGGTATATGTAGATGACTGAACTGAGAATAGAGTACTATTTGTAAAGAAGAATCATGCTTATTGGTATTAAACATCAAGAGGTAGGAAGTATATATCCATCATTGAAAGGGCAAGTTACGAAAGAGGCGGGGGTTTCCAGTTGGTATTAGTAGTATCCGGGCTGGGCTGGTGCCAAGTCCGATCCCCCATTTTGTGTGTGCCCCGATGGGGTTGGATTGTTACTTGTTAAGTTACCCCAACAGGGCAAGGTTTGGGTTGGTTCTGGTTGCCAGGTGTGCAGCTGGACTAAGTATGTACTCGGACAGACGGGAAGAGCATTGAGCAGAGCATGAGCATGGGTGGTAGTTAGTAAGTTAGTTTAGGGTAGTGGAAAAGAGGAGAAGGAGGAAAAGGATTAGCCTGAATGGACCAGGTAACTTGAGGTACTGTACAGTCAGTACATTGTACTCGGTACCTTCTTCGTGTATAGTATACATCGGAGCTACTTTGCCCTCTCTACTGCATGCATGCAATGCATGCATGGATGCTGGATGGGAGGTAGTAGGTAAGTACCATTACCAGTCCAATACACACGGTACTGTACAACTGGCCAGAAAACACACACAACAGCGCGTTGCTCGGTACATCACGGGATCGTCGGCAAAACCGCCCCGGAAAGGCTAAGCCGGACAGACTCGGCCAAGCGTAGGATCCACCTCACCTCAACTGAACCTGACCTCCTCTCCTCTCAACCTCTTCCCTTCCCTTTTCCTCTCTTTCTCCCTCTCTTTTCCCTTCCCCCCATCCTCCCCTTTGACCTCCCTCTATACCCATTTCGCTCTTCAACACCATCATCATGTTCAAGAGGTATACTACTCCAGACCCCCAATCCATATACCCCAAGCTTCAACCTTCCCCCCCCATCCCCCACTATTACTTTCCTTTTTCATATTGTTGTTCATCCTTCCATTGATCAAAGAACTTTGAATGAACTAACCTTGGCTTGTTCTTCTTCCTCAGCGGTCTTGCCCGGACCTTCGGGAGGGCTGCTTTTGCTCGGCCTACCCCCGTTGCCCGTCGCGCTTTCCAGCCCAAGACCAACGGTCTTCCCTCCCTTGCCCGTCTGGCCAGCACTGAGGCTGCCTCTATTGGCAAGATTCACCAGGTCATCGGTGCCGTCGTTGACGGTATGTTCAACTTTGCTCCCTGCCTTCCCGCCTGCCGAAAGAAAAAAAAAAAAACCCTGCCGGCGGCTACGCGAAAATCTTTTCCGACCGCGATACCATCCCCAATTCCATCAAAAACGACTCAATGGCCATCAAGGATTACAATATCTGACTCTCGACTACAGTTAAGTTCGACGGCGAGAAGCTCCCCGCCATTCTCAACGCCATTGAGACCGAGAACAACGGCCAGAAGCTCGTGCTTGAGGTTGCTGTATGTCCACCACCACTACCTTTCAGCTCGACATTACATCAAAGCTTGGATAGCTAACCCCAGCATTAGCAACACTTGGGTGAGAATGTCGTTCGTACTATTGCCATGGACGGTAAGCTTCACCTACTTTGCACCAGCCACCATGGAGAGATCTCGACACTCGGCCTCCTCCTTCGTGGTTATCCCTTCCAATGCGTGGTCTCGGTGTCAACATCTGTCGTGCTGGTTCCCTAACGCGTCTGTTTCCAGGTACCGAGGGTCTGACCCGTGGTGCTGCCGCCCGTGACACTGGTGCTCCCATCACCATCCCCGTCGGCCCTGGCACTCTCGGCCGTATCGTCAACGTCACTGGTGACCCCATTGACGAGCGTGGTCCCATCAAGGCCGACAAGTTCCGTCCCATCCACACTGAGGCCCCTGCCTTCACTGAGCAGTCCACCACTGCCGAGATTCTCGTCACTGGTATCAAGGTCGTCGATCTCCTTGCCCCCTACGCCCGTGGTGGTAAGATTGGTCTCTTCGGTGGTGCCGGTGTCGGTAAGACCGTCTTCATCCAGGAGTTGATCGTAAGTCATTGTCTGGCCTTGAATCTCGCCAGTAACGGGGACTAATTCACTTTGCAGAACAACATCGCCAAGGCCCACGGTGGTTACTCCGTCTTCACCGGTGTCGGTGAGCGTACTCGTGAGGGTAACGATCTGTACCACGAAATGCAGGAGACCGGTGTCATCCAGCTCGAGGGTGAATCCAAGGTCGCCCTTGTGTTCGGTCAGATGAACGAGCCCCCAGGTGCCCGTGCCCGTGTCGCCCTTACCGGTCTGACCATCGCCGAGTACTTCCGTGACGAGGAGGGTCAGGATGTGCTGCTCTTCATTGACAACATTTTCCGTTTCACCCAGGCCGGTTCTGAGGTGTCTGCCCTTCTGGGTCGTATCCCCTCTGCCGTCGGTTACCAGCCCACTCTGGCCGTCGACATGGGTGGTATGCAGGAGCGTATTACCACCACCACCAAGGGTTCCATTACCTCCGTCCAGGCCGTCTACGTGCCCGCTGACGATTTGACTGACCCTGCCCCTGCCACCACCTTCGCTCACTTGGACGCCACCACTGTCTTGTCCCGTGGTATCTCTGAGTTGGGTATCTACCCTGCCGTCGACCCTCTCGACTCCAAGTCCCGTATGCTCGACGCCCGTATTGTCGGTCAGGACCACTACGACACCGCCACCCGTGTCCAGCAGATGCTCCAGGAGTACAAGTCCCTCCAGGATATCATTGCCATTCTGGGTATGGACGAACTGTCTGAGGCTGACAAGCTTACCGTCGAGCGTGCCCGTAAGCTCCAGCGTTTCCTGTCCCAGCCCTTCACCGTCGCCCAGGTCTTCACTGGTATCGAGGGTAAGCTGGTCGACCTCAAGGACACCATCCGCAGTTTCAAGGCTATCATCAGCGGAGAGGGTGATGACCTTCCTGAGGGTAAGTTGAATCTTCGTTTCCTGTGTTTTTAGTGAGATCCTTGCTGACCTGTTTTCCAGCTGCTTTCTACATGGTTGGTGACTTCGAGTCTGCCCGTGCCAAGGGTGAGAAGATCTTGGCCGAGCTCGAGAACAAGGCCTAAATGTAATATTGTTTTTAAGCGCCCTTTTCCTTTTATGTTAGACATGGACTACCTTTCTTCCATGATCCGGTTTCCATCGATGCCTGTACAGTACTCGAATTGAGAAAAGGGAGTTATGAGAGAAAGGATTTTGATCAAGTCCAACGATTCATCAAGGAAGCAGGAGCACTTGGAGGCAATCCCTCATCCCAAAGCCGGGATGGAGACTTCCCGGCTTGTGTTACACTACGTGCTCATGTAAGTAAGTCAAAATGACCACCATCAGCCTCATACCCGCCGGGCTGAGACAATTGTACTCTTTTCTTTTGTTGGGATCATCTGTCAGCGCGTAGTTAGCATGGTAATGACATCTCTATGACGCTTACTCACTGCCACGTAGCTTGTTGTCCCGGTCTAATTCCCCATACTCTGTAATCAATGATAGATAGTCAGCACCCCAGCAGGGAGCTACTCCATCCCTTACCCCATCTTTCTAGGCGCCAGCTTTGATCCAAGTGGGGTGGGGACACTACATGCAGTTGGGAAGCCTGGGTCATGATTTCCTTGGTCTTCCCTCACCAGTCTCCAGTGCCGCTGGCCGCGGCAGCCCCCCTCTCTCCTCCCTCTCTTGTACTTAATCATCTACAATCGCAAAGTCATACTTCAGTCTATTGCATTGCTTGCTTCTTGGCTATTATATCAACACGAGTAGCTTAACATACAAAATAAACAATCGAGAACAAAGGATTTGGTTTGTCAATCGCTAGGAAATTCGATAGATAGATAGGTATCAGATCAGGAGGTGCCAGCTAGCTAGCGAGGAGGCTCAGAGGCCTTGCTGCTAGCTGCCTGCTGCTGGGGACGTTCCCTTTGGGGAGGCGTGTTGGTAGAGCAAGGACCAACTAGGCTCTTAGAGGGTCTCTTCTAGTGCGAGGACCTGTATTCAATCGGGTTTTGTTAGCATCCAGGAATACACCAGGTGGGCCTTGGGGGGGGGGGGGTTTAGGACAAAGGGAGAGGAGCTGGCAAACTCACCAAGGCGGACCGCGTGGGAATATAAACCTGCAGGTAGTTGCGGCGGCCGTTCCACTCGAAGTCGGTGGTGAAGAAGCGCGTCTCCTTGTCGTTGCGGCCGAAGCCGCCGAAGGCCTTGTCGTCGCTGTCCAGCACGATGCGGTAGGTGCCGGCCTGGTCGACGCCGACCCGGTAGTCCGTGAAGCTGTTGGTAGGGTGGAAGTTGAAGATCCAGAGGAGGCCGGCGCGCTCGAACACGAGGACCTTGTCGCCCTCGTGCTTGAGGCTGACGTATGCCTGCGGCGCGTGCAGCCAGCCGTACTTGTCCTCGGTGAGCTGCATGGCGCGGTCGAACTCGTTCAGGAACTGGTAGCGGAGCAGGTGGTCCTCGGTCAGGTTGAGTTGGCGCCGGGCGTACCAGAACGAGTTGTCGTTGCCCGCGCGGGGGAAGTCGAGCCACTCCGGGTGGCCGAATTCGTTGCCCTCGAAGTTGAGGTACCCCTCGCCACCGAGGGCGTGGGTGACCAGGCGGAGCAGCTTGTGCAGGGACATCCCGCGTTCGATGATCGGGGTCAGTTCGGTGAGGATGGACATGTGCGTGTACATCTCCTTGTCACAGAGCCACATCATGAGGGACTTGTCGCCCACGAGACTGGTTTGGAGCCAGATGCATTAGTTGAATTGTTCGAGGGAGGGGCCACCAAAAACTGTTCCAGTGGTGTAAAGGCAGACTTACGCTTGGTCGTGGCTCTCAGCATAGGCGATAGTCTTCTCGCCGTGGCGGCGGTTGGTAAGGGTGAAAGCCAGGTTGCCGATGTCCCATTGGTCATCGGACTTCTCCTTCAGGAGCTTGATGTACATGTCGGGAATGGCCATGGCGAGACGGTAGTCAAAGCCAACTCCACCCAACGAGTGAGGTAGACACAAGGCTGGCATGCCCGATACATCCTCGGCTACCGTGATGCAGTTGGGATAGATGTTGTGGAGCATCTCGTTAGCAAGAGTCAGGTACATGACACCCTCGTCGTCGACGGCGGGCCCAAAGTACTCGTGATAACCGCCAGAGAAACCACTTGTTTGAGTTAGTCCATGTATTGCGAATGGAGTGGTTGGGGGTGGACGCACGTTCCAATACCGTGATGCGTATACAGCATGCTGGTAACACCATCAAACCGGAATCCATCAAAGCCATACTCCTCCATCCAGAACCGCAGGTTACTCAAGAGGAAGCGCAGCACCTCATGGTGTCCGTAGTTGAACAGACGACTGTCCCACAGATCATGCTGACCTTTCCCTCCAGAATGGAAGTATAGGTGGTCCGTGCCGTCAAACATGTTCAGACCATCCAGCACGTTCTTGGAAGCGTGACTGTGCACCACATCCAGAAGCACCACGAGACCCAGGCTGTGCGCGGTATCGACCAGCTTTTTCAAGTCTTCCGGCGGGCCGTAGCGACTGCTTGCCGCGAAGAAGCTGTTGACCTGGTAGCCGAAGCTGGCGTAGTACGCGTGCTCCATGATGGCCATGAGTTGGATGGCATTGTAGCCCAGATACTTGATCCGAGGCAGCATGTTCGTGGTGAACTCCTTGTAGGTTGCCACCTTGGTCTCCGGGGAGGAGATCCCGACGTGCGCCTCGTAGATGCGCAGACTCTCGGGCTTGGTCGGACGTTGGTGCTTGAAGTGATACCGCTCGGCCTCGGGAGGGTTCCAGAACACCGACTCGTAGGTCGGGGATACGGTCAGATCTTGTACAACGCGCTTGATCCAGGCGGGTATACGGTAGATTCGCTCCCCACCGCGTGTGACCATCGTGATCTGCGATGCGAGACATCAGCCTTATCGTGCAATAACATCACCGGAAGGGGGAGGGTCCTGGTTCAGCCGCACCTTGATCTTACTATCATGCGGGATGGCTGGCGCGCCATCCTTCGCCGGTACTGTGACCTCCCAGACGCCAAAGTCATTCTGCTTCATCGGATTTGCCTTGATGTCCCAGTTGTCTGCCCCCCAATTGTTCAGTAAGTCGCTTCCATGAATCTCAAGGAATAGCACCTAGACGTACTGAATTCGCCGACTAATTGAGCTTCGACGGCCCCGGGCGCCCACTCCCTGTAGATGATATCCCCGTTTTCGGCGACATTGAGGCCGAATTTCTCATAGCCCTATCGGTTTTCACCCGATGGTTTTGGTCAGTGTCAGTGGAATGCGGGATGATCGGAGATGATTAGTAGAAAAAGGTAAGGTATTTTCGATCGGACCCGCGATCAGCTCGCGGGATGAGGTGTTTGATGGAGAAAATAAAATCAAGTAAGTACCCTGCTGAACTTCTCCAAGCCACCCTCGTGGTCATTGATCGTTTTGACCCAATGCTCAACAAACTCGAATCTACGTTTGAGAGCGTCGCGGTGCGGCTCGAGCCATGGGTCGAGCTTGATGACACCTGAATCAGAAAGGTGAGCAACAATCAGCATGCTTCAGATTATGAAGGGAGTTTCCCTCACCAGTGCCATCTGCGGGTGCTGAATCCGATGCCATTGGAAAGGTTAGAGAGATGTGGTGATGTTTCGGATGGAGAAACCGAATGGAAGTAAAGCGAAACGAACAACGTCCAGCCCTAAGCTTGAGGAGGTTGAAAGTAGTTGGGAAAGTTTCAGTCGGATGGGAAGACAGTGATGGAAAGAAAAAGAAAAAAAGACAAGGAAGAGAGAGGGTGGGAGGGGGAGGCGAAAGAGTGTTGAGGAGGGGAGGAGGAGGAGGAGGAGGGTAGCTCCAGAGCACATGCGGGGGTGGCAGCAGCAACAGCAACAGCAGCAAACAATCTAAAGATGGTCGAGGCCAAAGCTCCTGTATAGAGCCTAGTGCGGGATTCATTCCTGCTTCGGAGTTGCGGGTGACAGTGACATCACCCCCGCTTACTGTAAGCCTGGCACTTTCCCGTCGGTCGGCAGGTAAGCTAATTTTGGTTTTGAAAAAGAAAATGACTCTGCTGTTTTTCCTTTATCAAACCTATATTGATATGCCGAAAGCAGAGATAATCCTTGATTACGTTGAGATGTGAACTGGCCCAGTGTCAAGATCCATGTCCAAGCTCAGGGGCGATAAGGTTACATCCAGGCACCGGCTGGAACCACTTCCCGCATGCAGCAGCACCAGCAGCAGCAGCAGCAGCAGCAGCACACACCAAACTGGGTCGCAAGACAATTCAATTGATTTTTTATGCTAGATGTTATATTATACTAAGTAGGACAGGCTTGCTGAGTCACTTGACTACTGCAGATTCTCCCTCCCCGTCAACTTTTTCGGGACAATTGCTGTGCAACCAGGCTGCTAACCTCATTTCATAGCAGAAGTTGGAAATCGATCTAACATCCTAAGCGTTGCAGCCACCCACATCCTCCTCCTGAGACTGGCCCCATCCCTGTCCCTGCTGCCATTGACCCCCCTGGTGGTGCTTGCTAGAGGAGCTGGACGAGCTGGGGGCACTGGTAATCTGTTCTTGAGCGCTGCTCACAGCGGTGGTGGCAACAAACTCAGCAGCACTGGTGGCCGCAACGTACTCCGAGGTGGAGGACGAAGAAGACTTCACAACGCTGGTAGCCGAGCTGGTAGCCGAGCTAGTAGCACGAGCTGCGCTGGTCGCAGGGGTACCGTGGCTAGCGCCAGAAGAGGACAAGGACATCAGGGCGCTGTAGGGAGTAGCGCCAGGGTAGAAGGAAGTGGGGATGGTAGGGATAGGAATAGAAAGGGTGGTGTCGAAGGCCGCAGTCAGATCGCCGGCCATCGTGGTCGCGGAGTAGCCCGAGGGAGCGGAGCTCACAGTGGTGGTGGAAGCGGAATAGGCGGCGTGGTCGTCACTGTCCTTCAGACAGAATCCAGATCCATAGGCGCTCTGGCAGGAGTACCACTGCACGCTGCCCTTCTCAGTCCACATCGCGAAATCCTCAATGGTGATGTCGTAGCAAGGAGCACCGGTAGGGCAGATCATCTTGATGGGTCCACGGGTCAGACCGTATTCCTCAGTACCCTTCCAGTTCTTGATCGTGAAGTTGCTCATCTGGATACCGTCGCCCTCCACAGTGCTCATACTGGCCCACGCACTGTCGATATCGAGGGAGTAGGCGTTACCGTGCCCTGATTAGTGAAATTATGGTTAGCACTCGTCTTCGTAGTCAGGGAGGTAGCGTCGGGATGTATACCAATGAAGTTCTCAAGGACAACGTTCTCAATGAATCCACTTCCACCATTGCTCTTGATCAACATCATGTTGTTCGAGTTCCAGGTGTAGATGTTACGGTAGGTGATATCGGTGACGTTGGTATCGGTTCCGAAGGAGCCCATACCGCAGCCACCACTCCAGTTGCAGTAGATGTTCTCGACCAGGATGTTGTGTGCCGGGCTCTGCGGGTCTCGTCAGGATTTTCATCTTTGATATGATCTAAGGCATGGGGTCATACCTTGACCGTAACGCACTCATCCTTGTTCGTCACTTCGATCTATGTGACGCTGTTAGCCTCGGTCAGTTTGCAAAACTGGACGATATGCTCACATCGTGGATCCAGATGTTGTCACTCCACACGTCAATGCCATCAAGACCACCGTGGTTGCCACCACGAATGGCCATGTTGTAGACTTCACCATTGGTGCAAGTATCGATTGAGAAGTGGAAAGCAGGCGAATCGACCAGAATGATATCGTGAACCGAGAAATCCGTAGTATCCCACACGCGCAGCAGGCGTGGGCCGGAGTAGTTGTCATCCTTGTGTAGCTCGTAGCCCAGACCCTGGATGGCACCCTTAGAGTTGCTGCTGAAGAGCTCAAAGTCGCTGGTGTGCTCGATCATGATCATGTTTCCCCCCTCCGTGCTGTCACGGTAGATGGTACCGTCCAGCTGCAAGGCCCAGGCTGAACCTCCGGCCAATTTGACCCAGGTGGACATCGCATAGTCACCCTCGGGGATGTAAACCAAGCCGCCCGTCTTGCAGTCGGCAAAGGCAGAGGCCAAGGGAGTGCCCAGATCGGTGGATTTGTCCGCCTTGGCTCCGTAATCGAGAACATTACAGGTTTTGGTGGCAGCCTTAGTACTGGCCGAGGTCAAAGGTCCAACAGAGCCGCTCAACTGCGCAGCAGCGAGCAGGGGCGCCAGGCCCACGGCGGCAAAAAGAGAGAGTTTGTCGACAAGCATGGTGCCGTGCCGATTTGGCGATAGAAAAGCGAAAAGGAACGAAAGAAACAAAAAATGACACAGAAAAGAGTGTGGTAGAGACGTCTGTCAAAGAGTGTACATGAAAAGAAAGGAAAGTTGAGAGGATGTATCACCGAGTCCACGTCAGCGAGCCTTTGCCTCCCTCTTTATATCAGAAAGCATTCCACCGTCGCGGCCATTTGCCGACAGCGGCTTGCCGTTTGAGCTAACCGCCTTGCAGCCGCTAACAATTCTTCTTGGAAGTCTTGAACCGCGTGGAGAGTGGAAACCAAGGAGCAGGAGACATCTCGGTCGTCGTTAGTCGATAGACTACTCCCCCATTGATCGAGTAATGCTATTCTTGACAGCACACAACGGGGCAGCTTGCCCAACTAGGCAAAACCTGGACCAACTTAAAACCATCAGCGTCGGCCATATACTTGGTGCGATGGAGTTCACGGAGCCACTATGGAGGACCAGGTCCTGGATTTGGAGTATGGCGAGCAGGCTCTGGACCCTGACTCAAATAGATTAAATCCCCCCTGATGGGCGCGGGTTGACGTCGGGTAAATCAGCATGGCTTGAGCTTCAGATTGTCTTCAGATAAGGAGTTCAAAGCACCGTGTTCTCCTAGTTTCGGACATATCGAACGGATCGAACGTATTTATTTGTGATGTACATTGAAGAAGTTATAACAAGATGGAGCAAGAGTAGTAGTGGTAGTGAAACGATGAGTTGCGCATGGAAGGGGGAAAAGGCAAGTTGCTAGTTAGTAGTCGCCGAAGCCGGGAAGAATCGCAGTGGCCGATGGATGGATGGGCCCGCTCACCTGAAACACCAGAGCCATTTAGCCCTACCCCAACAACAACTTGCAAAATCCACACCCATTCCTCTGATGGTCATTGGAGGTCATTGGAGGCTGGACATTGCTCAGGGGCCGAACTGCTCGTCAGAACTTACTCTCCTGATCACTGATCACTATGCAGGATCGCGGAGGATGGATAATTCGTGTCTGTTCCGTGGTCCATCATTCTGTTCCGGGTCAACCGAAGTGGTCAAACCTCCTTAGGGCTGTCGAGCTCCATCGTTCAGACGTCCGTCTCAATCCCCTGAAACAGATCGGCGGTGTAGCTAGATACGCCGTGAAGTGTGCGACAGACGCGGTGGGAATCACAGTAACTCGTAAAATTAGATTAAATCTATATAGTCTGGGGTTTCTCCCAATATATGCAAAACCGACACGCCGGCGGGCTCGCAAAGATACACCAGAATGAGATAGATACACTGTAGCTTGTTCGTTGCTATACATGGTCGGTCACCCATCGGGCCATCACACCGACGTTATCGAATGAAAAAGGGTATCTGGAACAGGTTCAATATTGGCGCAGCGTCCACCAAGCATGGTCCCCTAAACAAAGCAAGAGATTTGTTAGTCTCGTTCAATTTCTTTTTCCATACTTGCAGGGCCAGCAACACTCACCATCTACAGGTTGTCGCCGACAGTGCCGACAACAGTGCCGACCGAGGTGCCAACACCAGGAAGTCCGAGGCTGCTGACGAGGCTAGTAACTTCAGGAGACAGCTGGATGAGGAGATAGGAGCCATCCTGGCCAACAACGGTGAGGAGCTGCTCGACGGGGGTGCTGAGATCCTTGAGAAGGTCACCAATGTTGCCAGCGGTCTTGACGATGCTGCCAACCGAGGTTCCAACACCGGGGAGACCGAGATTGGCGACGAGGGAAGCGACAGAGGGGCTAAGCTGAACGAGAAGGCGCTTGGCGTTGGGACCGGTGACCTCAAGGACGTTCTTGACCTGGGGGGCAAGATCTTGGACAATCTCGCCGTTGGAGCGCTTCAGATTCTGACCCAGAGTACCGACAACAGTTCCGACCGGGGTACCGACGCCAGGCAGGCCAAGGCTGGAGACAAGAGCGGTAACGGAGGGGTCGAGCTGAATGAGGAGAACGCCGCCATCCTGACCGACAACGGTGAGCAGACCCTCAAGGGGCTGAGCGAGGTCGGTCAGCAGGTCACCGAGGCTAGAAGCAGACTGAACGACGCTGCCAACAGCGACTCCGACGCCGGGGAGGCCAAGGCTGGAAAGAAGACCAGTGACATCAGGGCTCAACTCGATGAGGAGCTGCTTGGCATCAGGTCCAGTAACGGTGAGGATCTGCTTGACATTGCCGCTCAGGTCCTGAACGACATGGCCGCTAGCAGAGCCGGCAGCAGCAGAGGAAGCAACAGCGCCGCTGGAGACTGAAGAGCCGGAAGAGGAGAGAGACTTGGTAACCTGAGTGAGCTCAGTCAAGCTGCCGGCAGGGGCGGCGATGGTGGCAGTGGCCAGAGCGGCGAGAACAGTGAGGAAAGCAGCCTTCATTGTGATGATATATGTGATAGGAAAAAAAGAGAGAGAAGTATGTTGATTAAGGTATTAAGTATTGACAAGGAATGACAGGAAGTTGGACTTCGAGAAAGAGTGAATGATTCGCTGCTGGATGAGAAAAAGAAAAGAGAAGAATGGGTGGTGAAGACCGTCTTTATATGCCAAAGCTGGATTGGCAATTGATCCCAATTCACTTGCCCTGGCTCTCTGCTTTGACGAGGGCCTAGGAGTGTAGGATGATGATGGATCGACATCAATTGCCTAACCTGTAGCTTCTGCTCGGGAGAGTGAGAGAATGGAGATGACGAGCTGCCTCATTGTGGATACGGATTGGCATAGGATAATGATGATCATAGTCTGTTTACCCTCTCAGGCTTTACACCGTTTGAACTTTACCTGTGATCATCAGGTACAGTCGAGTAAAGACATATCGTGACCTGCGTTTGCTGCTTCTTGCTTGCATAGTCATGATTTCAAGACTTCCAAACACAGTGCCAAAGGGGAGCTGTGAAACAACCTTTGGGCTTCAGAAAAGCTCACGACATACGGCTGGTGGTGAGCAGCAAGCAAGGTACGAAATGAAGTCGATTGCTCAATTATCACAGTTCGCAAGGTCCCGCTGATCTTCACTCAAATCGCATGCAGCCTTCGGAACAAATCCCGCCACTGCCATTGTGATCGGCACTTTGTTGACTGTCCCACCATGCGGTGGCTGAAAGCCACACTTTCGGATCAAAGGAGCTTTTCCGACGCGATACTGATCTACTACTGGCTTGAACGATACACATACCTTTCTTAATTCAAGCTATAACTCGAAGCGCTGTGATGCCGGATAGGAAGCCACAAGAGCCTAGGGCATTTGAGTAAGTAGCATGAGCACAGAATCCATGCAAACTTGGCAGACGTTTCTGAATCGAGCGACTGCAGCCAGACGGTCATTCGTAATCCTCATCCTGAGATGTATGCAGCTATATGCATCTAGCAAGTAAGTTGGTATACCGTTTTCTTCAACGGAAACGACGATGCAGTAATCTATGCGCCAAGAATGAATGGACCCTGGGAGCTAGGAGCCTGCTTTCCAAATCTAGTTAAGAGAGACGCTTAAATGCGATTCATGTCTCTCAATCAGCTGGATTAGCCTAGCAGCTGCTGAGCCGTCCCTGAGAACCCTTTCTCCACGAAGGTGGAGATCTCGAGGGTAGGAAACCACGGATTGTGCTCGTATAGTCTACAAATTGATCGACCTTGCCTGTCAGCGGCTGTGTGACCAATCCAAAGACAGGATCAACTCGGCAGCAGTCTTTGCGAACATCTCCGCGGTCTCCACATCCCGACAATAGGGAAATATAGCCTCCCAGGGCAGCAAATGCAGCTCGAATCTCAAGTACGATTGACTTTGCTAGTGGCATACCGCTACCGTGATTAAGGTTTCGCCTTCCGCAGCATGCAGTACTCAGTACGTAGATGGAGCACAGAGCCGTGTACTGAGTCTCTTATGGGAAGGATGTGGGAAGTGGCTGGAGTTGCGGCAGCTGCCGATCAGAGTGAAAACGAGGATGTCGTGCTCATATTCGCTAACGCTCTTTAGAAACGTCATTGTGATCCGCTATGTGGTGTGAAGTATCGGTTGCGTATTTTCAATCTGTGGTTGCCTGACAGCAAATCAGAGACGTAGTCGACTGGTCCAGCAGGGGGCTGTACTGTAGAGTGATTGACACAGAGTTGGGTCAAGGTTGAGCACGTTGGCAGGCAGAGAGCGCTCTTCATGTTACAAGCGCAAGAGTAGTACCACGTGGAGGGGCTGCAGGTTCTGGGAATGGAGCACATCCCAGGGGAAGGATAAACATCAGTGTATCAGGGGAGCCAAAAGGCGTCATTGATCAAGCATTGGAATTATGATCTGCTCTGGGGTGGTGGACTGGAGTGGACTGGAGTGGAGGTGATCGTGCGTGAGGTTGCTGGTTTCGAAGGCGCTAACCCAGGTAGCTTTCATGCCTTGGAGCCTGAGATGGGAACCACCCGTAGGCCTTGCTCCCACTCGCACTCCATCAACTTACACGTCCCCTTCACGAATTTGGTCAAATTAACAAATCCTTCAACAGATCCACGAGACATACGTGATTCAACATATCCTGATGTATACTTGGCACGTATGTACGCCGCAATACACCTACAAAGGAGCCCGGTTAAGGGGTTTCCAAAGTCCCGAACAGTTTGCCGATTAACTCGGCGATCTTCTAGAACTACCTAGTGATCGACCATTCTTCCTCCTCGGCCTCCTCCTAGCACATCCGGGCGCTTCTCTGGGGCAGATCGTATTGAGATGATGATCAACACAATTACAATTGTCTGCACTGGGTCACGGTTTTGCTCCATAACACTAAGAACAAAATCTGCAACGCCTGCTTTACCCATTTCTAGTCAAGTCCTTCGTCTACTGACGGAGGAGATGGATGGGTGAGAACTACTCGTGTTGACTGCAGCCTCATTCTGGTCCAAACTCCACCACTAACAAAGCTGTGCTCAGAGCGGCCCTGATTCGATCAGAAAAACATCTTACTACCTATGTTCATGGTAAGGAATTATCAGTATTTACGAAGCCGGACTTGGGGGCAATTCGCCAGTGAACCAGCCACTCGCCGTCTGCCCAAGTTCAAAGTCCAGCGTTCCACCTTCAGCGAATATGTCCTCCCACGCCAGCCAGTTCTTCTTCCAGTCCTTCCCATTCAACTTCAGCGACTGCACATAGACATTACCTCCGCCATTGCCGTCACCGCCAGTGGCAGTGAC